CACCTTGCTCTGCTCTGTCATCCTGAAGAAACTCCTTCCTGGTCTGGGTTGTACCTCTGCTGCACTGGATGAATCTCTAGACAATAAACTGCAACCTGAGTTCTTCCTTTCCAGTTCAGCACACTTCCCACTTGTCCCTTAAAACTTCCTTCCTTGTGGGTGTCTGTTCCTCCATACTTTTCTGTATTCTCCCTCTACTGATGTCATTTGCTCTACTGAGTATCACACATATACACTTGGTAAGAATCCCAGATTATAGTGATGAAAACATGAACTATGAACTCAACAGGCAGATCTTAGGGGCAGGAATCCTGAAAGCAAACAGTCCCCTTATAGTTCTTGGTCAGAGGTGGGAATGTCCCCAGTTATTGCCTAGCCAGGGGCTGGAGTTTTGTTTGGTTTTTGGTTTTTCTCCAAGCAACACATGACGGTGTGGCTGATGCTAGTCTAGGCACTGATCCCCTCCTGTGAGCAGCTTTGGAACTAGATCTCTGGCTTTTCATGGTGGAAATGGGTTGTATCTAGTCCCTAGTTCAGCCATCCCCTATGAGATTTTAGGATCTGGCTTTGGGCGGAGACCTGACATTCTAAACTACGTGCTATTCCCTCCCTTAAGCTTTAATTCATCAGGGCCTGTACATCATCAGGCCAGGACGGTAACCTCTTGACACACCCCCCAAAGCTGATTCACCAGTGGGCACACTACAGAGATAGGAGGAATAATTACCCCTTAAAGCAATAATATCCTTATCCTTTCAGAAATACCTCTGTCATGTAGCCGTAGCAGTTGCACTGAGGGCCCGCCTGCCTTTTTGAGTCCTAACTTAGAAAAGGACACTTTTCTGAGCCCAGTTTCCCAGTAACAATCACTGGTAGCCCAGGGCTACTAGCAGAGCCAGCAGGGGTGGAGAGGATCTTTAGCATTCAAGGAAGAGCTAGGACTTGGGGCAGACTGGTTAGTACTTGGGTAGAAGTACAGAACAAAGCTCCCGACTCTGGAGCAGTGGTGTCTGGATTGTTACAGAGCATGTTTTATGTATTTAAAGTGTTGGTAAGGTGGTGGTAAGATTGCTCAGTTGGTCAAGGGCTTGCCCTACAAGTGCAAGAATTTGAGTTTGATTCACAGAAACACAAAAAGGAAAGCCAGTATGATATTATTACAGCTCAGGGATGAGGATGGGTAGATCCTTGGAACTCATTGGCCAGTTGTCCCAATGCACTTGTAGTGAGCTCCTGACCCCTCCCCACTCTCCTTCAAAACAAAACGTGGACAGTGCTTAAAGAATAACACCCTATGTAGTGTGCAGGACAGATAATGCACCCAAAGCCATGTAGAACATAAGGTCTATTCTCCTGAGCAGGAGACCCAAGGAGTAGCAAAGTTGATTTGCCTTTTCGGGGGTCCTGGTCTTCTAACCTCCACATGCACACCTTAGCATTCATGTACCTTTCCCAGTAACATGTTAAAACACACACACACACACACACACACACACAAACACACACACACACACACACACACACACACACACACACACACACACACACCAGGGACAAAGCTGTTCCCTCTCTAGCTTTTTGTAAAAAGCAAGAAATAGCCATCTGACTTGGAGGCTCCCAGCATGAACACAGAAATGTAAATGTGAACAGGCACTAGGTAGGTGGCTTTCATTACAGATCCCTGGCAAATTTAAGGACAGTGGAGTAGACAGAAAGGCAGAGGTGGGGAGATGGCAGAGAAGGCTGTTCAGAACAGTCATGTGCATCCTAAGAGTCAGGCACAGCAGGTCTTTGCATTGGGTCCCAGTGCCAGCCTCTGCCCAGCCTAGGTCCCCACTAACCCAAGTTCATTCTTGTGACATCAGATGCCCCTGATAAATCACTCTCCTCACTGCTGAGCCTTCCTGGCCTGCCCCACAGAGGCCAGGGTCACAGGTCTCTTGTCTCTCTCTTAGCCTGTCCTGTTCTGCAGAGGTCAGGGTCACAGACCTCTTGTTTTTTCTAAGCACACCCCTTGGAACCAGGCACTTCTCTATGGAGCACAGCCCTTGACAGTGTCGTCCCCCTCTACCCATGGGCCTGTAGGGGGACAGCCTGTCCCTGAAGTTCTTGGGGTTCCTTCCATCCTGTGCCTAGAAATGGGACTGGGGCCTTCCCTTCAGCCCCAGGCCCTTCCCATCCTCGGGTGTGCCCCTGCCTCTACATGCATCAATGGATGTGAGCCTTCTTGCCACATTGAGACCATCTTCAGACCTCTGGTCACTCACTCATTGACTCTCACCTAGAAATTCTAGCCAGTACCACAGGCACCTTGGTATAGCTGCTCCTCCATCTTGCTTGAGTGTTAGGCAGCCCAAACTATTCCCAGTTCTCTGATCTCACCTGAACAGTGTGGTTGCCAATGGCTACATTCTCTGGACATTTTCCAGCAGTGGGCCCTTGCTCACTTAGACTCACTCACAGCACATTAAGTCCACAGTCACTATCATGACCAGTGTCTCCCTAAGCACCTCAACCTGATACCTCCCTCTCCATGACCACCTGGATTTTCGGTCCTCCACCAAAGAGCTTGAGTCAGTATGATCATTCCACCTCTTCTCTCATTTGGGTGGGAACTTACTTACCCAGTGCACTGCTGGTCTGTTTTCCCAATGGGTAGGGATTTTACATCCTTTAAACAAATTTGTATGCATGTGCTTGAACCATGTGTGGGCACAGTGCCCCCCAGAGGTCAGAAGAGGGCACTGGATCTCCTAGACTGTCATGTGCTGTTGGGAATTGAATCCAGGTCCTCTGCAAGAACAAGTGCTCTCAAGCACTCAGTCATCTCTCTAGCCCCATCATTCTTATATTTTAATTAAAGTATTTGTGTGTGCGCCTGGGTGACTTCATGTACACATGTGTGCAAGCGCCCTCTAAGGCCAGGAAAGGGTGTTGGATCTTCTGGCATTGGAGCTGTAGGCTAGGCTGTGAGACACTTAGTATGGGTGTTGTGAACTCAAACCCAGACTCTTGCAAGAGCAGGAAGTGTTCTTAACCACTGGGCCATCTCCCTGGCTCTTCCAGGCTTTTGTTTGGATTAAAAAGAAAAAAACTTTCTTTGATATAGGTTAAAAACGTAAGATGTATGTATAAAAGACATACAAGTAAAAATCCTACTGTGGTCTAGAATGGGGCTCAGTGGTAGAGTATATTCCCTGGGTTGCATCCCAGCACTATAAAATGAAACAAAACAGAACCGAGATGTAGTGGCACAAGTCTAACATTCTAGATCAGGAGTTCAAAGTCATCCTCAGCTACAAGATGAGTTTGAAGTCACTCTGGGATACTTAAGACCTTCCCCCTTTCACATGCAAAATTCCAAAGCAAACCCCAAACAATAAAATGTATTCAACATCAATCCTATTCTTAAAAAGTCAATCTTGCTGGGTGGTGGCAGCAGTCACCTTTAACCCCAGCTCTAGGGAGGCAGAGGCAGGAGGATCTCTGTGAGTTTGAGGCCAGTCTGGTCTACAGAGCAAGTTCCAGGATAGGTTCCAAAGCTACACAGAGAACCTGGGTCTGGTTAACTCCAAAGGATGGATGCCCTATTCTGGCCTCTGTGCAGGATGCAGATGCATACATTCAGGGAAAGTAAATACTCAGAAAATAAAAATAAATCTGGGTGGAGAGATTTCTCAGTAGCTAAGAAAACTGGCCGCTCTTCCAAAAGACCTGGGCTCTATTCTCAGCATCTGTATGACAGTTCACAACTGTCTGTAACTCCAATTCCAGTGGATCTAACACCCATTTCTGACTTATACAGGCCCTAGGCACACATTTGGTACATAGACATACATGGAGCCTGTATTAGCCAGGGTTCTTTCTAGACTCTCTATGTATGTATGTATATGTATATGCACTTATTAGATTGGCTTAAGGCTTGGGTCCAGTTAGTTCATAAATACCTGTTTCCTGACAAAAGTTCAGGAATCCAATAATTCTGTCTATAAGGCTGGATACCTCAGCTGGTCTTCACAATATGGTAGAATCCTGAATAAGTAATAAGTAGGCCCTAATGCCAGTGAAGGAATGCCTCAGCGGCATGCTTGCAAAAAAGCAAAACTTCCAGATTTAGGATGGGTCTTCCCACATCAAATGATCTGGATTTAAGATGAGTCTGTCTACCTCAAATGATCCAGTTAACTGAACTGAACACCCCTTACAGGCTTACAGGTATGTCCAACTGCATAGGTTTTTTTTTTTTTTTTTTTTTTTCTTTTTCACTCTTGGTTTTTCGAGACAAGGTTTCTCTGTATTACTTTGGAGCCTGTCTTGGAACTAGCTCTGTAGACCAGGCTGACCTTGAACTCAGAGAGATATGCCTGCCTCTGCCTCCTGAGAGCTGGGATTAAAGGCATGTGTCACCAACCCCTGGCTGCTGTTTAGGTTTTTAAGTTGACAACCAAGAGCCATCACACAAGCAAAACACCTACCTATACACATTTTTCAAAAACATCCTTATTTCTTATGTTGATGTTATGCTTGTGGAAGTTAGAGGGCAGCCTACTGGAGATGGTTCTCTTCCATCATATGCACTCCTGGGACTAGGTCATCATCAGGGTTGGTAGTAAGGGCCCTTCCTTATCCACTGAGTCACCGTGCAGTACAGTACACTTGTAAAGTGAGAGACAATGCCCATCCCATCCTTTTTCCTTTTTTGAGGGCCAGACATAACCAGAGCCCTGCTAACAAAGCACGCTGGGCAAGTGCTCTACCAGGAGCTACATCCTCAGTCTCTCCCTTCACTTTAAAGACAGTTTTACTGTCCAACCCTGTGGCCCAAGCAGGCCTTGAACATGGGACCCTCCTGCCTCAGCCTCCTGACTGCTTTCCCGGTTAAGTTTCACTCTGGTAAGACACTGAATACGGTTGCTAAGTGAGAGATGGGGCAGCAATGAGTTGGTGGCTATCTTGCTGAACTAGTGCCTTAGTGGAGGAGACAGAAAGGGACAGTCATATGACAGTGACAGGTGTTTTCCTTTAATTTGTCAGTTGTTAAGGCTGCTGAACAGTTAGGAGGAATGTGTAGTTTGCATACCAAAAATTCTATTAAAGTAATTTAAAGGCCAATTAAACTAGTTTTATTCAAAGTAAGTCTACATTAAATTACAATATTAACAATTTGTAGACACAATGAACTTAAAATATAAGAAGTAGAAATAGAAATCTATTTGGTCTTTCAGAGACCACATATCATAGAACTCATAAATGAAAATTTACAAATATAGAAATGATACTTAAAGAGTAAGGATTTTAATATGGGAACCCAAAAGATGTCAGAATTTTAAACATGCATGTTTCAAAAAGGGAGAATCCTTTAATAATTTAGCATAAAATCGAGTTATATAAACTTGGTATATTCCAGAAAATATTGCTTTAAACACTTATACATGATCAAAATTCCTTTGGTAGCTTTTAATCAAAATGAAACATGCTACTTTGTGAAATATAAAATACTTTTAAATGTTGCAAAAGTGTCTGTCATCATCACCATGCCAACGCCATGGAGCCTTGTTCTTACTGCTCAACCTCATGTGTGAACACACAGTATGTCACCAGGCACCAACAAATCCTTAGCTTTTTGACAAAACTAACTAAGCTCCATTGAGTGCCAGGGCAGAGACCCAAGACGGTCCCTACGAAAGATTATGAAACCAGGCCCAATTTTATTATGGTCATCACACAAACTGCAACCTCAACAGTCAAACAGCAGTCACCCCAAGCCAAAGCCAGGACCTCCACACTCAGCCAGCATGGAAACAAACATGAAACCCCCAAGCCCCTAAACACAAATGACAAGTAGCCTTCTGGACGGACTCTGTATCTCCAGTGACAGACATGATGTCCTGTTGGTACATCAGGGCCTCACTTAGAAACCTGATTTACAGAAGCCAAAGTTTGGAACTTTTTGAAAATGCACAGAACAGCGGCCAGTGCTTAGGGTGCAGAGCTGAGTGGCGGTCTGGACTGGGCTTCTCCCACTGCCCAGCCCAGGGCTCCCTCTCTGAGTGTTCATCTGGGGAAGAATGCAGCATCTAGGGTATTTCCACTGTGTCCCACAATCACACACACAACACACCAAGCCCGTGGCTTTCTGCCAGAGGTACAAGAGCTTGTGAAGGAACTAAAATGAGCATGTTCAATCTAAAGTCAGAGTACAGAAACAAAGGAGGAGAGGAAGAATGGAGAGGAAGAAGTGTGACATCTCAAGTCCTTGCGCCCTGGGAAGGATGACCCGAGAACCATGTTCTCTGCTTTGAGTCCAGGCGCCCACAGTTGCAGCTGCAGGGACCTGGAAACAGCACAGCAGCCATGTTCACACTCTGCAGGTGCATTCTAGTGTTTGTCTCATTGGGAGACGGCAGTCTGCTGACGCATCACGCCACATAGTGGTACTGATTTGGACTGTCTTTGTCTCGCTCCATATAGTCTCTGTCTATAAGTGATTCAATCCTCTTTTTCAAATCTCCAGGCTAGAAAAGAGAAATCAAAATTTTTAGGATAGGGCACTAAACATACAAACATAAACTTAACATCCTGCATGACACACATAACAAAAACATGAAACTCTACAACAGACATATTTATACCAAGATCACTGATAACTGCAAAACAATCATGTTAACATCACATTTTGAACAAATGTTTGCACAGGGATGATTGCACCTGGCTTCCTTACCTCCTTATATGAGCGTGTAAACAGGGCAAATCCTAAATGTGGCACCGCATGTTCTCACATATGTGGGAGGAAAATCTGACCATGCTGTGGTGGTCCATTCTTATTTTGCTATTATTGTTGTTATTATTACTTGGTTTTCTGAGATAGGTTTCTTTGTGTATTCCTAGCTGTACTGAAACTAGCTCTGTATACCAGGCTGTCCTCAAATTTACAGAGATCCAAATGCCTCTGCCTCCTGAATGCAGGGATTAAAGGCACATGCTGTCACTGTCCAACTTGCTGCTGTTATTAAAAAAATATTTTTACACTTAGTTCTTTTGTGTGCAAAAGAACACGGGCACATGCCAGGACACCTGTGTGGAGGCCAGAGGACAACCTGTGGAACTTAGCTCTCTCCTTCCACCTGGTGGGTTGCTCTCAGGATGTCAGGCTTTGTAACAAATGCCTTTACCCACTGAGCCATCTTGTTGGTCCTGCTAAGATTCTGAGACAGGGTTTTGCTCTATTTCCCAGGCTGACCTTGAACTCATTATGTAGCCCATGCTGGTTTCAAAGTTGCAGTAATCCTCCTGTTTCAGCCTTCCTACCAAGGTAAGGATCATGGGTATGTACCCATCTCCAGCCATTGTCATCCTTTGTGCTCAAACTTACCATTCCATACACACCAGATATGCTACATCAACAAGGTAGTTCTGCTATGTTACTGCAAAAGTCTAACTGTCATTGTCACTACATCACTACAGAACCTTTTCTCACTGTTTTAACTCGCTATGTGGCTATAAATCAGGGGAATAGCCACAAACTCCCAGCCCTGCCTTTGTTGTTTTGCTTTGTGAGACAGGGTCTATCTATGTAGCACTGACTCTCCAGGAACTTGCTATGTAGACCAGGCTAGACTCAAAGGACAGAGATCTGCCTACTTCTACTCCTGAGTGCTGGGATTAAAGATGTGTACCCCCATGTCAGTCAGAGTTCAGTCTGCGTGGATAACTAAGACCAGAGCTGAGTCCACAGCCTTACAGAGTCTCTTCCCAACAGGCACCTGCCTAACTTCTGCTGCCGTAGGAAATAGCAAATCAGTTAGCAGTACTTGGGAGCCAGGGCCTCCTGCCAAGGGAGCATCATTTCCCAAACAGCAAACCCTTCTAGTCGGGGCAGGCCATGCATTTTACATAGGGCTGAACATACCATTAGCTATAAAAACATAGGGGTTAGAGCTTTGCCAAGCTGCACACTACGTTCTACACTTAATTACTAGATCACTTCATCTGCAAAGGGACAAAAAGATGCCCTGGCTTGGGGTTGGAAATAACAAGATTGATGGGTTGTGCACCCATCATCATGGAGGGGAGGGGCCAGGTACTTGATGCACCTGTCCTTAAAGCACTGACTAATCAGCCTGTCTCAGCGTGACTCCCTGATAAGGACCTACTCAGATGTCATGTAACCAGGGACTTCCAGATGCTAAAGGCCAGAGGTCCCAAGAGTTCAATACATTCTGAGCTAACTAACAATGCATTGTAGGTTTTATTTTATGGCATATTTTTGTAATGCTCCCCTAGCTTATCTGCATTTCACATGTTGCAGAATCTCAGAGTTCAGTTCTATAACAAGAAAGAAGGACAAGCCTGAGGCTGACTTATATCTTCAAAGTAGAAAATGCTATGCAGCTTGTGAATGTTGAATACAGCAGTTACCCATAGCACTGCCACAAGGGCCCAGGGAGTGGCTTTCGTGCCACAGTTAGGGAAGAACCTCTGTCCTGACACCTCGTGGCCCTCCACTCCCTCCTGAAAGCACAAGCATACAACAAGCTTGGAGAAGCAGAGTGAGTCTGGTTTCCAGGGTGCTGATGGGAGGATCTGCACAGAGCCCTGGCTATCACATGTGCTGGCTTCTGCTCACACAGGCCCCATGATGTCAGTCACATGCTAGAACACTGAGACTCCAGCAAGCTCTGTGACTGAGCACAAACCTAACATCCAACTGTGCTGACAGAAGTTACCTTTACTGGAAATTTCAACTGATTGTACAATTCAGAAACTAGAAGGTTGTGACCAAGAGTCTTCCTCATTTTCATTATTCGGACTATGGCAGCATCGATCTGGTACTGTCTATCCTGGAATACTCTCTCTGTGGTGCTAACTTGTTCTTCAACCTGGACAAAATGAGAAAGAGTGAAAAGCATGTAAAGACATTTCAGGGTTGCTCTGTTACATTTTAGTTTGTTCTATGAAAACTCAACTTTTCACAAGTGCATGACTCTGAAACTAACAATTGTAGAAGTAATTTTAAGATTTGTATTTGTCTTATACAAATGCTTGTATTAAGGCTTCTTAGCAGCACAGGACAGCTGGGAGCCCCCGTGGACACTGGAAACTCAGGTTCTCTAGAAAGCAATCACTGTTCTTAACCTCTGAGACACATCTCTTGCTGCCTTATATTGCATTACTGAGGAATTTGAGTATGTTTTCTGTCCGGCAAATTGAAAGCCTCGTGATGAATGACACAACCATTGTATATGGGAAAGGAGTAATCTGATAATTAAAGTTGCTTTGCAGCAGCCCCCAACCCCATACTCTATAAGAACTCTCTCATATACCTGCATAGTCTAAGCATTTCTAGGAATGAAGAGGCTATTAGAACCCAATGTGTTAGCTTCAGGTTGGGGAACTGAGAGCCTCCTCCCCTCCCTGCTGAAATTGCTGCTTCTGTGGTCTGTATGTTCTTCCTCCAAGATCTAGCCTGGAGCAGTTGAATTGTGCCAAGCAAAGCAGAGGCAGGTTCTAGTTCTGGAAATACCATGCACTTCTTTTGTGCTGGCATTCGATACAGGAAGGTATGACTTCATATATGGACACATCTATTACAGTTCTCAACTTTTGCCTCTACTGATAACATAAAATTAATGAAAGATACATGAAAGGCACTACTTCAAACCCTGCATTTACACTAGATTCAAACATGTGCTCTGATCTCTAACAGTCAAGACATTGCTAGAAAAGCTAAGAACTCCATAGTGAGACTACAAAAGTGAAGAGAGAGCTGGCACTTACAGTTTCCTTCATCTGGATCTGATTGATCTTTATTCTGAACAACTTGTGCTTGAAGTCCCCATTGAAAATGAACTTATCTCCATCTTCTACCTCCTTGCCTTTGGGACTTTTAATCAGAACCCGTGCTTTACCACAGGCAAGAGACTGTAGTGTTCTTCTCAACTCGCTGTCCTCTGAGGGAGGCAAAGAAGGCAGATGTCACAAAACACAGGAGACTCAACAAGGGCAAGAGTGTGCGCAGACAGCAGAACACAGGGTCTACACCTTCTCCTCACCCCCCCCCCCCCCCCGCTGTGGGACCAGGCCCTGTGCATGCTGGGGAAGCACTTTGCCTCTCCAGCCTCCCCTTCGCTTTTTAATGAACACAGTAGTATCAGGAGCCAGGGGTGGTGGTGCACACTTTAATCCCAGCAGTTGGGAGGCTCAAGTAGGTGGATCTCTGTGGATTCCAGGATAGGCCAATGTGACATAGTGAGACCCCCCCCCAAAAAAAAAAAGCCACAAGAAATCTTCCTACCTATGCCAGTGGCCATTTTTATTTCTTCAAAGCTGAATCCGTCCCCCTCGTTGAACATGAGCAGCACCAATGTCTGGAAGAGGGACACTTGGAACTCCTTTTTCCCCTTTAAGAAAATGAAGCCATCACAGAGGTTGCTTGGACTCTTGCGAATTACAACAGGCTGCTTTGTATGCACTCTATTTTGGGGAATTCAGAACTTGCTAACACCACCAATAAGAAGAAATTACTAATTGTAAAAGAATGAAATAATTACTAGGAATTACACTTCAAAATCCTTGTCTTAGAGCTGGATATGACAACACATGCCTATAAGCCACCAGTGGGGCCAGTCCAGGCTGCTGAGAACCCACTGCTCCTTGTGCTTTAACATTCCTTTCCAGACAGCAGGCCTATCTGTTTGCTGCTGTTACTGGTTTTAAGACAATGTCTTGCTATACAATCCCAGGGTAGCTTTGAACTTTCTGCCCTCCTGCCTCTGCCTCTTGAGTGCTGGGCTCATGAACACACACCATCACACATGGCTTGCTGAGGCTGTGGGTGGAGCACGGGAAGGCTGGGCAACAGCATGGGAAAGAAAGGCCTGCAGAGTGCTCCATCAGCTCCATCTCCACTGCTCGGCTGCTCTTTGGAGGACAGAGTCTGCCTTCCGATGTCCCATGGTCCCTTTTTCTTATCTACAATGTACCAGTGCACACATGCCAGCCAGTACTATGAAATCTAGCAGTTTCACCTGGAGAAGACAGAAGGGTTTTTGGGGGAGCAGCAGTGTTGAGTGCCACTTGTTGGACCTCAGCCCTGAATCACATGAGCAGAAAGCTTCAGGGACTGTATACTGTCTGAGGAGCCACCTGTGTCTTTGATTGCTTTTTGGCTGTAGGCGGAACTAGACTTTGCTAAGATCTTGCAGAAGAGTGTATGTGACACATACACAGTATGTGGCATAGTAGAATAATGGCTCTATTCTCCATGACTCTATTCTACATGATTTATATATTATTAGAGTTAGATGTGAACGTGAAGGCTTTCTCCCATGCACTGCTTGGTAACATGCTTCTCTTGTATACCTATGCAGCCCGTGTCTCTCCCTTTTTATGAGACCGCTGGTAACAGCAGAGAGCATTCTTAGCCCCCGATCTGAGAAATGCCTTGGCAAGGACTCCCAGCTCTAACTGAAGTGACCCGACAAGAGAACATGTGGAAATCTTGAAATATTTCCCTCTTGAGTTCTTGGCACATGACAAAATGTGCTCAATGGCCCTTTCCAACAGAAGGAAGACATAACAGCTAACAGAAAGAAGAAAGGAAAAAGGAACAGCTGGAGAAGGCTCAGTAGTGGACCTCGCTGTTGGTGTATGGGATCAGAGCTGTGTGCACTTAGTTTCTGGCTATTCTGCCCGCTGTTGGACTCTTTGGGCTGATGCATGCAGGTACACACAAAGGAACACCAGAATAGGTTGCTTTTTACAGCTGGAACTAAGGCAAAGAAGTAGATAATCTGGGGTTTTGATCTATATGGTCAAACTTGTACATGCTACTCTCTGTGACACTACACAGCTCAATTCCCTCTGGTAGCTGCATCTGCTGGTTCTCTCTGGTATCCATCAGCATCCTAACCTACAGCCACACTTCACTGTATTTTAATCTGCAACCTTTTCTTTCTTTCTTTCTTTTTTTTTTTTTTTAAGCAGAAAATTGGGGCACATTCTCACCACACTGGGATTCAAATTTGCTTGTATAGTTGTCCTTTCACACCCACTACTCTTTAATGATTGCATGTGTGGTGTGTAACTGTGTAAACATGTGTGCTGGTGTGCATGCAGAGGCTATAGGAGGATGTTCAGTGCTCCATTCTGCCACTTTCCACCCTTTTCTCTGAGGGTCTCTCACTGAACTGGAATCTCACTACTTTTCAATAGTGAGGCTGATGGCCAGCAAGTCCCTGTGACGACCCTCACCCCTGTCTTTGCACACCCTTGCACACCTACTGCTTAGGTTATAGGCGAGCACAGGCATGGCTATTACAGATGTGTTAAGTAATATACTGTGTTTTTGTATGTGCAGGTGTGACTATCATGGTATATTCATGGAGGTCACGGACACTGTGGGATTTGTTTCCCTCCTTTTACCATGTGGGGCCTGAGGAATCAACTCTGGTTGTGGCTTGTTGTCAGGTGACTCTACTGGCTGTGGCACCTTGCTGGGAGCCACACCTTTCATCTGTGTGCTGGGGATCTGACTCAGGCCCTCATGGCTGTGCAGCATGAGCACTTTATCTACTGATTCATTCCCCGACCCTGGTAAACTATTTTCTGTTGATTAATTTACTTTTGATTTTTGTTAAGCAGAATATTAACCCTTTACATGATATTTGTATTGACAAAGAAAAGCTAGTGCTGCATCATACTGGAAAAAAAAAAAAATAAATAAATAAATAAAAAAAAATCTTGCCTTTCATAGCAATGGGAGTTCAATAACAATCTGGAAGTTGTCCTAACATCCTGGCAGAATAGAAGAAACAGGAGTGCTGGATAAAGAACTGACCTCCTTAAACTCCGCCTTCAACACAGCATGTCCCAGTGTTGTCTGCCACTGCAGCTTCCGGCCACTGTGCTTGCCCAGATAGAAAGTCTTGAACACTTCCTGTAGTCTGACCATCTGCCAAGCCAAGAGATATGAGAGACTGAGCATACCCTCACTGAGCTGTCACAGCCTGCACAGCCGACCTGAGAAGGCAACCCCAGATTTTGACACTTATTTTCTGTGTTCTATCTACGACCTGTAACACCACAGGCCCGAGACCTCAGAGCTTCCTACAACATCTGGCTTTTTTCTGTTTTGGTGCTTGACACTCAGGCATCACCCATTCCTGCTGGTCACCTCCAGTGGGTACTCTGAGTCAAATGGTGCCTCTAGCCCAGCAACTTCCTCTCCCTCTGGCTAGGGCTGGTGACACACACTGTCACCGTTTGTACTGAAAAGTCCCACAGAGGCTCATGTGCTCCACCCAGGCTTGGCTGCCAGCTGATAGACTTTGGAAAGCAACTGAGTCACGAAGGCTTTGACCTTATCAATGAATAAGTAATTTAATAGCATTGGAAAGTTCTGGAAACTCAAAGGTAGGGCTTGTTTGAAGGAAGCATGTTACTGGGGATATGCTTTTGAGAGTATGTCCTGTCCCTGGCCTCTTCTTGGACCCATAAGATGAGCAGCCTTGACCCTGAATGCTTATGCTGCATGGGTGCTCCTGTCTCCAAGGGCTGGATCCATTTGACCTTGGGCTGTAACCTCTGAAACCATAGACAAAGGAAGTGGTTTTTCTCAAGTTCTGTCACAGCATGGACACTCACAAGTGCATGCCCAGTGCACACTGAATGACCTCACAGGCATCAAGGGAATGAGTGTGGCTTCGCCGTCACCGGCAGCTTGGCTACTTCCCCTGAGCCCCTTCTCTACCTTACCACTGGAAGCCTTTTGACCTTGGCCTTCCCAGCCCTTAGAATTATATTACCCAGTTTCATAAATTCTGTTGCAACAACAGAAAACAGACCAAGACAGATACTTTCAAGAAAGTAAAAAGATAGCCCAACCACAGCAGCTGTCAAGGATACACTGGAGACAGCTGGCAAAGCTTAAACAAGGGACTCCTACCAGTGAGCATTTTCTCATCTGAAGTGCTTGGGGACAATTCTGGGAGGCCTGCACTGATGCAGTGAAGGCAAAGGTATCACACATCCTACTAAACAGGAAAGAGAAGCCATCTACATAGCCAGTGCTAAACACAGGCATTCGAGGAACCATCTTGCACACTTTCTGGAAGTTTGCATAATTTCAGAACAAGTGAAAACACTGGCAGTGTTCTGAGAGGCCTATTAGGCAGCAGGAAAAATGATCCCCGCAGGGTATGATTAGGTACAGCTAGCAGGGCAGAGACAACATGGAGGTTTTCTGGAAGAGATTTTGCTGAGGCACAAACATGCCTGAAAACAAAATAAACTTGACCCCCAGTGGTCAAGCCTATGGCAGGCAGCACTCAGGTAGTGGGGGAAACTGGCCAGTGGGGGAAACTGGCCAGGAGCTGATCTAACTGGGTTCAGTGAGGAGAAAGATGGAAGTGTGGGGCACCATGTAAAGAAAGGCAAGGGAAAATTAGACATGCGGGCTGCAGGCTGAGCTACAGGGCCTCTGCTTATTTGGTATGAGGTGAAGATACTTAGGGCAGAGATGGAGACAAACAGAAGGCCTCAGAGACCAGTGGGGTCCACACAAGGAAACTGAGAACTGAAAAGAGTTTCTGGAAGGAGTGGTGACCTTGTCCTAGAAGGCCCAGCCTTCCCCTTGTTGTCCTGGATTCTGCAGTCCCCAAGTCTCTGTCCTCTGGAACAACCCTCACTCTCTGAGATAAAGACAGTCAGTCAACCAGGAGGTCTTCCCTGCTCTTCCTTCTCAGGCATCACTGATGGTGTGGTCATGTTGGATTTTAGCTCAGTGAGCTCACAACTCCTTGTTCCACTTCAGGATCTTCACAGTGCTTCAAGTCAACACACAGGGCCCTAAACAACACCAGTGTCCTCATGATGGAGGAGAGGAGGACATGACCTATAGGGACAGTGTCTCTGACTGTGACTGAAGAGGTCATTTTCAAATACCACTCTCCAGGGTTACAGGACGTGGAGAGGGTGACCTGGGAACAGGTCTGACCTGAGTGGGCTTGCCCAGCAGCTGTACTCACCTCTGGAGGGAGGTGCACTTCCATGGGTGTGTATGTGGGCCAGTAGCCCATGGTTAGTATGTTCACTGTGAGGTCAATGGGGCCTGGTGCACTTTGGTTCTGCATATGCTAAAAACAAAGATATCCAAGACACAATAAGTAGACAAATACTTAATGCATTGAAGAAGAAATGGTGTGTGTGTGTGTGTGTGTGTGTTTGTGTGTAATGATGTACTTTTTTTTGAGACAAAGTTTCCCCACATAGTACTGGCTGTCCTGGAACTTAATTAACTATGTAGAAAACAGGCTGGCTTCAAACTAGAGACCCACCTGCTTGTGCCTCCCAAGTGCTGGGATTAAAGATGTGTGCAACCATACCCAGCCTGGAAATTGTCTAATTTTAAAAACAGTTTCACTTGTGGATCTACTTCAGTCTTTCAAATATAGTTGTGTTCCAATGTCACTGGAATAATTTTCTTTAATTGGTTTATGCTACAATGTGACAAACTGTTGGCCCCCATTGAGCCAGTTTTACAGAAGAAGCAACTCACTTGCTTGAAGTGAACCATGATGTCTTTGGAAAGCTCCATGTCCTTGAACATGCCCTCCAACTTGCTGGTGAAGGCAGCTCCACATTCTGCGACATGTGAAGGAGTGGGTGAGAAAGAGCTGTGTGTGGTGCCCGCCCGCGAGCCGGCCCACCCTGAGCTCACCGTGTTTGAGCTTCGAAAGCATGGACTTCTCTGCATCCACTGATGCGCTCTTCCCCACAAGCAGCCTTTTTGCTAAATCTTTCTTATAAAATGCTTCAAAGACATCCTTGCCTGTACAAACAGAGGAAAACCAAGACTTGAGAGATACAGTTTACATGCTGCACTCCATTGCCAAAAAGCTCCTCAGGACTACTTCTGGGTCAGAGGGCAGCTCCTCCTCTTGAGTGCTGGCCAATATGCTCATCTGGCTATATGGCCATTTCTCACCATGGATGAAACGAAACAGTATCATGATCTTGTCCAGGATCCTCTCCAGCTCTTCATCGGTAGCTTCTTTGTTGCCTGCTCTTAACTTTGAATCCACATGTTTAGCTGGAAGAGTAAGAGTTCCAATCAGAAGACGGGTGTGGGTTCAAAGAAGTGAGATAGCGCTGGTACACACAGGGCCCTGGGTGTCACACCAACACGGCAGCAAGGGCAACAAGGGAAGAAACACAGAAGCCCGAACAGCGCTTCTCAATGTTCCAGGAAACAACTGGGCACTCTGGAACGTTCCCAAAATACCACCACTGCAGGCCGAGAAGCAAGCCGACTTTTTAAAACTGGTGGTTATCAGGGTACTGAGAATGTATCTTTCCAGAACTTTAGCAAGTCCACAGATTAAAAAAATAATTCTTTTTAAAATCAAACTCAGACTGAATTCTTAATTAATTAATTAGTTTATTTATTTTGGTTTTGAGACAGTGTTTCCCTGTGTAGCCTTAGCTGTCATGGAACTCTATCTGGAGACCAGGCTGGCCTTGAACTCACAGAGATCTACCTGCCTCTGCCTCCCGAGTCCTGGGATCAAAGCCATGTGCCACCACTGCCTGGCAGGAGTATGGAATTTTAAATGTTATTCTGGTATCATGAAATAACAACACAGGGCAATTATTACAACTGTCTTATCTGAGCTCATTTTATCCTGTTTGAGTGTGCAGTAGACAGGTAGTGACTAGAGAGCACTCACACCAATGTTACCCAGAGGCCAATGACTGAACACACCTGCTTGGGGTTTCTCACAGTCAGGACAAGGGTCAATACTGACCATCAGCAAAGAGGCTTTAGAGCCCTGCCTCAAGAAGCCCTGGCCCACCAACCCTCCCTTCTTCAGGTCTTTGCTCAGTCCCTGTAACACATCCCCTCATGGATGTGAAACTGCATACATGAACACAGCTAAACATAGGCATCCTAACAAGGCTTGGACTCTCCCACAGTGCTCAACCTGGCTAGGAAAAAAAAACAGTGGAGGTTTCTTCTTCCTCCTTCTCCTTTTCATTTCTTGACTTCTTTGTTTTTGTGGTTCTTTTAAGATAGTATTTCATTATGTAGCCCTGGCTGCCCTGCAACTCTGTACCTAGACCAAGCTGGCCTCAAACTCATAGAGATCCACCTGCCTTTGCCTCCTAAGTGTGAGGATCAATGGTCTTCACCACATGTCCAGCTTTCCTTTTCTTTTTTTTCTTTCTTGAGACAAGGTCTCATCATGTAACTATGGGTGGTGTGGAACTTGCTATGTAGACCAAGTTAGCCTTGTAGCCTTGAACTCACAGAGATTCGCCCACTCACTATCCAGGGAATGTTGAGGTTAAAAGCATGTACCCACACCTAGCACTTATATTTAAAAGGCACCTAAAAGGCCAGCATGATGTCTCAGTGGGTAAAGGTGCCTGTGGCCAAGCTGAGTTCAGTCCCCAAACCCACAGGGGTTCTTGAGAACCCATGAAAGCTCTTTGACTTCCACTTGAGCAGAACACACATGTACAACATAAAACAAATCTTTTTAAATGTGAAAAAGGAAAAACATCCAGAACTGTATCAGTACCGATGAGCTCTGCTGGCTTGTTTGGTCTCTTGTTGATGAACGTCTCAAAGGATTCTTTCATCAGGTTGATAAAGCGCTCATTCCTCTGGAAGCACACCTCCACCACATGGTCTACTTTGTCCTTAAAGTCCAGCAGGTCTTGGACCATGTCTTTATCTTTCTCAGGATTGATGACAATAGTTGTCCCGAAGGTCTATGGAAACAAGAAATAACCAAGTCAGCAACAGGCTTAGGAAGTCAAAGAGTATCTTTGGCTGTTTCTCAACACGATGGTAGCCCTTGTTTTCTCACTCGATACTGACAGTACCCTCTTTACATGTGGCCATGACTGTGGATACCTTTCATATCCCCCACGGGCAGGTGGTGCCTGGCATTCAGACAGGTTCTGCATCAGCCCTGGCATCACTCCTGGAGATGCTGAGTGGTGCTGTACTGGTAAGTGAGGGACACAAGGTAGGAACTGAGGCAAAGTCTTAAATTGAGCTTAGAAACACAGCAGTAGACAGACCAAACTGCTGTGCCAGTGTGTGTCAGTTCACAGAGAGCAGAGATTACTGCTGCCTGGAGAGTTGGCATGTGCTGTGGTGTTTTTATCTGAAGGGTCCAGGGAAAAAGACAAGCTCACGCTTTTGATGGTTTCCTTCAGACCTTTCCTTTATTTGTCTTTTATATTCTCTGTTCTTTATTTTCCTGGTGATTTCCTTCTCTCATTCTTATGTTTTCCTTCTAATTCATTTAACTCTGTCTTTATCCTTTCCCTTATAGCTTATATACCCCAGCAAATTTTTTCAGGCAATATAAAAGTTACAGTGTGGTTATATCCTATTTTTCAAAAGAACGATTACAAAGAATACAAGTAAGAAGCAGCATGTTTTCCATCCCTTTACATGATTAAACTAATGTATTACAAGTGAAAAATAAATTATCCCAAGAATTTGTGTATATTCACACTCAAACAATTTTTTGAGACAGGATTTCTCTGTATAACAGCCCTAGATGTCTTAGAACTAGCTCTTGTAGAGCAGGTTGGCCTTGAACTCAGAGATCCGCCTGCCTCTGCCCCTGGGATTAAAGGCATGCGCTACCACCACCTGGCTTTGAAAGGTGATTTTACAAGGAACCTTAAAGAATTCACAAACCTAAACTTTTATATATGAAAAAGAACCAGTCAGCTCTACTTTCAATCTTGAGGGTGCATATCCAGTTATATATATCTATGTAGATATAGATATATATGTCTATATATGTATATATAGACATACATATATACATATCAATAAAGAGGTTAATGGCAGAAAAGGGTATAAGGAATTAATGACTACCTTTGGTCATCAACCAATCCTAACAAGAAAGGCACATCAGTTAATGTTAATTGGGCTGCTTTGCTCTTGCTCCCTGACCTTAAGGAGTTTCTCACTCAACTATGTGCCTAAAACTTGAGATTGTCCTCTTGGGTTTTTCACTTCAAAGCTATTTGACAGAAACATCTTAGCCTAAGTTATTTTCAAAGCTTTGTTTCAGCTATGATGCACTCCAAAACCTGTGAACACACCTTCCAACATTAAGGTTAAAAGAATTTAAGCCAGCTGGGCTACTGGGACTGGTTTTCTTAATCATTAACCTAAGCCACAATCTATAGTTCCTCATTAGAAACTTATGTGTTCTACCTGTGTGACACTTCCTTGTTTTATTTTTTATCACCAAAATAAACTAACTTGTTATTAATTAGACAGTACAGCATAAGAAAAAATCATCTTCATAGTAATCCACATGCAAAAATGCCCAGCAGAACAGAACCTTTCCATGAGATAAACACACTACATTATTGGCATTGGCATTGGGGATCTCACACCATTCACACCATGCCAGACATCAGAGAAAGATGGCAGCAGCAAACATGTAAAGACACAGCAGAAGCAAAGACATTCTGGGGTCTGGGGTCTTGGGACCTTGCCTATCCAAGATTCACAACCAGGGATTTTCCTCCTGGTGGGCTGACACCCTGAAGTCACTGCCACCTGTTGCTCCTCTGGCTTGGCCACAGGCACAGTCATGCCTGATGGACAGACATACCAGAGGCTGCTGCTGTAGCAGAAACAAGTGTTTACATGGATGGATGCAAAGCTGTTGTCACTACACTGCAGGTGTCCACCTGGACAGTGGCCATCACTGTTGGTGTCATCTTAAAAAAGTAGATTTAGTGCACAAAAACATTCATTAGGTGATCTTGAAGATGGGAGAGCAGATGCCCCCTCTCAACAGTTCATTTCCCTCTGCAGGGTGCAGAATGCGAGGACCAGTGTGTACCTTGATGTATTCACTCCAGTGCTGCAGCAGAGCATGCTGTCCCCCTTTCACCCGGCTGAATAGCTGGTACATCTGCGTGAGGTCAGGCACCCTGTTCTCATCCAGCAGGTGCTCCAGCCCTAGTAGTGTGCAGAAAAGAACAAGTCACAGCAGGAAGCAACATTTGTGAGTGGAAACAGTATCATCCTTCCACACAGTCAGGACATGGTTTGCTGACCTGGAGCACCACCTGCTACAGAGGCATTTCTGTCCGTCACCTGCCTGAGGTGGCTCATAGATGTGGATTTCATTTTTCTGAGTGCATTGTGAATGTATTATTTACTTTCTCATTTCACTAAAGCCATTATTTAACAAAGTAATGAGTCAAAACAATATTTAGAGCTGGGTGGTGGTGGAACATGCCTTTAATCCCAGCACTCAGGGGGCAGAAGCAGGCAGAGCTCTGTCAGTTCGAAGCCAGCCAGCCTGTTCTACAGAGTGAGTTCTAGGACAACCAGGACTGTTACACAGAGAAACTTCTATCTTGAAAAATTCACAGTGCCCTGAGAAATTCACAATGCAAATTACTATTTGAAGTTTTGTCTATGTCAGAGAAAACATTTGTTAAAAGAGACAGAGATAGATGGCTCAGTAGGTAAAAGTACTTGCTGCTCTTGCAGAGGACCCAGGCTTGGCTTCTAGTCCACATGGTGGCTTACAACCATGTCTAACTCCAGTTCTAGTGTATAAGATGCTCTCTTCTGACCTCCACCCTCTTCTGGACACTGTAGGCACTTCGTACACATGGTGCATATACATGCATGCAAGCTAAATACTCATACACATAAAATAAACTGAAACTGATTCAATTTTAAGTTTCTAGTTGATTGATTCACACAGTAAAGTGTAAGATAAATAAGCATCAGATATATTATGTATTTATGGAATTTTAGAATTTTTATTCGGCTACTTAAGTTTTATAATTTTATTATTTCATATTCATGAGTATTTTACCTGTAAGTACATGTACCATGTTTGTGCAGTGCCTGCAGAGGCCCAAAGAGGGCACCAGAGAGACCACCTGTAGGCCTGTAGACAGCTGTCTCCACTTGGCAGTATGCACACATAGGCATACTCCCTGTGTGGGGAGGCAGCCCCTGTGCTAGGTATGTCTCAAGATTAGTTCTGAGCTAAACACACAAATAAGCCTTAGCACTTGAAATATCTCCCAAACAAATTATATCTCAGAAAAAGTTTAGGGACCTTTTACTTTTTGGAATGTTTCTAATATAATTGTATGTTGTTGTATGTGTATGTACTCATGTGTTTGTGCACATATCTGCAGGTGTCTGGTCATCTGGGACCAGAGAATGATGTTGGTGTCTTCTAAATCATCCTCCACCTTTGTTTTGCTTTGCTCTCATTAAAGCTGAAACAGCTAGACAGGCTGGCAGTAATCCTAGATAGCCTCCTGTCTCTACCACCCCAGTGTGTGGCCACAGGTGGCTTCTCCCTAGCAAGCTTTTAATGTGGATCCTGGGAATCCAAATTCAGGTCTTCATGACTACCTGGCAAGCACATGATCAACTCAGACTCTCCACAGCCACTAATAAAATTTAGAGAAAGCTTTTATAAGCATAGTTTATAATTTCCTTGCAATAATTCAGCTTATCAAAGTAGGCACTGAAACAACTTATGAAAATTTCTATCACTCGCTTGTCTTTTTTCTTGTAAGATATTTATGTGTATGTGTGTGAATACACACGTTTGGGTGCTTTTAGATGTTGAATCCCCGGAGCTTGAGATAAAGGAAACTGTGAGCTGTCTGTCGTATGTGCTGGGCACAGAGTTCTGGTCCTAAGGAGCAATGAGGGCTCCTAACTGCTGTGTGTGCTCTATCTGCATGTATCCCTGCACACCACAAGGTACCAGATCTCACTACAATGGTTATGAGCCACCATGTGGTTGTAGGGAATTAAATTCAGGACCTCTGGAAGAACAGCACAATGTCTTGTTTCTAGGATGCTGAGGCTCTCTTCTGTCCTTCCCATCCTAGAGTGGAATTAAACATTCTCCAAATAGCTCTTTGGTTTCGTGCCCACATTAAAGGTGCTCATTGCAATTATATGACATTGTTAGTAGACTTTGAAGAGACACAATTATCAGTAACATTAAAAAAAATATTTTTAAAGATCAGGTCTTACAATGTAGTCTTGGCTAGTCCGAAACCTACCCCACACACCAGGCCAACCTTCATCTCATGAGGATCTGTCTGTTTCCACCTACTGAGTGCTCAGATTAAAGGCATGCACCACTATGCCTGACTAGTATTTCTAAGCAGAATAGCCATTGGCAGGAGCGCTGCTTCCTCAAAATTAAACCTTCAGACACTCAAAGCTCAAGAGAGGAGCTACAGTTTCCCATCATAGCTAAATGACTTTTAAATGGTGACACAGAACAATATTTACAAGTTATATTGGCATCCAAGTGTTACAAAGAGTGGCTGTGTTTGTAATCTTCAGAGAAGCCAACTCCTATGATGGTGACAAATAAAATCCAATGGCAACTAGGTTTAACATATTAACACTAAAGTCAAAAAGCACAGACCATGGGGGCTGTAGAGATGGTTCAGTGGTTAGGACCACTGGCTGCTCTTCCAGGGATCCTGAGTCAGGTTCCCAGCAACCACATGCTGGCTCATAACCATCTGTAATAAAATCTGGTGCCTTCTTTTGGCATGTGAGTGTTCATGCAGGCAGGACACTGTCTACATTAAAAAACAAAACAAAACTAAACAAACAAACAAAAACCAGGTACAGAACATAAAAAGTAGGGTAGGAGACAGAAATACAATGCTGTATGGCTTCAACATTATGTGCAAAGTGGTACAATAACTTCTGAAGACAGGCTGTAAGAAAGATATTTATAAACCAAAACTCAAGTTGTATTCACAGAGCCCCTCCCACAGTTATTTTGAAGATAATAGAGCTATCAATCCAAGACGATCCCTCTCCAATTAAATCACCCTCTGGGAAGAGCATAGGCTTCTGTGTATGTTTATGGTAACCTAGTTTATGAAGAGCTACAAGAGGAAGAAATAGCATGAGATGGAGATGCCCATGGCTCGTGCACTACATGTGTGTGTTGAGATGTTTCACAAAACAAGTATTATATATTATGGTACCCATAAGTAGGAACATTTATTTCACAAATAAAAAAAACCTTCCAAGGTAGTTATCATGCCATACAAGGCTGAGTACCACCAGCATACAACAGCTCTTTAAGTTTAGTTTTTAAAAAAGGTCCAAGTGACAAGCCAAGTGTGGTGGTGCACACCTGTGACCCCAGATGTCTTTCTTAGCCATGCAGTCCTCTTGAGGGCTAATATACTCATGAAACAAGGGTCTTAACAGTTTGTCCTACAAAAATAACAATTCCAGAAGTTATGTAAATACTTCTAGAGCTTCAAAGTTAAAGATTAGAATTCAGTTTAAATTCACAAATGATGGGAAAATCTACCTTTCTGCAGAATTGCTGTTAAATGTTCTCCTAAAAGCTGTTTCTCCACACAGGCAATCAAGGGTTTCCTATAAAAGAAAAACAGAGTGTCAGCAGCAGAGACTGGTTAGCTAGCAAAGGTGAAAAGTTCAGTCACAACAGGCAGTCTATAGCCAAGTAGACAGAGTCATGTCAATTGTCAAATTTGGCTGATGATTTAAAGCCAGGTTTCATTTCAGATCCTTCCTTCCTTCCTTCCTTCCTTCCTTCCTCTCCCTCCCTCCCTTTCTCCCTTCTTCCCTCCCTCCCTCCTTCCTTCCTGCCTTCCTTCCATGAGACAGGATTTTAATACATAGCCCAAGCTGGTCCTGAACACATGGTTTTTCTACCTTTGCTACCCAGTGCTGGGATTATAGGCCTTCATCACTATACCTGGATTCCTGCAGCATTTTTAAGCACAACTTGCTGAATAACAAAGTGAGTACCCAAGGAGCCTTCTGGTTGGTTTCTCATTTCTACCTCTGCCAGTCATGGTTTGGCCCTTGATGTCACTTGCTAAACCTTCCTGAACTGTAAACATAAACTGAGCCTAGAACCCTGCAGAGTGAGCCTAGTGAAGCAGACTAGAACCCAGCAGGACTTATATCTAGCAGTGTAGTCTATAGTCCTATTGCTTATGCCTACTGAAGTACTCTGGTCTCTGTGTTCATTGCCATGTTGGTCTGTTAGCCAGGATGCTTGGTTGCTCTATGTGGTGGCACCATCAGGCCTACGAACCCCAGGGTTAAGTATTTTCTGTGGCAAACCATCTTCCTCACAATTTAGACTCTGACCTCTCTCCTCCATCCATCACTATCTTCAATCTTCCTGCACTTACTCTGCCTTCCAATGTGTTCTCAGCCTTGCTCCTCACCTCTGTAACACAGGAGGGACTGACAATTCAGTCCTAGAGACTGGCCAACCACCTACTTTTTGTCTTATCTTCACTCCTCCAGTTCCATCTCTCACCCTGACCACCCCCATCCCCATGAATACTGGGCAGGTTTCCCTTCATGGAAACAGCCTGCTATAAGGTCTGGACACATGAGCTCCACACAAGACCAGTGGAAAATGTGGCCTGACCACTACAGTCACAGGTATTGACATTGTCCTTCTGCCCCTGCCCCACCCCACCAAGACAGGGTCTGTCCTGGAACTCTTTATGTAGACTGGAGTCAGCTCTACGCTTGGCCTTCCAAGAGCTGGGATTATAGGCATGTCCCACCACACCCAGCCTTTTTCTTATTCACAACTCATTTTATTTTTTCCTTTTCAGAAGATCACAGAGAATCTGTTTTATTCTAAGAATGATCAACTTTAGACCTTTCTCAAGTCTCCATTTTAGAGTTTGTAAGGAAGATTACTGGAGTTCGGTACCTAGTACCAGTGTTTTTCGAGACAGGGTTTCTCTGTGGCTTTGGAAGCTGTCCTGGAACTAGCTCCTGTAGACCAGGCTGGTCTCGAACTCATTGAGATCTGCCTGCCTTTGCCTTCCCAGTGCTGGGATTAAAGACTTACACCACCACTGCCCGGCAGTACCACTGTTTTAAATTGTACACTCTGCACACTCCACAGTACATGTGGATGCCAGGGTACCTTCAGGAGTCCTGGGGATTGAACTCAGGCAGTCAGGCTTGGCAGCAAGTCATCATTTTTTTTTTTTAGACAGACAATGTGTAGCCCTGGCTGTCCTGGAACTTGGTCTGTACACCAGGCTGGCCTTAAACTCAGAGACTTGCCTGCCTCTGTCTCCCCAGTGCTGGGATTAAGGCCTGTGCCACCACCACCCACACTTTCAACCTGCAGCAAGAATATATGTGGCCTGTGAAAAACTGAAATGTATCCAGGGACAATGCTTACTGTGTGCTGTGGTCTAAGTAAGTGATCACTCGGTCTGCTTCCTCTTCTAAACGCTTACTCACATGGTTAAGGTATTCTGGAACCTTCCAAAAAAATTTAAACATCATGAAAAAACATTTCCCACATTATTGATAACATGTTTTCCACATTACATTGAAGAAGAGCAGCAAACACATTCAAGTCAAATATCAATAGATTTCCAGGGTTGAGCAGGGTGGGAGGAAGTGAGTGACAACTAGGAGGTCAAGAATCACCTTGAAAATTAGGGCCCAGATTACTCACTGCTTACTGCAAAGTGTTGGGGGTTCAGAGATATACACCAGTGGGCCCTGTCTGTGAGTTACTAGTAGTATCTGGGTAGAAAGTCCAAGCCTACTGGCAACCTGGGCAGCATGAAGCTGTCAGAGAAGAGGTGATACCTCCTCTGTGGGCAGACATCAGTTGTCTGGGGTGAATAGTCCTCAGGGTAAATCCTGATGACAGGCTGGGCAGGTGACTTGTGTCTGTATTCAGGGCTCCCTTTAAAACTGGACTCCAGGACCTAGGAAATGGCTCAGCAGGTTCCAGTGATATTGCTATTACACATGCTTTGTCACATGTACTTTTGGGGAGAATTCTCTACCAGTGTTTTACACAGATGACAAATTTTGATTCTTTAAATTACTTGTCTTTCATATTTAGGATTTACTCTTTATCCTCTTGTCCAGACATGTGGTCCTTTGCTACTGCAGAAACCACTTTAGAGGAGGAGGAGAAAAAAGAAAAAGGAAAGATCTCTTAAGGGAAAGGAGTGACCCTCTGCAACAAGCAGTTTGCTCCTGAGAACTTCAAGAGACTCCGAAAGTGTTGCACAGGTAGGAGGAGTGGTCCTTGTGACTGGCTCTGAGGAGTGGGTTAAAGCAAACACAGTCTCATATCTCACCTCCCTGTCTTGCATCAGCCTCTGGCCTTCTGCAGCGTATAGACAATTAGTCTCTTCCAAGAACTTCAGTTCAAACGAGTCTTTATACACCTAGGGAATGAGCAGTTACTGAGGAGCTTCTTGCAGGAGCCTGCCTTTTTAGCACTCTCTGAACCAGTTGGCTGCAGATGAGGTCATCATGTGCTGTGGTTTTTTTTTTTTTTTTGGAAAACTTCCCTACCCGGTCAGGACCCTATCTGCTCTCAACACTAATGTTTATTCAGCCTTTGGACTTTGGTAATTTATTTTACCTTTGCTTATGGTGTATTTTCCATACTTATCAACCTTTGCTTCTGTGGCTCCTTGTGTAGTGTGTCATTAGCCTCAGGCACTCTCTCCTTAAGAACTGGATAATCCCATTTCAACTCATACTTTGGTGATGCTATTCCCCACTTAAACCTCTGATGCCTGCATTTACTCTGTGGCAGGCACTGGTAGGCAGCTTCACTCACCTGGAGATCCGAGAGCATGCTTAGCAGACTGCGCAGCAGGCTGCGGTCCACAGCCTCCCCACTCCTCTCACACCCGATGAGCAGCAGGATCCCATCAATGGTCTTACTCTGCACCATCCTGTCGCTGATGATATGGTTCCTGAACAGCTCTAGGCCCATGTCCCTGACAGGCACAAGGCAGAACAAGTGTTAGGTCAGCAATGGATGCTCCAGAAGCTTCACATGTGCCAGCCAAAACTGCTATTTGCTAATTATACCCAGAGCTTGAAAAGGCTTCTCATAAATTCTTGCTTGGCCAGTCCAGGATGCCTATGTCTATACTCTAAATGAGGTTATTTCCTGGATAGGTCAAGCTGACCACCTGAAGAGGTAATGAGATTCCTCGTGGTCACACAGGCACCCAACAATCATATTGCTTTTGTGTCTCACCACTGTTCTTGGGTGACCCAAGGTGTCAAGGCTGTGGGAACCACCACATCTGCTCCCCCTGGACTCCTTCCTTTGTCCTGTACTGTGCCCAGCATCTTCTTCTCTATTCCACAATCCTAATTCCTCAGCTTGTAGCCCAGGAGTTTTGGGAAGGGCTTTGTGGAGTGAAGGTCTCATTTTAACAGAGAGGGCAGCAGGTTTTGCTGGATGTAGGAGGGCACTCACCAGATAGAAGGCAGCATAGAGTTCTGGAGGACATAGGTGCGATCCAGAAACAGGAAGATGCTTCTTATCATGATCTGAGGACCAGAAAGGAGAAGCACTGGCACTCACACTCATTCCCTCACACACCCACTCCCTCAGTCATGTGCTGACCCGAGATCAGATGGTGTGGACCACTCTAAATTACCTGTCTTGAGTGTAGCCATCAACTCTTGATACAAAACCATCTCACATCAGGTCCCCCATTTTTAAAAATTTGACTTTTTCTTCTGGTATTTTCTAGCCCAGACTGTAGGGATTTTAAAGCATTCAACCTCAAGGACTTTGAAATTTAATTTTTTTCCATCTTACAACTGGAGACACAATGATGCTTTTTGGATGGTTGATCACTAGTCTTTGGCCTTAAACTCCTTATTTTCCTGTTTCTACTTCCTAAATATGGTAACAGGCACATACAGAAGAACCCTCTATTCTTGCCTTACATGTTCTTTCTTTCTCATTCCTTTCTTTTAGTTTTTCCAAGACAAGGTTTCTCTGTAGCTTTGGAGCCTGGCCTGGAACTAGCTCTGCAGACCAGGCTGGCTTTGAACTCACAGAGATCCTCCCCAGTCCTGGGATTAAAGGCGTGCTCCACCATCACTTAAATTTTCTAACAGTTAAGTCTTGCTACATGGTCTTGAGGCTTGGGCTCTAGAACGTACTTTGTTGCAAGGACAGCAAAAGTGTAGGCAGTGAGCTGTCTTGAACCTTTGCCTGAAGCCTTGCGTTTACAGCTGGAACTGATTCCCGCTTCTGGTGAGACTTCTGACACCTAAAACACCTTCCCTAATGTCTTCAAACCCACATGGCTTAAAACCTCATCATCGGCTCCTCAGGGTCAGCAAGCAAATACTCAGTCTACTTGAAGATGTCTTCTCTCACAGGTCACTAATGTGAAGAAAAATTAGACACCTCCACAACTAAAGGTTTTGCCATCTAACTACAGTGGAGCTCAGGCCAAATGGCAATTCGACACCCAGAGCCTCTTTGAGAACTTAGGGAGCCTCCTTCTGCGTGCACACACTTGACTGCTGACCCAGAGGCAGACCTGGCTGCACCCCTTCCTGGAAGAGTGTGAGTAAGTTCACCTCCCCACCCTACTCTAGTGCTCAATTGTGGTAAAGGGTCCCTGTGTTCAGGCCTTAAATTGGTGGGAAGGCAGGTTAAGACAGGTGCGGGGGGGGGGGGGGGAATCACTACATCTATCTAGAGCAGAGGCTGTAAAGCCAGAGTACAGGTGGGCAGGTGTGAGTGAGGCAACAAAGGCATTAACAGTAGTAGCGATGGAGAACCAGGCAGTTGAAGGGCTGCACACTTACCATCTGTCTGCAGTGATCTTGCCAGCACGTGTTAATCTTCTTTAGAAATAAAACACTGTCTAGTGAGTCTGTGCAGACCTGCTAAGGAAACTTCAAACACACCAGCCCATTCCATTTTGCAACATTCACTTTAATCTCAGTATCCTTCCCTGCTAGATGTCCTTCTATTAACACAGAAAGTACGATCATTATACCACTATACAGTGCAAGTTATACTACAGTCTGAACACTCATGTCCCTCTAAATCCACAGTGAAAAACTAATGCCAAGTCAATAGTACAAAGAGATATGAAAGACACCAGAGAGAGTGGCCTCATCCTATCTACAAAGCAGGAAGCTCTTACAAGTGGAATCTACTAGTTCTGGGTCTTGGACCTCCAGGCTCCAGATTGTGGCTCATGACACCAGTTTACCAACCCATGAGTGGCCTTCTAGCCTCTGCTCACTGTCTCATTTCCTTTTGTAGTAACCTACCTGACTCATCCCACCCCCTGGATCTGTCCATCACAGCTCCACTCTGGCTTCCTCTCTCCTCTCTTCTCTGCAGGGTTACTTTCCATTCCTGCCAGCTGACACAAATAAGCAGGCATGAGTGCTTCATCTGGGTGGCCTGATTTTACCCACTGAGGGCCAGGACATAGCGTAACTCCAGGACTCCACAATGTGGAGTGTCTGGTGGGGCCTGAGTGTCCCATAGTCAAAAAGCAGGGAGCTGATAGCTCAAGAGCAGTAGCAACGTGCCCAGTAAAAGCTGTGTTAGAGCACTCAGTTGTATTTATGACCACAATACACTCACCTAGACTCTGAGTGTGCCTATGTATGTTTGTATGTGTGCTTTGGGAGTCTCTAGCCAAGAACCGCCTAAGGTGAAGCAACCTTCCTCCCCAGTCTCCTACATGTTGGGATTTCAGGTGTGCATAATTGACTGCTTTTGAGTCAGGATCTTGACATACAGTCTATGCTAGTGTTAAACTTGAGGTCTTTTTGCCCCAGTGTCTTCAGAGAGGAGACTTCAGGCTTGTGCCAGTATATATGGCTTAGGATAGACTACATACATACATATTTTTTTTTGAGATAGGATTTCACTATGTATTCTGGCTGGCCTGGAACTTGCTACTAGGATATCCTATAATTGTATGTATGTTTGTATGTATGTGTACACATGTGTAGTATCCAAAGAGAGCAGAAAGGAGTGTCAGATCCCCTGGAACTGGAATTGTGGATGGTTGTGAGCCACCATATGTGCTCTTAATTGCTGAGTTGTCTCTACAGCCCTACGTTTTTAAATTTTCAGATTTTTCCCCCCCAAGTGATGTAATTTTTTTTTTTTTTTTTTTTTGGATTTGTCTGTATGTGTGTGCTGGCGTGTGCTGGTGCCAGTACCCATGGAAGCCAAAGGTGTCATATCACCTGGAGCTCAAGTAAGCCTAACACAGGTCCTGGAAACATAACTTGGGTCCATGGCAAGAGTGGCAAAGCTTTTATCAATGAGCTAATTCTCAAGCTCCTGGGCCATACTTTTCAAGAAACGTACAAAATACAGTTTTAAAGTAAAGACATCGAATGTGGGTTTCTAGAGGATTTTTCTTGCCCATTTTTATTTGGTATTTGAGCTTCCTAATACAGAACCGCAGGCCCTGCAGGTGGAAAGCACCAAGTGTCTTGTGTGTTAGTGCTGCTGGCCACTTACTAGCACACAGCACCACCGGTGTTGAGCTCAGGTGTGGCAGGCAGTGCAGTTCTTAAGAACACACTTTGCACCCCCTCATGTTCACTCTGTCTGGTCACATCCCATCATCCTTCAAGGCCCAAGGCAGTGCTACTCTCCCCACCTGCCAAGCCCTGCCTGTTTTCTGTTCTGCTGCTGTTAGCTGCATGTGTCAGGGTTCAAGACACATTGTCACTAAGGACATCTAATGTCTTTACCTCCTGTAAAACAAATCACGACTCTTATAATCCTGGTTTGTTACCAAGGAACAGTGGCATTCCCTGGCTCTACTATGGGCTATGGGCTATAATCCCTTGGAGGGTGGAAATCAGGCACACAGCTACTTTTCTATAATCCACCATCAAGACACTGGGTAGGAAACAAAGGCTTGCTAAATATGTGACCACTCTGGTCAACCTACAGAGTGGGATTAATTGGTAGGAGGATAATTAAAGTAATCAAAAAGTGGTTTCAAGCAGAGTGGGGTTAGAGCAAAACAGTATGAACTGACCCTGATAGGTACTGGTGTCCTAGAACATGGTTGCTGACCGCCTAGTGTCACCTAGGATCTCAGGCTCAAGTGCTCTGAAAGGGTCAAGAGGTATGCCTCACAGGAATCTCCTGAGTGAGATAAGAGTGCATGCTGGAAGGTTCCTCTAGGGTGTGTGTTCACCATCATCTTGTACAATCTCAAAGTCATGAGTTCAGAACACTTGCCAGAGACTATAGAGGCACCCTGGCAAAAGCCTATGTAGCAGAAACCTAGACCATCAAGGCCTTAATGTCCAGTAGAACTGCTTGCTTGCTGCTCTGCGTGACCAGGGTCTGCGCAGCTAGCAGGACCATGCTTCCTTTGATGAGAGTAAGCCACGGGAGGCAAAAGATCTCCTGAACCAGGAGAAAATCTTCAGTAGGCAGGTTATGGGATTTGTTTTATACACAAAAGCATGGAGTCAAAGAGGTCAGCATGGACTTTACACATGACATTTGTGTTCTAAAACTGGTAATGGATTTGGGGACCAGCCTGAGGCCAGGTCATACAGATGTCCTTGTGGGCATGAGTCACAAGATGACAAGGCAGCAAACCCTAAGCTGCCTCTGCCCAGCGCTGTGTACATATAGCACATACCTGAATAATTCCCTTCTCCAACTGAACACCACAGCCATCACTCCTTTGTCTGGTTCTATCCTGGGAGGTACATACAGTCTCAGACCAGACAGGCAGGTTCTCCTGCCTGCCCACAAAAGCACACAATTCACCAGGAGAAACTGGATGCAGCTAGGATCGAGGCCTCAGATTAAGCCGATCCATGGCGGGGTGGTAAATAGGAACCTCATTCCGACAGGTACCACCTGTGGGAACCAGTAGAGGCCAACCTTCAGATCAGATTGCCTTCCTGACACCCTAACTTAGGCCTGTGAGACAGTGAGCAGACAAACTACAGGACTGTACTCTGATTCCTGACAGACACAACCCCCCAAAGGGGTTGGAGGAGCCACATTTGTGGGGACCTGTCACATAGTATAGAAAATGAATACAGATGGTTTTTATTAAAGGACAGAACTTAAACTTTAAGGCATTTTCAGAAATTTCCCTAAATATTCCAACTAGACGTATAAGTGCAGACTGTTTACCCTCATTCATATTAGTAATTTAGATGTTACAAATTTCACTTTAAAATCTATTATAATGAATTATGAAAAAACCTTAGGCCCTTTGTTATATAAAATAGGATTTAAAACTTATCCTTTAATATTAATGATATTCATTAGTTCTTTATCCCATTTTAAAAAGATTTGTATAATAAATAGAAACATCATGAGGCAAAAAGTCAAAGAAAGGATATTCTCTGAATGGAAGGATCTGGGCTTGGACATGGTCTTCACAGACCTGGCGCAGCTGCTTGTAGAGCGTCGGGGAGACTTTGTGAGAACAAAGATTTTCAACAGCCTACAACAAAGGGAAAGACGATGGTTCAGTATGAGGGTAGAAGTTCTCGGAAGCCTGTAGTGCTGATGCTACCAGGTACTTCAGTGACCTACATGCTACACGCACACCTGGAACTGTGGGCACTTAGCCACTTGTGCGCAGCACAGCGATGGCAATGGCCCACAATAAGGGCTCTGACTGACAGAATGTTACACTTGTCACCCCTAGGACTTTGGGGGCTGGTACCTCAAGTCTCCAGCTTTGCTCTAGTTCAGTGGCTTCTCTATCTGAACAACAGTACCAGGACTCTGAATTAGGTTTGAGTCTTGTGGCCATTTTCTGATTCTCTGGCTGAGGTGGGCACACATTTATTTATCTTGAAAATGACCATGTGAAACCAGGCAGTGACAGAGGTGAGCAGAACTCTTGACTAAGCCAGGCAGGGCCTCCACCTGAGCGGAAGATAGAAAACTATGATTTCTGAGTGACACAGGCCAAGCCATGATGACCCTTGTTTATTTACTGATTCATTTTGAATAAATTTGTTTTGTCTTAATGAAAAAAAGACAACATGTTTTTGAGGCAGGGTCTCTCTGTATAACTGCCTCTGCCTCCCAAGTGCTGGGATGGGACTAAAGGTGTGCCCACCCCTGCCTGGTGAAAAACAACTTTTGAAGCAGAAAAAAAGTTAAATATTTCTACCTGCTAAAGGAGTATACACACATTCTCACTAGTCCTAATTAAACCTATCTCAAATCTCATTCAAGTGTGACACATAAGAAGAAGTGTCTTCTACCAACAAAGGAGGAACTTTCCATCAGCCCTTTTTCCTCACATCTTGTAGTAGAGGTTCTGCCCCAGATCATGAGCCAGTCCATATATACAAGTACTCAGTCAGTTTTGCATGTGTGCATCCCTGCAACTTCCTTTTTGTCAAAATCAAGTTTGTGTGTGACAAACTTTCCTTCTTAAGACAGTGATTCCTAAGGACCATTTTCTCTTTCTTCTTCTCCAGATACTCTCACTATGTAGCCCTGGTTGCCCTGGAACTTGCTAAATAGAACAGGCTGGCTCCTCAAGCTCACAGAGCTCCTCCTGCTTCTGTCTCTGCCTCCCGAGTGCACCAGCAGCCCCAGCTATGGGCATTTTCTGAGTGCTGACTCCTGAGGCTGAGTCAATAATCCTAACAGTACTTTTCCTAGCTGTGACATGTTGTCACTGTCACTTACTACTACATGAAACCCTGAGATTTGTTTTGTTTTTAATATTAGGAATGCCTCAAAGTGGGCAGCAAACCAACCACACCTGGTGTGGAGATTTTGGATTCTGCTGGTACCAGTTCACAGCTGTTCCTCATATCAACTCACAGATAACAGGAGCAAGGAATCATGGGCTGTGTCACTAGATTCACTGACAAAAAGGACACAAAGGCAAGCAAGACCCAATTGCCTGCCTGGCAAGCTTTCAGAAAGCTGCCACATATACCTAGTTACCCTGGGACCCAGCCATGACAAAGAGACTTACAGGTGTGACAGGGTGGGGCCCCAGGATGACCCTGAACTCACAGCAGAAGACTAGCAGGGCATGACTGATGGCACTTTCTGTGGCAAAGACGGACACATACAGACTTGATGTCTCCCTACTCCTCCTCCTCACCTCCCCCATTCCCACCTGGAGTAGCACTGGGATACTGGACCCTCTAGATGCCCACCTGAAAGAAATAAATGACAATGTGGAATGAGATCAAGGCTCAAGATACAGGCCACAGTGAACTCGAGGAGATACACATCTACCACTGACTTCCAAATCCAATCTGACCTAAGTCTCAAGAAGACTGAGGAAAGAGCTAAACACACACAACTGCAGAGTGCTGAGCAGGGCTGCTCTACTAGGGCAGTTGCTAGGGGACCAGGCAAGTCATAAGGTATATTCTCTGCTTCTGTAGTGAATTTACTCTCTACTGTGTGGCATCCTCAAAGTGATCATAAAGCAATACTGATCTGTTGCAGGATATTTGATCACACAGTGAGAGCCAGTGGCTAGTTGACAAGAATCTGTCACAGAGTACACAGAGGACCCAGTTTACAGATAAAGAGGCACAGGAAGGAATAGGGAGGGACTTGGAGATGTGTGGATTTTTTGGATTTCCTTTTTGGCATAGGAAGTGTGGAGAGAAGGTCAGGTGGTTGTGCCTCTGCTGCTCCTATGATCTATCAGGGTTCACCCCAATATCTGACCCCCGAGTCTTTATTGGTAATAGAACAACTCAGATAAAAACAACAATGGTCGTCTACCATTTCCTAGATTTTTCCACATCAGCTTTTGGTCAGTCCTATCACTTAGTTCTGACAAGACCATTTGGCTTTCTCCTTTAGTAACATGCTTGACAGGAGTGAACCTGGGCTCTTCCTGGAACCTGGCCATTCTGAGGAGTTTGTTCTCAGGCTGACCTCAGCCCTGGGCCTTCTTCTGATGGCTCCTGGAAACACTGTTGTGCACTAGCGTGACCACAGGACCATACTTGAATACATAAGTCACAGATGCATGTGCTCAGAAGCGGTTTGGGCTCAGGTCTTCAGAAGCAAAGAAAGAGATCTGCACCCTCAAAACAGCCCTACTCAAAGGAGGAAGACACAGAGGGTGGCAAGCCAGGAGACTTCCACACCAGGAACTGACCGATGGAATCCAAGGAACAACCAAGCAAACAAGTTGCTGAGCAGAGAGCCAATGGGCTCTGGTGTTTACACAGACTTCAAAACTAAACATATTTCCAGACTGGTAAATCTGGAGCTTTCATCAAAGATGCTGAGGCATAGCGTGACGCACAGCTGCAAACAAAGACCAAGGAGCAGGTGAGCACAGTGCTTGCCCAAGGCCAAAGCTGCCCCTCTGCCCTGCTTCTGCAGCACAGCTACACAGAGGTCTGAGGGTGGGTCCCTGTGGGTGGGTGCCCATGAGATGGAGCAGCTTGAAATGTGTGAGGTCTCCCTAAGATACATCGCTACATATGTGGTATTGGAAAATTCTTGCACTGCTAGGACAGCTAAAACTGGACAGTGCAGTGTCTAAGAAACCGGACATTAAGCTTCAGTGGCAAGATGCATTTCATAAACAAAACTTCCCAGTATTTAGGTCCTTGGTACAGCTTTTGCTCCTGGTCAAAATAACCAAGAAACTAGACAAAGCACATGAAAAGTATTGGGACCTTTAGTGGCTGGAGGTGGATGATCTTTGGGAGGTTTTAGCAATTCCAGCTTCCTAACCAGTTTCCAGTCTGCATACAGGACTGAGTCCAGGAGATGAGGGACTGCAGGGAGTAAAGTCTCCAGGAATCCCAACATACAACAAGGGTGCCCAACCTGGGGTGAGGAAAGTACAATGTCAAGATAAAAACCATCTAGAAGGGTGGAGAAAACAGTGTCAGAGTTCACCCGGGACCTGGAACAACTGGAAACCACAATCAGGTTCCTAGGAAGATCTGCCTCAGTGCTGGGGTCATGGATGCTTACAGCAATGCTCTGCCTCGCCTAACAGATCCTAAAAGCTAGACTTAAAAAGACCAGATAGTCTCCCAAGTATTTTAACTGCATAGTAATATAAAGCTATCTGTCATGCCAGTCAGAATTTATAATGTTGAACATCCAATCAAAGATTATCAGATTTTCCTTAATGGGGGAAGGGAAGCAACCAGAACCAAGGACACAGAGTTAGCAAGTCAGGACAAAACAACAGTCATCAAAAGATTCCATTTGTGCAAAGACGAAGCAGAGCTTTACAAATCTTCAGAAGGACCCAGCTGCACTCTTAGGAAGAAGACAGAATGTGAGGGAAGTCACACCAGTTCAGGAATAGCAGATGAGACATGGTTGAGGACTAGACTCTGAAGACAGGAGGGCTGGAAGTCTCAGGAAGGCTTGGGACAATCACTGAACATTTAAACATCTTTCCATGAAGAAAACCAAGATGGAGCTGGAGATGGCTCAGCAGTCAAGAGTTACTCTTTCAGAGGATCCAGGTTTGATATTCAGCACTCACGTGGCAATTCACAACTGCCTGTAACCCCAGTTGTAGGAGATTCTACACCTTCCATCCTGTGGGCACTAGGTTTGAATGTGGTGCAAAGATGTACATGCAGGAAAAACATCCATACAATAATAATAATAACAATAATAGTAATAATAATGAAAACAATAATTGCTCCACTAGGGAATCTCCTCAAACATTTAAGAAATGACATCAACTGTACACAAGGAAGAAAGAATCATTTTAAACTCATAAGACCAACATTATTTTGACAACAACCTGATGAAAGATATATTAAGAAAATAACACATTAAGACAAAATGAACAAGACATTAACAACTTAACCCAGTACATAAAAAGATAACAGAACGGGGCACAGTGGCAGAAATTTTAATTCCAGTAGCACTCAGGAGGCAGAGGAAGGTGGATTTTTATGAGATTGAGGCTAGCCTATAGTCAGCCAAGGCTACATACTGAGACCATGTCTCAAAAAAAAAAAAAAAAAAAAAAGCAAAACCAAACCAAAACAAAAACCAAAACATTTCAGCCAAGTAAGATAAAGCCCAAGCATTAATGAACACAATGGACAGACTGAGAGCCCACACAATCCCTCAATAGATGCAGAAACACACTTCATTAAACTAGGAGCAGAAAGGACCCTCCTACATGGTGGCATCACACTCAAGAATGGTAAAATGAAACCTTCCTGAGACCCAGAGCAAGACAAGTGGGCTGCTTTCTGCTTTCTCACTCCTAACCATTGTCCCTAAGGCTCTTGCCAGTATAGCAAGACAAGGCAAAGAAAAGACAGGCACAAAATTAAGAAAGGAAAAAGTTTCCTAGTTATACATAATCATCTGGGCAGAAGACCTAATAGGATCTATGGAGCATCTACAAACAGACAAGGCTGCCAAGTTAGAAGGGCAACTTTAATATATAAAATCAACAGTATTTCTATATAACAGTGAGAATCACAAATCAGAATTTAAAATAAGGCAAAAATCCCACAAAAGGTTTGTAACATCTGTACAACACAAACAAGAAATTCTGCTGAGAAATATTTCAAAAGACCCCACAGAGTGCCATCTATCTTTAAGGCTGAGTCAGTTGTCTCTAAACTGTCTAATTGAGTCACCATAATCGTAATCAAAGCCTTCGCTGGCTTCTTGGAAGAAGTCAGAAAACAGATTCTAAGATTCCTAAAGAAATACAAAGGACCAATAATGACTATGGAAAAACACAAAGCTGGAGGCCAACCCTTCCCGATTTAATACCTTGTTACACCCACTCCTAGAGGACAGTTGGCCTTGTCTTTGAGACAGGCAGTTGGGCAACAATGTGCCCAGCACCTGGACATTTACAGGGAAAACACTGCATTTAGATTTTTATGCCACAACACACACAAAAGTCCATAAGATATAGATAACAGATCTAAAGGCAGAACTTTCAACTCTAAACGTCTACAAGATCTTAGATTAGGACAAAGTTTTTTTTTTTATTTGTTTTGTTTTTGAGACAGGGTCTTGTAGCTGTCCTAGAGCTGGCTAGTAGAAGAGGCTGGCCTTGAATTCCTGAATCTCCTCTGCTTGCTTAGTGCTGGGATTACAGGAGTGTGCTACTTTCCCCAGATATGACAAAATGTGTTTTCTTATTTTTTAGGCAGATACTAAAAGCACAACCTAAAAGAACAGCTGATAGACTGAATTTCAAATTTAAATCACTGTACTTCAAAACACATAGATCAGTTAAGGGGTAAGTTACAGACTAGAAGAAAATATTTGCAACTTTTATCTGGAAGGATACAAACTAAAGCCACACATTCAATAATAGGAAAATAATCTAAGAAAATGAAGCTGGGAATATTGGTTTATGTTTGTAATCCCAGAACTTGGGATGTTGAAGCAGGAGGATTATAAGTTTGCAGCTAGAGTGGGCTACATAATGAGATAAAAGGGGGAGGAGAAGAGGAGAAAAGAGGGGAGGGGAGGGGAAGAGGCAGGCAAACAAAGGTTTGAATAGTTAACTTGATCAGAACAGGACAGAATAACAATAGCTGTATGAAAAAATGCCTAATATCAGTGGGGACTGCAAATTAAACCACAGGTAAAAGTGACAGCACCAAATGCTGCTGAAAATGTGGAGCAAACAGAACCCTATACCACTGGCAGAGTGCAAAATGGTACAGGCACTTTGAAAAGCAAGTTTCTTATGAAATTAAGCACATTAAGATAGTCTCCTGGGAGAGATGAGGACCCATGCTCACACAAGGTATGGCCAGGGCTGAGAGCAGCTTTGCTGGCAATGTTTCCCATTGGACACCCAGATTTCCTTTACCTAATGAATAAGCCAACTGTATCATATCCACACTATTCATTAATAAAAATAATATGCACTTGGGGGCACATTAAGAGAGAGGTTAGCTGGGAGTGGTAAAGGGAGGAACGGAGGAAAGTGATATAATTCTACTTTAAGTAAAAACGTATTTTGAAAAATTTAAAAACCAATAAACACCAAAGTGTTAGCACCATGTGTGCACTGTAAAGCACTATTCCAAATAAAAGCTAAATAACAAGAGATGGAAAATGCAAGACTCCTTTTAATAGAAATGGCAGAGCAGCAGTGGGGAAAGGATGGCTGCAAGGGGCTGCGGTTCTTTGTGGGGATGGAAACAGTCTACATTTTCATTGGGTGGCGGTGGCAAAACAACTTCAAATTAGGCCGTTAACATTTATAGGAACAAGTATCAACTCCACCACCCTCCCAATAAACCTACCGGAGCACAAGTTATATGTAAATTATACTTCAAAAAAGCTGATTAAAAAATTATCATGTATGGTGGCGCATTCAACCATGTGGGAAGCTGAAGCAGGAGGATTGCTATTAAGTTACAACCAGGGTAAAATACACAGCAAGCAACTAGTCAGCCAGCGCTGTGTGTCAAGTATCAAAGACAAAGGGATCAGACAGAGGTCTGGAGAGGTGGCTCCTTGATTTAGAGTACATGAGGATCTGGGATTGGCTCCCAGCACCTGTGTCAAAAAGGCTCGAAACCCCCATGCTCAAGCTCTAGAGGAGAGTTCAAGGCCACCTAATCTATATAGTGAATTCCACACCAGCTGTGGATACACAGTGAGACCCTGTCTAGACAAAATAAAAACCTTAAAAAAAAAACAAAAACAACAACACCTTCTCCTTCAATACACAATCAACTCACAAACTTAAGACAAAGAACAGACACATGTACCCCAATCTATGACATAGGCCTGTAATCCCTTACCCAAAATGCTTTGGACCAGCAGAGTCTCCAATTACAGATTTTTTTCTTCTGGATTTGATACTTGAATATGCATGATGATGTATTTGGGGAAATGAGACTCAGGTCTAAACACAAAGTTAATTCATATCTCATATACCCTGAACACAATTTGAAGGTCTGTTTTTACTTTGTTTTCATCATTGTGTGTGGGCATGACAGGTTATGCGTGGGTGCTTGTGCTACTGTGAGATTGGTGGCCAAAGGACATCTCAGCATTCAGTTTTCTCTACCTTTCTGAGGGTTCTGAGGTTCAACCACTGGTTGCCAAGCTTGTTCGGCAAGAGCTTTACCCACCGAGTCATCTCATTGGCCCTAGCTTGAAGGAATTTTACACAATAGTTTCAGCATACATTGTGTTCTGTCTGAGGACAGCCGTGGATCTTTTTGCCCCCGGGTGCGTTGAAAGTTTTGGATTGGATGAGTTTGGGATCGGGAGTGCTCAACCTGTAACAATTTCCTTTGGGTACGACAGCTTACTCTTCTTTTATTGTACTTTCTGTAACTTCCATAAATCCACTTTGTAACCAAGATAAAACAAACCGGCAAGTTCGTGACTTTAGTGTAACTGATTGTATACATGCTTTATCATTACCTAAAGTAAACTATTTAGAGAACATTATTGTATAAAACCACGACAGAAGTGTGTCTGAAACAAGATGTACTTCTGACCATTTTCTTTCTGCTATAGACACTGATCATCTTTAAATTAAAACCACCCGAAACTGTCTGCAAACCTTATTTGCAACAATTAAACCACAGTTTGTGTGTGTGTGTGTGAGGGGAGGGGCGGGGGGGTTATGACAGACGGTTCCTCCTAGCATACTGAGTTTTATGTGTAACAATCTGGCGTTCTGATAACACTGAAGATCACTGGAGCACTGTGGTTCTCAGCCCCCAAGCCCCCTTTCTTCGGGCGATGGGAAAACTCACACCTCCTAAGTAGCCTGATGTAAGCCTCAACACACAGCACTAATCCAGGGCGGCGATCCACAGAAACACCGAGGGCTGACCGAGGGCTTCACGGCTTCCTATGGGGAAGGCTCGGGCCGCAGCTTTCCCCCCACCCGGCACGCGGGCCTCCCTAGCGTCGGCGACCGAGGCTGCGGGAGGAGGAAAACAGCCAGGTGCTCTCAGGCCCTCTCCGCCGCTCACCTGGTACAGCTCCTCCAGGTTGTACCTGATGGATGTGCTGCTCTGGATGGCCTTGACCGCTTCGTGAAGCTTCCGCCACGTGTCCTGAGTGTAGTTGTCAGGCAGCCGCGGCCTGTCTGTGGGGAGAGAGGGTCAACGGCCGCGCGGGGACAAGACAGGCCGGGGCACCGAGGCAGGGCCCGGTAGGGCCAGCCAGGAGGTGCGGGACCAGGGCCAGCTGGGGCGCGGGGACGTGGCGGAGCAAGAGGTGCGGGACAGGTCAGGCTGGAGCGCCGAAACAGGACAGTGCGGGAACAAGGCGGGCTGGGGCGCGGGGACAGGGCCGGCTGGGCAGCCCCAGGAGGCCTTCTCCGAGCGCGCGACCTGCCGGCCGCCCCGTTCTCTCCTCACCGGAGCGCACCCACCTCGGAAGTTCTTGATGACCAGCTTCCTGGAGCCGCCCGCGCCCCCCGGCTTGGCAGGGCCACTGGCCAACGCCGCGGGCTTGGTGAGGCCGTTGGTGCGGCCCATGAGAGCCGAGACGCTGCCCTTCCGCGGGCCCTCGTCCGCCATGGCTGGGCCGGACGCCGCCCCGCCCCGCGCCGCCCGGCTCCTCCTCCTGCCCTGCGCCCGGTCCGTGCGCGCCCGGCTCCTCCTCCTCCTGTCGGGCTCCGCCCGTGAGCGCTCGGCTCCTCCTGCTGCTGCTCGCGGCCCGGTCCGCGCGCCCGAGGCCCAACCGCCGCGGCGCGCACCGGAATGATCCGGCTCGGGCGCGCGGACTCCGCCCAGTGAGGGCTCGGGCGTACGCGGCCGCTCCTGGAGGGTTCTGCACCCGCGGACGTTCTACGACGAATGCTCGCGAGAGGGCGCCGTGACCCCGGCACCGAGTGCTCGGGAGCTTGGGGCTCGACGTCACATCGAGGGCAGGGGACACCCGGGAGACGTGGGCGGACAGGCGCTCCCCACTACCCTGCTTCTAGGGCAGCCCCTCGCCTAGGGCTCAGGAATGCTCCGTGACATCGCGCGACGAGGGTTGGGCAGCGGGATACTCCACACCCGTTGCTCTCGGGTGCCCCAGTGAGGGGTGTGGGAGAACTCTGGGACATCTCCAGCGACGGCTACGATAGCACGGGGACCACGGGGACGTGTTTCCAAGTGGGGTCGACTTTTGTTCTGTGCGCTTGAGGGTGTGCGAGCCAGGAGCAGCTCTGAAAGTGACGATCGAAGGGATATGGGGCACGGGGAATCGCTAGGACACGGGACGTGGACGTGATCGGGACGCAGGAACACGTTGTCAAGTCTGTTGGGACTCCACGTCAATCCCCTGTTTTTTGCGCGCGCCCTCGCCAGAGTTGAGGCACCCCAGTGACCTCACCCCGAGCACTGACTAGGAGGGGAGTGCGCTTGCCAGCTTCGCTCAGCTTGAGCCGTCGGTTCCGGAACCTAAAACGTGCGGGAAATAAAAGTGTGGGGACAAGGAGCGGAAACGGACCTGCGCCGGAAGTGAGGTGCTTAGCGGCCGCTGCTATGGCGCACATCACCATTAATCAGTACCTACAGCAGGTGAGTTTCTCCCGGTACCTTCGCTTACTGGCCACGAAGGTGGGTTCTGGGGCTGGGTCGGACCAGACCGGGAGCAGGGGAGTCTGCGGCTGTCTTAGAGGTGAAGAACGTTTGCTGCATGGAGCGGGCAGCAGGCCTTGCTCAAAAGTTGCAAGTGCTTCCCGCCGGTTCATGGACGGAGGAGGATTGGAGGTGGAGATAGCAGAATCGGGCCACTTGTAAAAACGGCTGTCCGTGTAGCACTGTTTGCACGAAGCACATTGTGTCTTACGAGAGGTGACCCTCAAGTGTTTGCTCAAGGCCTGCGAGTGGCACAGGCATACAGCGTTGCATCTGGGTTGATGGTTGAGTTTGCGTTTTCTACACGAACCTAGGGCAAGAGAGGTATGAATCCCACTAGTCAGCACACCTGGTGCAGTGGACAGCCAGATGGGAAAGTCTGATGGACGTTTCACCGATGACACTACTGCTCATGGATATTTATGAATCTTGGTTTTGCACTTAGCTTTGTCAAACATCTCATTAGCTGGAAGCTTGGGGAAAAAACATTGCAAGTTAGCCTATATGCTCAGAAGGGAAGAGGCCTGATTAATTGTGGAAGTTGGTGGTGTCAACTACAGCTGTCTACTGATTGTCAGTTAAGTCACAGCATGCCATGCCTCTCTAATGGCCCATTTGGTAGAGGCCTGTCTCTTATGCTGCCACATTTTGTCATTTTCATAGCAGTTGCAGACACAATCTTGTTTTGCTTTTGATAGAGTCCTGCAAATTGTGTAAACCAGGCTGGCCTCAGAAACCTGCCTGGTGGGTGTGGTTTTACTCCATTATTACTTGAGTTGTATGGCTAATGGTTTTGTACCTTTGTGTCCTGGGTTGAGAAGGGTGGCAGAAAGCTGATCAATTTGCCAGTTCTAAGACCTCCTGCTAGTGAGCAGCAGTTATGTTTGCTCTCCTAGTAAATTGCGTTTCCTACTTTCATCGAGACATCCCTTGGCTGTGTGTTTTCAGCAGAGCTCTGAGAGTCCCTATGCTTCCCTGACTCAGGCAGTGAACACAGTTTGGGCTGATGAACTGTTAGTTCTTGTGTGCCTCTTAAGCAGCAGCAGTAGCACTGTTGCCGATGCTTGTGGGTGTGTATTCAGCTCAATTACATCACCAGACACCCTTGAAGCTCTGTAGGTGGCTGACCCCAAGTCTGCTCAGAAGCACACTCAGACTCTGGCTCTAGAGTGCACATATTTAATACTTAGCAGTTTCAAAAGACTCTGTTTCTGGAGAGTCATGCTTGAACCTCAGTGACCTTATTGTTGGCCAAGTGACAAGTCCCTATCTCAATACCTTGGTGATAGCCTTGGCCATCAGCTACATGGTGACAAATTGTTTGTATCCCTTTTCCAATGTCTCCTGTGTTAGTTTCACAGAAGCTGTTGAGGTAGAGTTGATTAGATTTTACCCTCCTTGCAGGTACAGTTTGTTTGTTTAATGTGTACACTTTTAAGGAATTGGGAGTTTTAAGAGCAGTTGATACCTCTGTGGTCTGGTGTGGAGGACCTGAGAAGACCTAGTCAGCTGGGAGAGATGTCTCCTGGGATGCCAGCCCAGGTTACTGTGCACAGGTGCTTGCTTGGGATGTAAGGTTGTAGTTTTTATGTTAGCATTTGGTAAAGCACCTATGGCAAGTGGCTGGGTACCAGGGATGAGATATCCATGGAGTGGCCCGACACTTAAAAAAAAAATACTGGGGACTAGACCCAGGGACTTGCACTTGCTATCAAATGCTCTCAACCCTGAGCTTCATCCCCAGCCCTCAACTACTGTTTGAAGATTTGCTTCTTCAGGCCTGTCACAGTCCTTATTTTCGTCCTCACCCCTAACTTTCTTATGTTGTTACTGAGGCAGGACTCCCTTAGGACACTCTTGAATTGAGTACGGACCTGAGTGCAATGTCCTGTGATGTCGAGCCAGTTGCTACTTGAGGCTTTAGACACAGCTTAGGTAATGGTGGACAAGTAGAGCCACTGGTGTTAGGATTATTTCATCGTGCCGTGCCATAGCCAAGGTCACTGCAAAGGACATGAACAGCCCTGGTGGGCTGCTCCCTGCCCGACACATCACATGGACCTGTTGTGTGGACTCCAATGCACACTGTGCTGCTGCCCCTACAGCCTTCAGAAGTGTGCTGCTGTCCCATGGTGTGTGCCCCAGCTGTGAAAATCCAGCTGCCCATAGGTTTCCTGAGGAGAGGCCTTGGAAACCTTCAGAGAGTCTTGTTCAGGTGTGAAAAGTGACCAGAATACCAACTAGGACAAGCCTTCTCCTTTTAAGGCTGTGCCAGGGAAGAATAATGGAACTTTAGTGCCTGTATAAGGCCAGTATCCTTGAGATCTTTAGAAGAGCCTTTCTGGGACTCTGGCTTTCCTGTTTTCTTGTCCTAGGAAGATTCCAGTTTGAAATGAAGTTGTTTCCTCTATGAGTTTACATTTTGGTTATTGTGGCCTCTTTCACAGATGGAGGGAGCTGTTCTGTGATATGCAGTGCATTGCTCAGGCCCTGTGAGAGCAGATGCTTACCTATCTGCTCAAGTTTCTCCTCCCACTTGTTTCAGGTATACGAAGCTATTGATACCAGAGATGGAGCGTCCTGTGCAGAGCTGGTGTCTTTCAAGCACCCTCATGTTGCGAACCCACGGCTCCAGGTAGGTAATAGATATGTCCATGGCATCTAGAGAGAATGGAGAGAGGCTCTCAGTCAGGAAGGGCTATGCACACATTCAGTTTTCCGCAGAAGTTTAAAGTTTGAATAAAAGGAAACTAATATTGCCACTGTCATTTGAAAATTTCAAAATTTCTTTACGATTAATGTAATCCCATTTAACTTATTGAGTGTTATACCTCATGCGCCCATATTTGATCCCTGTGTAACTTAGGGTTAAAGTCAGCGACATATTAGTGTCATTAGGGGAAATGCCATGGAACTTAGACCTTGTCCATATTCAGCTGCCCCAAAGACAAGAAGCCTTTATACACTACAGGTGAATCCCACCACTGGGAACCAAGATCCCTCCTAGAAACTAGAGCTATATGCTGGTTTCAAGTGTTGTTTTGGTGGCCTCACTGCCACCGTGGCGCAGGTGAATGAGCCTGCAGCGGATTGGCAAAGCCTTTCATGGAGTACATTTGCCGGCTCTGCTCTGTTTTGAGAATAGGAGCATTTTCCACTTGGAGTTTAAATATGGTCTATTTCCTGTAGACAGGTATTTCCTGTAGACAAAGTTGATGTTTTATACAGTCCTATTTCTGTGCTGATGCTCATGGGAGCATCTTAACCCAGGCACACACATATGCGCGCGTGCGCGCGCGCGCGCACACACACACACACACACACACAGAGAGAGAGAGAGAGAGAGAGAGAGAGAGAGAGAGATATTTCTGTGGGAAGTTGGGTTGTGTGGTTATAAAGGGCTGGAGAAACCAGCGCTGCCACTGAGTTTGAGTCCTGAGCCCGTGGGTAAATCCAAGGTCTGCCCAAGATGCTATGGTGTCTTGGCTCAGTAGCAGTCAGGAGCCAGAAGGATGTGTTCTTTTTTTCTTCCCTTTTTTGTCCTGTTCAGTCCCTTAACACTTTGGTGGGTATCCATCCTGCTGGACAGGGATATCTCTTTTATAGAGTCACCAGTTCCAGAAATATCCTCCATACACCCAAAAGTCATATTCCTTATGGGTACTTTAAGGCCAGTCCAGGGAACATGTAAAATTCATTCTCATAGATGTGCTCAAATAATTTAGACTTTACCATTGGAGGGAAGTTAAGGTTAGGAATTCTTGTCAGCCCCTAGCCCAGGACACATGGCATGGTCACTAACTTGTTGTTGACTTTTTTGTGGAAGGAACTGTGTACACCTTGTTCATTAAGGTCATAGGAGCCGCTGAAGCGCTTCTTGACTGACTGACTGACTGTTAAGTACTAAACTATGTGTGAGAGCCCATGAAATGGCTGATTGGGTAGGAGTACCTGCTGAACCAGTCTGGTAACCTGAGATTACTCCCGAGAGACCAGTGGTGGAAAGTATTCCTGTACCTGTGTGTGTGTGCCAAGGCATCTATGAGCCCACACAGGCACACATCAATCACCTACACACATACCAAATAAAATAATAAAGTGCCTAGCATGTTTTGTGGACTGCAGCAAACAACAGAATTGCATTCTTGGGCTTCTTGTTTTCTTGAAATACAGATATTGGTGGAGCAGTGAGCCCTTCTCTTGGGCTGTGAAGCTCTGCAAATGCTCATCTAAAGCTCTTTGTGTGCACTGCTCTTTTATGTCCACTGACTTTACCCTTCTCCCCTTGTGGACTAGATGGCCTCTCCAGAAGAGAAATGCCAGCAAGTTCTGGAGCCTCCCTATGATGAAATGTTTGCAGCTCATTTAAGGTAATCTGTGAGTCGTAGGAAAAACAGATGCACATGTCTGCATGCGTGTAACACATCACTGGATCTACTCAGATTTTAGTATGTCATTGTTTGCTTGGAGCAGTGAATGATTAACTTGCAAAAGTGGACAAATGTGTTATGTGCCTCTTGTGATACACTTGGTATTTCTGCTGGCTAGACTGTCTCTTATTAGTGAGCTGTAGTGCGTGACTGAGGTCTTGCTTTTCTTATGGAAATAATGTTTTTAATGTCTTTGCCTTGTAGGAAAAGAATCTGAGTTGAGCAGAACAAACAGAAACTTGTCTTTATTTCCCTGAGGTGTCTGTTGCTTTCACTGCCATCTTGTCAGGGAGTTCAGGCAGAACTCTATCCTAAAGCCATGTGGGCAGGGTTGTCCTCTGCCTGCATTCCTGTTGTATTTCTGAGCAAGCCTTTGGAAGAGTTGGGGGTGTCACTATGTCCCCTGCTTTACTAGCTGTGTGTTCTCTGCAGTGTGGTTCCAGGTTTGGTAATGAGCTGGCTTTGTTGCCAGCAGGAACCTGCATGGAGTGTCTTTGGAGGCCCACTGACAGCATGGAGTGCCAGCCATGCAGCGCCATCCATGTCAGAAGAGCTTAGTCAGAACAGCTGAACTATTTCCCATTCTGGGATTCAGCAGGGTAGTGTCAGAACTTTGTGTGGGATTTCCTTTCACACTGCCTGTGGTCAGTCAAGTGGTCGTTTGTGTTTCCTCTGTCTGTGGTTCTCTGCCAAACAAGAACTACCTTCTGGGAGCAGTGGAGAGTGGGTGGTATGTGTGAAAATGCACTCTGGGCTGATGTGCATCTGCTTGCCATGTATAGATGCCCTCCAGTCTCTGATGTCTTTTCCAGGTGTACCTATGCCGTGGGGAATCACGACTTCATAGAGGCGTACAAGTGCCAGACGGTGATAGTCCAATATCCTTTACTCTGTGTGTTAATGACTGTGGGTTACTGAGGTCTTGAAACATTGGACCAGTTCAAACCTTCAACTAAAAAAGGAAGAAAAACTCATTTTAACGGTTTTATTTGGATCCCAAAGTTTAGTCTGGCTTTTATGATTCACCTAGTTACTTATATAGTAAGGGAGTGTACTGCTTAACATACTGGGCTCTATTTATTTATTTACTCATGTATTTATATTATACAAGATTAAATGAGGTCATTTTTATGCAAATGTACCTTCTTCGTTAATGTCATCGGGAAGAGACAGGGTTTCTTCCTGAACTGGAAGCTTGCTGTTGATGTAGCTGCTGGCCAACAAGCTTTTAGGATCTCCTTGTCTCCATCTCCCAGTGCAGGGTTATGGGTACACACAGTCGTTCCTGATGTAGATACTTGAGTCACTGACTGTGGTCCTCATGCTTGCTCTCTCTCTTACCACTGAGTCATCCCTAGCTCCAAGAATAACATTTTGTTTTGTTTTGAGATTGTAGCTCTGGCTGTCCTGGAAACTCACTGTATAGATCAGGCTGGCCTTTGAACTCACAGAGATCCACTTGCCTCTGCCTCCCAAGTGTTGAGATTAAAGCATGCACCATCCTGTCCAGCCACTAATGCTTGACAATAGTATATATGTATGAAGATGTTATGGTGAAGCCCTTTATTGTGCATACCAACCTGAAGACTTCATTAAGTACGAAATGTTTTGTAAGTGTGCTTACAGGAAATGCTAAATCTTAGAGGCCCCTAACAGCCTAGATGGAGAGGCATGAACTCTGATACGTACATACATCACCTTTATTCCATGTGATCAATGAAGAGTCATAGTAAACATCAACTTCTGTGATGATCCTTATTGGTGAACTTGCTAAGTATTATAGATCTCTGGATTTTAGTTTGTTCTTGAAAACTACCGTGTTTAAATACACTCAGAAGAGAATGCTACTAGCCAAGTCTCCCTAGAATTTAAGACTTCTAGTATTGGTAAAATAAGCCTTATACTACAGATTCTTGATCACTTAATTGTATCCCATGATCAGTGGACTCAGAGAAACCAAGTACAAATGTAGAAAAGAAAAGTCTTATAACCTGTTGGGGAGATGGCTCAGTTGGTAATGGGCTTGCCCTGTAGGTGTGGGGACTTGAGCTGGATCCCCAGCACCCACAGAAAAAGCAGGAGTGGTGGTTTGTGCTTGTAATCTCATCACAGGGGAACTGAAAACAGGCAGGTTCCTGGGGCTCACTAGCTAATCTAAATGATAGAAAGAAGGTGGCCAGCCTGAGGGATGGCACCCACAATTGACACCTACCCACCACACACACACACATTCAGAAGCACACACATATATACACAGTCTTTTCTTTTTAATGGGGGAGTGTGGGGTCTGGAACTTTCCTCTCCCAAGTGCTAGCATTGAAGGAATGCCACAATGCCTGATCTACATTAACAATCTTATGACAAAGTCTTGTTTCTTTCTTTCTTTCTTTTTGTTTTTTTAAAGTCCTGTTTCTGTATGAACTTAATGCATTGAGTCTATGTGGCTGCTGACACATGGATGTTGTAGTGTGTTTTCTACCTTCAAGGTTTTCCTACTGTTATGACATATTTATCCAAAGAGCGTGCTTTGCCTCTTAGTCTACTTTTAGTAAGTGTAGCATCACTTCGGTTTTGCTTGTCATACCTTAATACAGCACATCATTCCTGCGGGCATTCCAGGCTCACAAAGAAGAAAACTGGTAAGCATGAACAGAAATAGCTGGACATTAGTAAATGGTAGTGGTGTGGGCTGGGGTTAGACTGGAATGGCCGAGCAGACAGGTTATGTGCAATATTTCTGTAGTGAGTGCTGCTTCAGTGTTTCTGCTACAGAAATATTTACCAAGTACTATTTTTCCCTTCGTTTGCCAATTTTTAACTTGGTCTTAAACATTGGTTAAAGCCACATTTGGAGTTATTTTAAATTTCTTGAAAAGTAACCTTAAGATTTATTTATTTACTAGCAAACTAGGAAAATATTTAAATTTTGTTTACACTAGAGTAGCCAGAGGCTTTTTCACAGACAACCAACCCAGTCCTTTCTCTAAGCAATTGTTTTCTTCAGTACTGGGGCTCAAACCCAGGTTCTGGAGTGTGCTAGGCAAACATTCTGTCACTTAGTTATATCACTACATCCTTTTTAAGCTTTTTTTGAGACAGGGTCACTTCTGCCTTAGGTCAGCCTTAAACTCACTGTAGCAGAAGATGACTTTGACCTTAACTCCATGGCTGTAAGGCTGAAATGTTCTGGGTAGTAGCCTGGGTGTCAGTGGTAAGATGTTGGATCTTTTAGCTCTTCAACATATTTTGTCCTTAGGGCTCTGCCTGTCATGTATGCAGTAGCACTTGACCTTCGGATATTTGCTAATAATGTAAGTTCAATTTCCAGTCGCTGTTATTTTAAATTTATATCTGTTGGGTAACTACTACTCAATATCCATATCTTGCTTCCTAAAAGTTTTGAGGGATGAAAAGAAATTGGGGTGTATCTTGTGCTGGGAGGGAAAGACCAGGAGGCAGCTTGGCTGGTCATCCTCTAGTACATGTGGACAGATCCTCTCTGTATAGAGGGAAATGCCAAACTGTTTGCTGCCTAGTAGAAAGATGCTGGAGCCAGTAGAAAGATGCTGGAGTCCTGTGCTAAAGACTGGTACTTAGATGTAGGTCTAGGTGGTGGCTGAGGAGTGCAGACCCTGGGTATTATAGGGGAGCAGTGCACTTGAGCTCTGGAGCCACAGAAGCATCTTTTGGGCTTAGGTGCTTGTTACACTTTTAAAAAACTGTGATTTCTGGTTCCACGCCAGGTGCTTGTAACTCTTCTCATGAAGGCAGTTGCAGGCCTGGAGATGTCAGAGTTCCCATAGCTCTGTGACAAGGAGAGATAGATTGGGCTTCCTGTCTGTCCTGGTGAAGAGCCTGGCAGGGAAATCATGGCATGCTACAGACAATGGTGAATCCTCTAGGGGACAAAGGGGGATTGCTCCACGAGGTAGCACTTTCTGTCTGGTCCAATGCTGCATGAACAAGTCTGCAGCAGGTGTGTGTGTGTGTGTGTGTCTGTCTGTCTGTCTGATCAGCCCCAACCCACTTGCCAAAGAGGTATAGGGTCTTAGCTCTCCCACTAGCACAGGGAGACCAACAGAGACCAGCAAAAACAGGGTACAAATATAAGGCAGCTTTATAACACGATGCCCCAGAAATCACTGATCACAAAGAGACTTCCACCATTTTCCACCACCCAGCTGACAGCAGTTGTTGGAATGAGCTGATGAGGATTTTAAAACAACTAGGAGCACCCCCCAAAAAATGAGAGCATTGAGTTCTCAACAAAGAGATGGAGAGTGCAAAAAAGAACCAAGTAGAAATCTCAGACTGGAGGGGGCAGTAATTGAGGAAAAGGGGGATGGAGAGGTAGCTCAGTGGTTAAGGGTGCTTGCCTTCCTTACAGCGCTCACAACCATCTAACTCCAGTCCTAGGACATCTGACACCCTCTTCTAGCCTCCGTGGGTACCAGATGCATGGTGCATAGACATACGTGCAGGCAAAACACTCACACACATAAAACAATGACAATAATAACCTTTCGGAGGCTAATTTAAACAGACAAGGAGAGTTGTGTTGCCTCGTGCAGCCCAGCCGAAACCGTCAGTCTTGCTGCTTCTGCACTACCCCATTGTAAGGGGCTGCTTTGTTGAGGCTTCTGGGAATGGGCAAAAGGAGGCATGTTTCTAGTAGCCTTTTAGACAGTTTTTTTTCTTGACACAACCAGAGCCCCCAGTATTATGTGTTTGCGTTTGTACTCAAGCCTAAGGAGGTAGAAACAGCCTCCGATGTCCTTCTTCAGGCTACATCTATCTTTCGTTTTATGGGATTGTTTTGTTTTTCTTGTGATAGGGTCTCATCAGCCTAGAACTTGCCTGGGGTTATTTGTTTTACTCTTTTGGAGGGCCCACCACCCGGTTCCCAAATAAATCACATGGAGAAATCTATTATTACTTATAAATGCCTGGTCTTGGCATTTCTAGCCAGCTTTTCTTAACTTATCCCATCTACCTTTTGCCTCTGGGCCTTTTCCTTTCCTTACTTCTGTACATCTTACTTTCATTCTTACATCGCGGCTGGCTGTGTGGCTGGGTGTCTGGCCCCTGGTGTCCTCTCCTTTCTCTTGCTCCTCCATCCTTGATTTCTCCTCCCAGATTTCTCCTATTCATTCTCTGTCCGCCAGCCCCATCTATTGTCTCTCCTACCTCAATATTGGCCAGTCAACTCTTTATTAGAGCACCAGGTGTTTTAGACAGGTAAAGAATCACAGTTTCACAGAGTTAAACAAATGCAACAAAAGGATGCAGCATATCTTTACATCATTAAAACAAATGTTCCATAGCATAAACAATGTAACACACCTTCACACAGTATTCCACAGCATGCTACCAAGTTCTGATTTTTTGTTGTTGTTTGTTTTTAAAACCCTGTTCTGGGAACCTAATCCAGGACCTGTGCTTATAACACGCCCACTGTACTGACTAAGCTGCCTCCCAGGCCCCTGAAGCTAAAGGGCAGTGTGTTGCAGCCTCTGCAGTGGATCAGCAAGCATTTTTATCATTGCATCAAACCCTCTGGTTCAGCTTGCATTTGGCATTGATATTTCACCTGCATAATTATGTGGCTTTGTCATAGTTGTTTTCAGTCGATTCTGACTGTGAACTGTGGGCTGGTGGGCTGTAAACAGTGTGTTTGTATCTCACTGATAAGGAGAGTGACACACAAGTTTGTGAGTCTAATGAAACTGCTGTCTGTTTCTGTTTTGCTGATGGTGTCTTTCTGCTCAGTCCTCATGGTGGAGGGGCAAGGAAGCTCTGGCCCCACCCCCTTTAAAAACTTATTTGTATTTTAATTATATGTGTGTTTGTGTTGTGTGTCTGTGAGTGTAGGTGCCTGTGGAGGCTGGTGTTAGATCCCCTGGAGCTAGGGTTACTGTAAGTTGTGAATTCTTAGGAGTGCTGGGAATCCAGCTTGGGTCCTCCTGTAAGAGCAGTGTACACTTCTAATCACTGAGGCAGCTCTTTAGCCTAGTGGTTCTCCACCTGTGGGTGGTGACCCCTTTGGGAGTTGCATAGCAGACATTTACAGTTTACAACAGTAGTAAAATTACAGTTATGAAGTAGCAACAAATGTTATGGTTGTAGTTGGGGTAACCACGACATGAGGAACTGTATTGAAGGACAGCTGTTTTAGTTCTTCCGGCACCTCATCCATTTGGGCATTGACCCCATTCACCAGGGCCTCCTCGAGGCCTAATCACCTTCCTAAAGCCCTTATAGCTTTCAGCTTGTGGACCATCTTCAAAAATGGGAGGAGACAGGCTGGTATTATTAAAAGTGATACCATGTCCCTTGGCATGTTTTGTTCAAGCTCGACTGCTATGTGCAGGAGGGAAGGTCAGAGACTAAGTTGAGAGGAAGCTACTCAGTACAGTGCAAAGCAGATCAAGGCTGGTGTCCTGGGTTTGCTGTTTGTTGCTGTGGTGACACCATCACCAAAAACACCCTGCATCACGGTCCACCATCAAAGGAACTGAAGCAGAGGCCACAGGAAGAGTGATGCTTATCTGCTTGCTCCCCCTGTCTTGCTCAGACTGCTCTCTTATAGCACCCACAACCACCAGCCCAGGTTTGGCTCTGCCTACAATGGGCTGGACCCTCCCCCATCAATCATTAAGAAAATACCTCACAGACTGGACTGCCAACAAACCTTAGGAGGCATTTCCTCAACTATGATTCCTTCTTCCCAGCTGTGTTTAGGTTTGTGTCAGATTGACAAAGACCATCCAGCCAAATGGGCTGGTGTCAGCTGGACTTGAGATATACTTCTTAAACTATAGTGTGAGAGGGGCTGTGGAAATAGTTCAATGGCTAGGAGCACCAGCTACTTTTACAGATGATGTGTACACTGCTGAGAGCTTGGACTGGTAATTTTGCATCTGTTTGTTTAGGAAGATAATTATTCTTATATCATTAGGCAGACCAGCAACTGGTAAAGAAGGGGAGGAGTAAGGTAGGAGACATGCTGGAAAAAGCCGCCGAGCTCCTGATGAGCTGTTTCCGTGTGTGTGCCAGTGACACGTAAGTGCTCTTTTATTTGGTGGCTGTGGCTTGAACTGTGCAGCTTTATCTTGAGACTGGCACTTGCCCTGGCAGTGTGTTTTGTGACTGATCACGTTTATCTGCTCTTCCTGCAGCCGTGCTGGCATAGAGGACTCTAAGAAGTGGGGGATGCTGTTCCTGGTGAACCAGCTGTTTAAAATCTACTTTAAGGTTTACTTTTACATGGATTTTTGTAGCCTTATTCCCTATTTTCCCAGAGAAGTAACTTTTAGGTTTCCTTCTGTCACGTACTAGGAAATTATTCTAACCATAGCCATATTAATGATCCTAAGAGCTGGCAGTCATTCAGGGTCTCCCAAGAGCAAGGCTCTGTTTTAAGTACAAGGACTGGAACTCAGTGGAGAAAACCTGCCCAGCATTCTCAAGAACCAGGGCCCCTGTGCCACAAATCAAATAAGAACTGAAGATCTGACGCAGGATAGCTCTTGGAAATGCAACTTCCCCAGACACAAGGCCCTGAGCACTTAGTGACCAGCCCTGTGGGGACTAAAGCCCTGAGCACTGAGTGACCAGTCCTTGTGATGTAGCTGACCTCTGGGTATAGATACCCCCTCTCTGGAGCCTTTCTCCCTGTGTTATAAAATTAACGTGGAACTAGGGGGTTAAGTCTTTATGGATGAGTTAAAGGATCAGACTTTGCTTCATAAAATCAAGCAGGCAAAAGGCAGCCTGTCATACTTCATTGACTGAGAATCTGCCTTTCACTTTGTGGGACATTTAGTTTGCCCTCACCGGTGTGGCCTAAGTGCAGGCTTTTCCTTGGGCCTTGGCTTTGACTCCCTCCAGAACTACACCCCTCTCAGATCTCCAAGCTTCTAGAGTGTGTGTTGTCTATACCAGGTAGTTCCTTGTTTCTCATAGAAATTCGTGTTAAGAAAATAAAGCAGAAGTTCATGTCTGTTGTTCCATCTGCTTGTTCTGTTGATATTGTTTATGTATATCGCAAATGGTTTCTTCTTTATTATAGATCAACAAACTCCATTTGTGTAAACCTCTTATCCGAGCTATTGACAGCTCAAATTTGAAAGATGACTATAGCACTGCACAGAGGGTCACATACAAATACTATGTTGGGCGTAAGGCCATGTTTGACAGTGACTTCAAGCAAGGTGTGTTGATAATTCTTGTTTTGTTGTTGGGGTTTTGTTTGTTTTATTTTTCGAGACAGGGTTTCACTGTGTAGATTTGGGGCCTGTCCTGGTGCTCGCTCTGTATACCAGGCTGGTCGAACTCACAGAGATCCACGTGCCTCTGCCTCCCGAGTGCCACCAACACCCAGCTGGTATGCTGATAATTTTATTTCAGTGTTTAGATAACACATGCATCCTGCCCAATATGTATGATATTGATAGTGTCAGAGAATATAAGGACTGCATTTTATTAAGATGGAATGTGTGTAAACCAAGTCCAAAATGAGTGTGTGTGTGTGTACTCAGCACATGCATGTGAATGTATGACGTGTGCTACTTTTAAGAGAAGCAAACACAGCAGGACAGGCTTAGGGCAGGAGATCTTGTTAAAGCACATGGCCATTTGGTGGAACGAGCTTTGTGTGCTGCCTGGGGTGTGCTTTCTCCACTTGTGTTTTCCAGCTGTAAACGCTATTCTCAACAACTTGCAGATGACTGTAGCAAGTCAGTCTGGAAGGAAGTTAATCCATGGTTTCTATTAAGAGGCCACCCATCACGCACCATGGCAGGCCAAGGATGCCAGACCAGTGCTTGCTGAATTTGGGGCTGTGGATTTTACTTGGGGAGAGTCGCTGGTGCCACAGATGGGGCTGAGCCGCTGTCCCTGCCATGGGAGAGGGAATAGGCACGAGTTGGTGTGTGGGCTGTGCCTGGCCTGACCTGTGGGGACCTGCTGTCTCTCTGCAGCTGAGGAGTACCTGTCGTTTGCCTTTGAGCACTGCCATCGCTCTAGCCAGAAGAACAAGAGGATGATTCTCATCTACCTGCTGCCTGTGAAGATGCTGCTTGTGAGTGCCTGACAGCAGTCTTTGGAGCTCATGGTGGTGGGCTAACCTTGGTGATGGGCTGACCGCGGTGGTGGCCTGACTGCGGTGGAGGGATGCACGAGAGCACAGTCCCAGAGCAGAGCTTACACAAGCCCTTCCAGGGGACTCTGCTGTGTTTGCTTCTCTTAAAAGTTAAATATTCATAAAGCAAATGAGACAAGTGCATTTATTTATATTTCTCTTTAAAAATTCAATTCATTTGAACAAACTATCTAAAAAGGGAAAGTGCCATTCCAGTCTGCCAAAGGGACTCTTAATCATAACAAATAAATACTTTTGGAGACAGTCTAACGTAGCTCAGGTTGTCTTCAAACTTAATGTAACCAAGAGTGTCCTTGAACTCTGACCCTTCTCTCGATTTCTCAGTTGAAGTTAAGGTGTATGTCCCCTAAAGTTCATTTTTGATACTTGAATGGGAAAGGCACATAGGTAGATAGACTAATCAACTGGCATAGCATCGAGGTAAAGTGCTTCTTTTTTCATACCCAAGACTAGTACATAGTGGAGGGGGTGCGGTGGGGAGGGGCTGGGGGGAGAGGGGAGAGAATAGTGCTGCATGTTGCTGAAACACACACAGTTCAGGGAAAGCAGGGAAGCTGCCCCTCTCCAGCTCCCCATCCCACTGAAGAGTGAGTTGACCATTTTGGCTAATTCCTCAGAGAGATGTGTCCTACACATAACCTGACATCTCTTCAGTTATCTCCTGCCCCTTGTTACACAAGTGACAGCCTCATGACAGGGTCAAGATCAAGATCATACCTACTGAGTCACAGAACTGTGCCATCCAGGCTTCCTTATTTCTTAATCAGAGTTGCTTTTTTTCTAATTTACTGCTACATTTTGACTTTTTAGTGTTTATTTGTATGGGTGTGCATGTCACAATGCTCATGGAGGTCAGAGAATGACTGTTGGGATTCATTCTCTCCTTCTACTGTGTGGGGATTGAACTCAGGTCATCAGGTTGGTGGCAAGTGCTTTTGACTTGTTGAGCATCTAACTGGCCCAGCCAGGATATTAAATCCTTGGTCGGCTTAGGTTTGGTTTGCTGTATTTTTGTTTGTTTGTTTGTTTAAGTGGAATGTTGGGACTGGAGAGGTGGCTCAGTGGTTAAGAACGTTTGCTGCTCTTGCAGAGCACCTGAGTTTGGCTCCCAGCATCCATGTCAGGTGGCTCATAAAACTCCACCTCTGGGGATCATATGCCCTGCTCTGGCCTCTGTGTCCCTGCACATGTGTGGCATACACACACAGACCGCTGACTTTCTGTCTTAGGGTCACATGCCGACCATTGAGCTTCTGAGGAAATACCACCTCATGCAGTTTTCAGAAGTGACCAAGGCTGTCAGGTAGGTCCATCCTCTGCACTGTTTTAAGTAGGAGGCTAACAGAGACTGCATACATTATGTGCTTTAACCCTTCTTGACCTCTCTGTCTGGGCTTTCACTGTGTGGCCCCTGTGATGTTCCTCTTTGCCCAGTGAGGGCAATCTGCTGCTACTCAATGAGGCGCTGGCAAAGCACGAGACTTTCTTCATCCGCTGTGGCATCTTCCTCATCCTGGAGAAGCTGAAGATCATCACTTACAGGAACCTCTTCAAGAAAGTGTGAGTGGGCCTGGGGAGACACTCAGTGTGCAAAGTGCTGTTCTGCAAGCCTGTGGACCAGGGTTTGAACCCCAGAATCTGTGTAAAGACTGAAAGTTTGCAGACCAACTCACCTAAGAGGTGTAAGACAGTAGCAATAAGGAGACTCTGTATCAGCAAGGTGGAAGGCAAGGGCTGACAGGTGAAGTTGTTCTCTGAACTCTACACACACCTGCTTCTCACAAGTGCACATGCATGTGCACATGCATACACACACATAAGCAAAAAAGAAAGTGGGGAGCCTGGCAAGCGGAACCCTTGAGGCGTATGATGCAGCCTGTTGTGGATTGTGGGGGCAGCATCCTGCCCCTCATGAGACAGGCTGACCCTGAAGGCTGGTATAATGACATAGCTTGGCAGCAGACTCACCATTAGCTTGGAGTTCCAGACACCTTCTGCCTGTCCAAGCTGTGGAATTGATGTCCTCTTTTCTAACACAACAGCTTATCCTCACCACTGTGTGTGTCAGGGAGTTAAATGTGATAGTTCCTTTTCCTGTGTGTGAGCTGAACAGTTGTTCCCAGAGGCATAGAGACCTTGTCTATAGCTAGGAGATATTTAAAACATTCCATTTGTACAGTGTCTGTTTATAGTAGGAAGCTTATGTACTGTTGTGTTTATTAGCTATTGTTGCCTGGGGTTGGTGGTACAGGCCTTTAGTCCCAGCACTCGGGATGCAGAGGCAGGCAGATCCCAGTGAGTTCAAGGCCAGCCTGGTCTACAAAGCTAGTTCCAGGATAGGTTCTAAAGCTACAGAGAAACCCTGTCTTGAAAAACAAAACAAAAACAAGAACAAAAACAAAAACAAAAAAAAAAAAAAAAAAAAAGGAAAAGGAAAAGAAAAAGCCTATTGTTTGTTGGGTGTGTTTTAGGGTACATCTAATTAGTGGAAACTTAAAATGTGTGTGTTCTTTGGTTTACTAAATGATGACATTTCTTATTAACCTGCTCAGGGCCCCTCCTGTTGGGCCTGCTGCTAATTATGGTCATTTCTCTTCCTCTGTAGGTATTTGTTACTCAAAACTCATCAGCTGTCTCTAGATGCCTTTCTGGTGGCCTTGAAATTCATGCATGTGGAAGACGTGGACATTGACGAAGTCCAGTGCATTCTGGCCAACTTGATATACATGGTGTGTGAGTCTGCCTGCTCTCAGCAGGCTTCAGTGTGGTGATAATGTCACCAAAAGACTCTTCTATTTAATGTGACGCTAATGTCTTCAAAAGACCTTTTGTGTTTGTGAAGGCATTTTCTGATAAAAACTAGTTGTTTTTCCGGGAAATACTATTCAAAAGGGCTTCACATGGGTCAGTGTGAGAGAGAGGTATAACCTGTATTTCATTATTCTCTGCCATATGTAATTTTTAAGCTGTTGTCCCCAGCGAAGAATGGTTTTCATCATCGTTTTGTCACCTGGCATATTTGATGTGACTGAGACTCAGAAATGTAAGTTGATCTGGTTTTCTCTATTTCAGGGTCACATTAAAGGATACATCTCCCATCAGCATCAGAAACTGGTTGTCAGCAAGCAAAACCCTTTCCCTCCACTGTCTACAGTGTGCTGATGACCAGACCCTGCAGGTGGAGTGCATCTCACTGCAGCTGTCCTCTGTAGCCCAAGTCTTTGTGCTTCCCCAGGGCCCTGGAGGCAGTCCCTAGCACACCTGTCTAGCCATGTTCTCCATGGTCCTAACTCACGCCAGCTTTGCCAAGACCTGGAAACCTTTTTCTGGATGGGACAGACAACCCAGCTGTTGGCTGCTGCTTGTGAACTACTGGGAAGCAGACAGCTGTGTATTTGTTGTTTATGGAGGTTGTCTTTGTAACATTTTGTAGTTTTATTTTTTTTAATGTAATCAAAATTTATACAAAACACATTCTTTATTGTATATTACATGATACGTCTATTTTCATATGCAAAATCTGAGCATCTTGTGAGCTCAGAATGCTTGGTGAACTTGACTTCTTTTTTAAAAATGGAGTTTGGGGCTGTAGGGATGGTTCAGTGGTTAGAACAATTACCCATCTCCCCGTCAGAAGATGGGGGTTTGGTTCCCAGCACCCACATGGCAGCTCACAGCCATCTGGAACTCCAGTTTTAGGGGATCTAGTGCCCTCTTGTGGCCTCTGTGGGCTCCTGTACATAGGTGCACATAAACTCACTCAGGCACACAGACACACAAAAGTAAATAAATCTTTTAAAAAAAACAAATACAAAATTTAGTCTGATCTAAGTATTTCATCTCTGCGCACATTTCCTAACACTAACAGTTCTGAAGGCTGCAGGCCTAGGACCAAAGCCTGGCAGTTGGACTCTGGTAATGGCTCCTTCTGAGCCACAGTTGGCTGTCCTCTGCCTCTTTTCCTTTTCCTACAACCACTGTGCTGTCAGGCCCTCACTCTGCAGCTGCACCTAACTGAACCGCTTGTAGAGCCCTTTCCTCTGGCCTTCAGCAGAAGGATTGTGGGTGCAGTTTTTCCTGTAGCACTGGACACATTCTTGCTTCTTCAGAGTATACGTTTACACTGTGTGACAATGTTGTTTGTATGTTTGTTGTTTATGTATTTGCTATTGAGATGGGGTCTTTTGACATAGACTGACTAGTCTGGAGCTCTGTGTAGACCATACTATCCTGGAACACGATGCACTTCTTGCCTCTGTCTCCCCTTCCAAGTGCTTGGGATTGCAGGTGTGTGCCAGCATGGGAGGCTTCCATTCTGCTAAGGAAGAAAATCTAACTATTTAAGCTGGTCTCTTCGGACTTGTCATGTTTAGGAGCTGTCCTTGTGCAGGTGATCTGTGGTGGAACTTATGTGTCCTTCTCCATGGGGCACAGAGGCCGGACTTGCCTTGTATGTGGCTGCCCCATCAGCATCCTCCTGCAGCAGCAAAACCACCTAGCACTTGTGGTGCACCAGCATCCTGTTTGCCCAGATCTGAAGCCTGGTCAGCATTTGGTGGGATTTGGCTCCATGTGATGGGGAATATGGTCCTGGGGGCTAGAAGGTGGCTCACTGCTGTGATATGTGTGGGCTTGGACACACCAGGCTCTGTGGGATGTGGGTGGACATCTTGGGTTCTTCTCATGGCAGCTGAAGCTGGGTTCCAGGACAAGGTCCAAGGAAGTGGACCCTCGTGTGGCCTTGAGTTATGGGTGCTGCCACTTTCTGGCTGAGAGCACCACCTATGCCACACATTGGCTGCAGAGCAGTATGTCCCTGGTCATCATGCTCAGTCAGCCGCCTGGTGTGTTGAGAAGCTGTCTGGCAGTGGATATGGTCCCTAGCTGGCAGGGCTGGTGAGCTCCACCAGGCCTTCCTGTCTCCTTTGTGTACGTGTCTGCCACTGCTCTCATGCAGAGCTGACCCTGCACCCCCAACTTCTGATAACGTGTTATCTGTGCAGTGATTCAAATGTTGGCCTCGTATGAGCATCCTGGAGTCTGTTCTGCTGGGTTTAGCAGCAACACAATCAAAACTTCAGGCATCTCCAGGTAGTTTATTAAACTGACATCTCAAGTCAAACACTGATGGTTTAAAGTGATAAACTCAGCAGTTAAAGAGATAATCTCCATGTAGCATCTTTGTATGCTGTCTCGTGCCCTCTGAGTGGAGTCCTGGTTTGTGGGCACACAGACCTTTATGCTCTTGTGGCTAGTTTTCATCAACACCAAATGCTCACACCTAGTCCTTGCCTAGGGCTACTCTGGTCTGGCCTCTTAGATTTGTGTTCTGAGACATGGTCTTATTGGGCAGCCCACCCTGTCTCCAAATGTGGGACCTTCCTATCGTAGGCACGCAAGTCCTGGGACTAAAGGCAGGGTCACATTGTCACAGCCATGCTCCTCTCAGGGATGAGGGTACCACGGTACAGCCTGACTGACCAGAAGACAGCTGAGAGGCTCTAGCACTCCCTGGAACCTGCCCAGCGGCTTTTCTTCACCCAGACTGATAGGTATAGCCTGATGAGGAAGCTCATGTTGTCTTCCAATAGTAAACCTTCTGTCTTCCCAGCAGTGAACCATGTGCAATTAGAAATAGAATGAGGCTGCCTTTGTTTGTTTGTTTGTTTGTTTGTTTTGTCTCACTGGTAATTCTGAGATGCCTCTGTCCCAGAAATGTCTGCTCTCATGTGTGTCCGACTAAGTATGACACAACCACCTGTGTTCACAGCCTCTCAACACTCAGTAACTCAGCTGATTTATGACTGACATTGATTTCATTTAACATACCCTATTTGCTTTCCCTTAAGGCCTTAGATGAAAATTACCAAGGAAACTCTCCCTGCCAGTTAGCTTTCATAGTGCTAGAAGGTACTGTGGTAGCTTCAGGGTGGACAAAGGCATCAGGGTCCAATGCTGGACCCTGAATCCACAATACTGACATGCCAGGCAAGATGTGTTCACTGGTGCAATTATGGCAGCGTAGTTATAATTATGAGATAATTAACTGCTTTCTGATTGAATTTGAGGCCTGCTCCACAGTAGGGGTTTTGTGCTTGGAACTATAATCCTTGTCAAAAGCTCATGGCTGGGCCGGTCATTGGCCCTAGGGTAGAAGCTGCTGTTGTTATTTTGCTAAACAGCTGTGCTTAAAATTGTCTTCTAAATATCTGTGTTTATGCCCATAGATCTGGCCTTTCTGTAACTTGGCCAGAGAAGCTCCTCTTTATAACAGGCAACAATTAATGCAAAGGTGCATGATTGGTCCAGGTGCTGAGAAGAGACTGTGTTCAGTCCAGAGTGGAACATCCTAACTCTCCCCGTCCCCTGCACCCTCTCCTCCTCCTCCTCCACCAAGGCCCAGGGAACTCTGGAAGAGAGGCAGAAAGAATGTAAGAGCTGAAAAGTGGGGCGGAGTGCCATGAGAGGCTGCTTGCCGGACATAGCATGGCTTCACTTACAGACTCAGCCGCTGTGGTGACCTGTCAGGACTGCACGAGATCAGGCCAGACAAGATGCTGGCATGGATGGGTTGGGTTGGGGTGTACTCTGTGCCCCACTTCTTATTGAGGGGATGTTGGGGGTTGGTAGCTGCTGGGAAAGGAAAGATAATTCGTTTCTGGGGGCGCCTCCAGTGGATGCCCCATAGCAGGCACACAGGTAGCTGGAGCGAGCATCTGTTCTCCCCAACTTATCATAACGCGTGTGCACTTGAGGTAACACGAATAGAACTTACTGGGTTATCAATAAAAAAACAAGTGAGAGGGATGTGTTGAGAAGCCTAGAAGGTTAAGAAGGGAAATGGGGCATGGATGTGGTCATACTTCATTGTATGTATTATGAAATTCTCAAGAATAAAGAAAAACGTAAAAGTTCCAAGGAAGGAGACATTGTTTTCCAGTGGTTAACTATGGCAGGACCTGACCGTCTTGTAGCCATGTTGTTGGATTTCAGTTACTTCATAATCTGTTTAAACCACATCAAATATCTTGGGACTGTGGTGAGGAGCACGTGCGACTGCCCTGGTGGTGGTGGCGAACCCAGGATTCCTGTGAGGAACCAGGTCCCCTTGTGTTCTCGGGTCACCACACTTCCCTCCATCCAAGGCCCAGTCGCCACAATGCCCCTCTCACAGCTGGTTCTGGTTGTGACAGTCACATTCAGGGTCTGTGCACACTCCTCCCTATCCACGTGTGTGACAGGAAGCGTCGCTGGTGTGGCATTCAGGCCTGTGCCACCGAGCATCCAGCCGCTGAGGAGACCCACTGTTTTAGGGATGAGGATATGCTCAGCAAAGTCCCTCTCTGGGACACAGACAGGGAGCCCAGAGCTGGGACACTGCAAGGGCTTCTCCAGCTCCAACAGTGAGAGGTCGTTCTCCCCCAACTCCTCATCATAGCGCATGTGCACATGAGCTCTCCTGATCCCAATCCTCTGGCCAGCATCTGAAACCAGGAGTAACCAACCAACTCACAAAGTCTTGTTTTCAAGGGCACGACAGCTAGCTAGCCTCCAGGAGCTGATCTCAATGAGACCCTGTGTGACAGACGCAGTGTTCTGGGGCTTAGATGCACATCATACGACGGGCTAGGTCAACTCATATCCTCAGCCACTTCACACTGTCCTCTAAAGAAGTCAGAGTTTTATCCCGGAGTAAGTACCGCATGGGGGATGGTGAGAAAGCAGGAGGTGGTAAAAAGGAAGTCTCCAGGCCAGTGTGAACATGGCTGCTCAGGACTTTTCATCTGGATGAGTCTCAGCTCCTTGTTTGTCCACACAAGTATTTAGGGATGAAGAGTAAGACATGCTCACTTCCAGGCTCACATTTGCTGTTGAGCACATCCGTAGCTGATGATGGGAACTTCCCAGTGGGGAGAAATGACTGCCCAGGTCTTAGAGATGGAAAATGAGGCTACAGATACGTCCCGAGAAGAGACAGGGTTGCAGATCATAGAGGGGAGGGATTTGAACCTAGCTCCTCTGGCCCTTAGCCAGCCCTCCATGTCCAGGTGGCTGCTCTACTGTTGCAATCTGTCCTGAACCAAATGCTACTTAGCATCGGCTTGCTGGGTCCACAATCTACTAGATATGTCTTGTTTTGTGTATGCATGTGATTTTATAGCTACCTTGGTATTACCAAAGCTATTTCACATCTTGCTTTAGAAACAAAATTTCTACTTGAAAGTTTTCTATTTTATTCCTGTTGGATTATCCCTTTTATTTATAATGAGATTTTATACAACTCATGAAAGGAATACTTACTTGCTTTTACACTAATATTGATGTGTAGTAATGAACACTTTGCTGTTGTCAACACAAAGTCTTCCTGTATTAAAACGCCACCACAGAATTCCTTTCCTTCGGAATTTGTTAACTTGACCTTAAAAAAAAAAAAAAAAAAAAAAAAAAAAAAAAAGAAGATGGTTGTTAGCAGCCAGTGTAAGGGAGGGAACAGTAAAGTTGAGCAGTGGGCTGGGGCACCAGGGACAGTCAGGGTCCACACCCCACTGCCTCTTCCAGGGTTACCAGTGCTCTGACAGCTCAGCCAAGGTTCAGAGGCTGTCTGATTTCCCACCCCCCCCCCCCACACACACACACAAGGAAAACAGACAGAATTGAAGGGCTGGTCACCAGGGTCATGATTTTTCAAGGGCCAGAGATTTTGTGGCTTCTGAGTTTGCATGGATCAGGCAGAGCCCACAGGGTGGCAAAGGAGTGGAGAGCACCAGAAGGGACTTTGGCTGCAGTTGTAGGGATGGATCCCAAAGGAGAGGACTCCGGGGAGCTGCAGGCTCCGCCAGTTTTCAGTCATGATAAGCATATGTGTTTGTGACTAGAAACTACTTAAGGCCAGGGAAGCTTACCCTAAGGGGCTAGAGGGGACAGTTCTGGGGCTCATGAAGGCTGAAATAGTATGCTATGCCAAGCATTTGGTAGAGCACAGCAGGGCCATGTCCTTGCAGAACACTGCACTGGCCTTTCCCCAGCAAAGCCCCAAAGCAAGGTGCGATTGGATTAAGCTGTTTCCAGGTATCTTAACCACGTTCCAAAGCAGCACTCAAACATGTTTATAGAACACAAGGCTTTCTGTAGTGAAAGAGAGTTAGAGCACACAAGGTCTGCAACCTGTCAATAGTCACCAGGCAGAAAAAGTAAACAACACATGATCCATGTTCCATACTAAGGAGAAAACCAACCAAGCTGAGTCAGAACTTTTAGGGGCAGACAGGATGATGGAGCTGACTCACAACTGTTAGGTTGATCAGAAGCCATGCACAGATAACTATGTCCCCATGGAGCTGGGCTGTGGCACAAGGCACAAACAGAGAGGCTGGCTACATGGTGTGGCCTGGTGGCTGTAACCAATGCACACCTCTAATGTGGAGCAAATGCTGCAGAGGGCTGCGGTTGTGCTCCACAGGGACCCATGCAGCCCTGTAAAGAGTTTGTTCCAAATTCACTTGGTTGTCACCTGTTTTGGCAAGAAAATGGAAATGACAGATGAAGTCTGCAACAAAACAAAAGCTGCTATGGAACGCTGTTACCTGCCACGGGAAGCTAGGTAGACACTGGTCGCCTCTTTCTGGTGTCCTGATGTCTTTGGAAGTCAGGGCCCCACAGGCACATTTGTCTTCATTTGTGGCGGCAACATAAGAAGAAAGTCAGTGTTTTCCAAATGGACGTGGTGTCCACAGTGGTGCTAGCCAGAAGTCGCATCTGAATGCTGGTAGACACAACGTCATGGTGGCCATGGGGAGCAAGGTGAAGCTTCACTGCCTGCCCCCAGGCTTATTTAGGGGGCAGTTTGGATAATAGAATAACGAGCCTCCTGACACAAAGCACTTCCTGCACCGCGGTTGCTCTAATGTAGAGGCCAGACCCTGAGTCAGCAATTATATCCCACTAACCACAGCACTCCATCCAACCCGTGAACATGAGGGCAGAAGGAAGGGACGTGGAGGGTGAGATGGCCCACCTCTGTAAAAACTCACCACTTGGACTGCATGACTTGCGGTCCTTGCCCAGCTTGTAGCCCTTCGCACAGCTGCATATGTACGATGACTGCCCTGGATGGCAGAAGTGCTGGCAGCCATCGATCCTCTCTAGGTAACATTCGTTTTTAGCTGGAAAGGAAGAAAAAGTGAAAACCAGCCATTGCTGATGTGGAACGGCCAATGCCGTTGTCTACTCTTGCATGGGTCTGGCTCACCAGTCCTAGTGTTGCTTGTATGTTACGTGTACAAAGAAAACATAAACATGGAGATACATCTATAGGCCTCATTCTCTCTATCTTGCCAGTTTTTATGTAAAGCTTCCCACTCTCAAGTGTCCCAGGTATGTCCATGGAGACATATCTGTGTTTGGCATCAGGAGGAGTCACTCAGTCCTGGACATCTTACTGGTACCTTATCTATGTCTCTAGCTGTTTCCTGTCCCACTGCAAAAGCTGCTGTCTTTGGATTGTTCCTTCAAAACGCAGAAATGGGATCAACAGGGGGTCAGATCCCGGTGTAGGCAGCTGAGCAGCTGGGGGGGGGCTGAAGTCTAAGTGGGACACCGTAAAGTATCACCAGGGAGGGGAAGCTGGAGTTGAGAGCTAAGCTCTGGGCCAATGAACCTTTTCTCCCAGGAAGCTGGTTCTGAGCTACAGAGACAAAGGAAGTGTTACATGCATTTGTTTCTGTAGTTGGCAATTATCAAGAATTCATTCCCTTTCTCCATGAGGTCATTTTCAGGGGTATTTAAAGCTATTCTTAGTCGGGTCTAGAGGTACAGGTCTGCCTATCAGTTACTCTGAAGTCTGAGGGCAGAAGATCATTAGTTCAGGGCCTGCCTGGATTATATGGTAAGTTTATTTTTATTTTTTATGTAGAGGGGTGTTTTGACATATGGGTGCGGTGCCCACAGAGGCCAGAGGGGCTGTTAGATCCCCTGCAGTTATAGAAGGTTATGAGCTGCCATGTGGGTGCTTGGAATCAAATCTGGAAATGCAGCCCATCCTCTTAACCTCCCAGCTACTTTTAGCCCTGTACATAGCAAGTTCAAGGCCAGGCTGGGGAAATATATTGAGACCCTGATCAGAACCAGAAAGTAAAAAGGCCTGGAGATGTATCTCAGTGGGAGAGTGTGCTGTGTGTGTGAGACCCTACACTCAAATCCCACAGCTTAAGTGTGTGTGTGTGGGACTATTTACTTCTGGAATTTTGCTTTGACTTCTCTCTCTAGAGTATCTTTGACTGGCATGTCAGTCAGATACATGTGTGTGCACCCCTTCCAACTAGTGTGCAGATTATGGATTGTGGGGGAGGGTGGGAAAGAGGAGAAAAGGAGACCCTGTGCTATGAAAATTTCAAGAGGGCTAGGGCCAGACAGTGGGTCCCAGAATGCAGCCAGCACGTATGGCATGATTTCCAGGGTGGCATAAAATAGGGAAGCCAAGGAGTCCCCCAAGGTGAGTGTATCAAAGTCCCCAGGGCACCCTTTTCTGCCTGAGCGAGCTGCTCTGTCTCCCAGTAAGCCCCATCGTGGATTGAGAGTAGGTGGTGCCTTACCCATTGCACAGTTCTTGCCCTCGTAGCCAGTGGGGCACGAGCAGCTGTAATTGCGGATGTGGTCCTTGCATGTCCCGTTGTTGAGGCAGGGCTGGGAGACACATGGAGAACCACCTGCAGAAGCAGAAGGGCCTCTGAGGCTGCACTGTGGACTCTGAACCAGGTCCACCAGGGAACAGCAGACCAAGTTCCAGGTGCTTCCTGTCCCACTCGGTGTCACATGTCCGCAACCACCAGTGTCTCACCATTACCCTCATGCACCCCAGGATCTTCCTACCCATTCCTGTGTTTCCTTGCTTCTACCAACCCTGTGTTCTCCATGCACTCCTACATCTCTTTCTGCTGACACCCACCCCCCACTCACAAGGATAGCCGACCCCACGCTCCTCCCGAGGATATCACACCCCATGCTCCTGCTGAGGAGAGACCCCAAGGCACACATCTGGGCTACAGCCACAGTTCTCTCAAATCTGATCCATTTCCTCACCTACAGCACACCCTTTCCCAGAAGTAGGATGAATTATGAGGTGGGAAAGGCTCCTGTCTGTTGACTGAACCCCAGCTGCCCAGGAACTCCCCGACATTAGCACAATGAAATCAGAGGCCTCATGTTGTTCCTGTAGTAAGCCTTGGGACCAGTGCACTTCCCTGGGCAGTCAGCAGGTCCCAGGGGTCAAAGGTTGTGAGTCCATGGGCCCCAGTAGAGACTGTCCTGAGTCTTAGGCCAGAGAGCTGAGAAAGCACTTACCCCTGTACCGTCTCCAGAATACTTCCTGCCAAGGCAAAAGGTATGATGATCACCAGGGGGTCTTTCTGTATTCAGCTATTATGGATGCTTTCTGTATTCAGTCTACTGTGGATGGACTTAGGGGTAAGAAAACATGGGTTTTATTCACTCATCCGGAGGACGTGGAATTTTTGTGTGTGGTTTTACAGCCTGTTTACGCTGAATAGGAGTGGAATAGTCTATGCCAGGTGACTTACCATGTCTCACGGGGAGGAAGGATGTAGTATGTGAGGACACAAAGCTACAGCACCTCCTTCCTGTCTGCTTTCTACCTCACTCTACAGAAATGCCTGGCAATTCTCTGAAATCCCTATGTCTTTTTAAAAGCATGCTGTTATAATTGTAAAGGTTCGTGGGGGAGGCTGGAGTGGGATATCCAAATAAACTCTTCAGACTTGTGTCCCCAAACCATACTCAGACTTCCTAATGATGTGTGGATGACATCACAATTGCATACCCCCCCTCACTCAGGAAATCAGCAAACTGAAATTTAGCGTGGGCTACTTTAAAAACTTCCATTGCTTTTACTAAATGCCAGATGGGCTGTTTGAGAAGGGTTCTCTACACCCAGTGAGTCTTTAAGAAACTATAACAAAAAATATTTAAATACTCTAAGGATAAGACATCAGTGTTCATTCACAACCAATTTTAAATATTGCTACATTAACATGTAAAACTACTGCAGTGTTGGAGACTGAGCCAAGAATTGCATGCTAGGCAAGCACTCCACCACCACGCCACACCTCTGCCTGGGAAATTGTTATTAAACACTTTAAACTATATTCTGAAGTATTTACCCCAAAATAGTCACTGTCTCTTAAGTTTTGGCTCCCTCTTTCTGTATTTCAATAACCTTATGAGTAATTAGAAATGCTAAATATGCATGTGTGGAAAAAGGATTTCCCTAATTCAGAGTATGGATCATGGGAAACTCTCTCTCTCTCTCTCTCTCTCTCTCTCTCTCTCTCTCTCTCTCTTCTCTCTCTCTCTCTCTCTCTGTGTGTGTGTGTGTAAGGGAAGAGGTTTGTCTTTCTAAAATTCCTCCAACGAGTGTACACAGTGGAGTTTGGTGACGTGGTTGTGGCATGATGGGAAGGTCTTCCCGGCTAGGTAGCAGGACCAGCAGGAGTCGAGGGTGTGGGCCCTCCTGCTGCTGAGGCCAGTTTGCTCTAAGTCTGGCTCCTCATCTGGGAAGTCAGGCTCGCACCAACCCCTCCATAAGGAAATAGGCTAATTAAACATGTTCTCTGAGACAGGTGGACCTGAACAGTTAGAAGACACGCATGCACCTCGGAGCTCATGGGGCTTACAGGGCTCACAGGGCTCACGTACAGTCTTGATGTCATTTTCAAAAACTTCTCTTGCTTCCTCATAGCTGCAGATCTCCTCGTAGCATTCCTTTTCCAAGTTGCCCTCGAAGATTTCCTCCAGGAGGTAAGAACCAGCACGCTTCCATCTCACCAGAACTTTGTTTGCCTCTGATGCTGGGAGAAAGACTGCAGAGGGATGTCACACTAGAGCGGAAGCTGTTCCCTACTGTTCAGCGGGGTGTGGGCTGTGCCCGTCTTCAGGGCCAGCCAGTCATTCCTATGCTGGGCATATCCTTTCTTTTCTTTTTGTTGGGGGAGCAGATGGCCCTTATGAGTTAGGCAGACACACTGGCATTTTATAGATAAAATAGTGGCTCTGTTCAGTCCACTGCCGTAGGTGAGTGTCCACGCAGAAACAAGAGGGTATGGGACAGGCACACCACTGTTTGCTTCAACATCATCTATAGTGGCATTTTCCAATCTCGGTGTTGCAAAAATGCAACACCTGTGGACAGGCACATCGGGTAAGTGCTTCGTGGAGAGTGGAGAGTGTCTGTATGTGAACATCAAATACAGGAATGCAGGGAATGAGTGGCCTCTCCATGGAGGAAGGAGTCCTGAGCTGGCAGACTTAGACAGACAGTTCTGGAGCATTTTGCATGAGGGTGGACTCAGACCTACAGGGTTTTCCTTCCTGCCCATTCACAGTAGAGTACTGGGCTCTGAGCACCACCTTGCTATGCTGGCACCTTGGATACTTTGGACAGTGGTCAGAGGAGGGGACACTTTCCTCAGAGATATGTTCAGATGCCAGTTTGGTGTTAATGTGGCAGAATGGCTATATCCACCCAAGGGACAATGATGTCACCCAGGGTTTAGAGACATATCCCTATGCACCAGGAGCACTTGGATCAAAGCCCTTGTCTGAAGAGCGAACAGGTATGCAAGCTGTCTGTTTATTTTTTTCCACACCAGTTTGTAAGGTACCAAGAAGCCCCATTTGCCTAAAATTGTGGTACATGTGGATCACAAAACTCAAAGGCTCAGCAGCTCACCCGACAATAGTGATTTTTCTAAGAATGGCCATGCTCCGGGGCTCTGGTCAGCACTGGGAGCCAGCAGACAGGACTTACCCATATGGGCTCCACCCTCACAGGGAGTTGGCATTGAACAAACTGTTACATATGAAGTGACCGGTGACTAGAAATGTCAGGTGTGGATGAGGGAGTGCAGAAGTCATAGAGAGTAAAGGCTGGTGGTCGGGAACCACGCTGAGCTGAGGAGCCATGGGCTGTAATCAAGGGAGGACACAGACAGACAGAGGGCCCAGAAGAGACTCAGAGGATGGGATGGAAGGTTTAGATGCTCCAGAGTGGAATTAGCCATGTGGATCAAGGCTCAGGTATCTGTCCCTGGCAGTCCTTCAGTGAAGAACAAGATCCCCTGATGTCTAGATGGACAGGCTGCCACCCAGCTTTGGCTAAGGGGTGCCCAGCCTGGTCTTGTCCTGCATGACTTAGGCTGTCCGTGGCCCGATAGGTTCCTAACTCCTTCAGCAGCTGTTACCACATGGCAATGAGATCTACACTGACTTTCAGGAGGGAGAGTGAGGACGTGGCTTGTTCTTTAGACCCCCTGTATCATCTACAGAACCATTGGAGCTGAAACAAGGATGAGATGGCTCGGTCTGGTGGTTCATTCCTGTAGTCCTAGCACTTGGGAGACTGAGGCAGGAGAATTACCAAGGGCTGAAGTTAGCCCGAAATACACAGTGAGTTCCAGACTAGCTTGGGCTATAGAATGAGGCCCAGCTTTTAGAAAATGCTTTTAAAAGAATGAAACAGCAAGTACCTACCTGAAAGCTCCACCTGGTGCAGGGCAAGGGTAAGGATGAAGGCGAGAAAGAGGCCCCGGAGCAGCAAGACGCAGCCAGCCATGCTGACCCAGAGCCTGGCTGGCCCGGGCAGGGCAAAGTCTGCAAACAGCCAAAGTCCAGGGTCCCAGGAGGCACAGTGGTCAACATGTGCCTTAGGACACATAGAAGGCTAGATTAGGTGACCCGTGGACCCAGGTGTTGATGGCTTGAGGAGGAGACGCACTCTTATTATGGTCCCTTACTGCTTTTACTGTTAGCCAACTAACAGTAATGGTGGGAGGAAGAGGTAGACTTGGAGGCTGGAGTAGGAGAGGGCAAAGTATCATGACCATATGGGTTGTTCTATTCATGGGGCTGGTGCCTGCATCTGTTGTTGACTGAACGATGCAGGAGCAAAATCTAATGACACCTATAAACACAGTTTATTAAAGTAGAAAGTGAAGACCACAAAGTGGGCAGCAGCCTAGCTTCAATACACACACTGTGAAGTTGTTTTTAAATAGCTAGAAGAATCATACATTATGGTTTCAGATTTTGCATTTTCATGGGATTTCTGTGTGTGCAAGTGTCTGTCTCATCTCACCCTCATCTCTGTGTTTCTTGTGCTTTCTAGATTTCTATTTGGCTTTTAAAAAGTTTGTTTCATCTTACTGTGCTTTTTTTTTTTTTTTTGGCTTATTTGTTTTCTAACAAGAGAGAAAGAAAGGGTGTGGGTTTGGGTGGGTGGGGAGGCAGGAGGACCTGGGAGGAGTTGGGGGAGGAAAGCTGCTCAAAATATAGTATATGAAAAAAGTCTACTTTCAACTTTTTTTTTTAAAAAAAGGACAGAAAGTAGGGATCCAGCTCAGCCTGTGTGTGTGTGTCTATCTCCAATAACAAAAGAAATGTAGGTCGCTCATGAACTTAGGGAGAGCAAGGGTGTTAATGGGAAGGATGGGAGGGAAGAGATGGAGGGAAAATGGTGTAATTAGATTTTAATTAAACACACAGGGGACCAGTCAAGGCTTCCATCGATCAGGCAAACATGGATTAGGGGCTCCAGGGCTGGGCTTCTCATGGAGCCTGGTGTGTGAGTGAACTCCTTCCTGGCTGATCAGCTCAGTCCACAGGGCTTTGAGAGCAAGAACCGCAGAGTGGACAGTGGTCAGCATGAGGATACTGCTTGCACATCGGAGACTGACTAGGGTCAGAGTCTCATGGCCAGGGTTTCACCAACCAAGTCACCTAGCTGTGTCCCCGTGCAGTAGCAGGGAGAAACAGAACAGTAGTTGGCATCCTGAGGGCTCTGCCTAATGGCCTCTCAAAGGTTGCTACCTCATACAGTTACACTGGGGACTGGTGCCAGTGTGTGAACCTTGAGGAGACGCAAACCCCTGGGTCAGGCTAGTGACGTAATTGGGGGCTGAGTTTCCTCACAGTCTGTCTCAATGAAAGAATTTGTAATAAACTGTGAGAATGCTAAAACTCGGCTCTCGCGGCTGTGCTGGTCCCTTAGTGTGAGCTTTGCAGTTCTCCATCCCCTGTTGAAATCTCTGGGGTTTACTCCAGCTCTGTTTCTTTGAACAGGACTTCCCCTTCAGGGCCCTAGTGATCCCTTCTCTGTCACAACCATGGACTTTTCTTTAGCTGAATCTCTTGATGAGAACTGGATAGATATCATATCTTCAGATAATCTGGGAGTCTCAAAATAGAGATCAGATGCCCCTAATTAGTCAGAGTCACCCACCATGTTTCATTGGCCTGTATTACTCAGGGTTCCACCTATATACAGAATTTATTGGAGTAACTGTTTTCTGTCTAGTCCAACAATGGCTGTCTACCAATAGAAAGCGCAAGAATCCAGTAGCTGCTCAGTCCACAAGGCTGGGTGTCTCAGCTGGTCTTCTATAGACCCTGGAATTCTAAAGAAGCAGGCTCTAATACCAGTAAAGGGATTGACTTGCCAGCCAGAGTGAGGGCAAGCAGGCAAAGGGAGAAAGCTTCCTCTTTCCACATCCCTTACATAGGATGCTAGCAGAAGGTGTGGTCCAGATTAAAGGTGGGTCTTCCCACCTCAAAAGTTCCTGATTTAGGGTGGGTCTTCCCACTTCAAATGATTCATCCAAGAAAAAAATCCATTACAAGTGTAGCCAACCACACGAGTTTTAGTTAATTCCATGGTGTCGTCAAGTTGACACCAACAGAAGCCATCAAAAGCCCTAAATTTTCTGATTCAGCATCTCTGGCCTCAGTTATTTCTCTCAGTGGTGTGCTAATGTCACCTGGATGATACCACATTTTTTTTTTCTCTGAAAGACCATCCTTTGTTCTGTCCCCTACCACCTAGGACGACTTTAAGTGATTTGTTTTGATGAATTTGGGGTCAAGACAAGTGGAGCAAATTCCCAGAGGATGTTGCCTCTCTTTCGTACAGCTGGGATACCAGCTCCATTTCTGATGGGCCCACTCACCCATTCTCTAGGGCTGGGTACCTCCCAGTTTTGATTTGGGGGCTGGTAGATGCATCTCTACCCCCAGAGTCAGCTTCTCCAATCCATCCAGGATATGAAAAAACACCTAAGATGTCTGGGACTCCCAGTCCTCAGCACCTGGAGGGGTGTGGCTTCTGCGGAAGTCATTCCTCCTGCCATTTGCTAGGTCTTGTTTCTGAATCAGGAAGTGTCAGGTAGGAGCAGAGCTGAGTGAGGATGCTGCTCTGTGCATTCAGTCTAGAAGCCACCTGCACTGGGGGCCTGCACTCTCATCACTGGTACCACAGGGAACCTGGGTCCCCACTGCCCTCTGGGGAGCCTGTACCCACACTGCCAGAACCACAGGAACCCTGCGGCCTGAATGCCAGAGCCACAAGGGGAGGTGCCTCACTGAATCTGGGGTTCACTTTGCTGGCCCCTGACACTCAGGGTCTGGGTTCTGGCTTTTCTGCTTGTTTTCTACTCTCTCGGGTAAATTCACTTTTTTAAATGTCTGCGCAGGTTCCCTGTAGGATGACCCCACACCCATGTGAACTCTTTCTTGTGCTTGTCTTGCCATTGGTACAGGGACCTGTGTGGGTGCTGACTTTGTTCTGGGGTTGTTGGAGACCAGGGACTTCTTGTTCTTAAGCACAGCCACAAAGTCCATCCACAGGGGTGGGTGAAGTCATGGCCTTCCCACTGCTGACCTGCATGCAGGGCCAGTAGCCACAATGTGGAGAGGGTGTTCTCCAGGGCCCACATCACTGACCCCACTGTGGCTGCAGAGCTCAGTGCTGCTCTCAGACCCCAGCCTTACTCTGGGTTCTAGGAAACTGAATGCTTTTTTTGTTGACTTTCCCCAACCTTGCAAAATCTGTTTACGAAGGACTCTGTCCAGCTCTTGATTTGGGGGAAGTTTTGTACTAGAACCTTTAAACTTTGCTTAGGAAAGTTATGCAAAGTGCAAACTATAGGAAAACTTTTGGGAAAAAAATGTTAGTCTATTCACTGAAAGTAGGCTTGGCTTTCACAAACATTTAACTTGGGGCTTGGAAGCAATGGAAGACTAGAGGTGGGGAGACATGCCATGGACCCTCTCCAGCCACACCATGCCACTAGACACCTGATTTTGTGGCATGACAGTATCTAGAACAGTTCCATAAACTTCTGGAGTGAGGCCCATTCTAGAGACTTAGAATTTAACACTTGGGGTAAGGCTAGGATTTAGGCTTTGCAAAAACCCCTCTGGAGTCTCCTATTCAGAGCAGGACTAAGACCCATGTATTGGTGGATAGGGTCACAATTAGCCCTTGGTGAGCCAATAATGTTCTCAGGAAGAAGGGCCTATGCACACTCAATACCAGGTTTAGCTTGGGGAAACTCCAGGCACCCTCACCAGGGAACGTGTCCTGAGAGACTGCATGCACACTTAGCACAGGTCCCAGCCCAGGGACACACACACACACACACACACACACACACACACACACACACACACACAGAGCACACAGAGCACACAGCACACAGACCAGCTCAGGGAGAATGCACACATACAACTAAGCTCAGCAGAGTCCATGCACACTCACCAGACAGCACAGTTCAGGAAGACTCCTGCACACACTCAAAGGCAGCCCAGCATAGGGCTAGTCCTTGGCCTAGATCTGGGTAAAATGTCCCTTTATCTTTAGACTAAGTCCTTAGTCTATCTTCCAGGGATCCTTTGCTTTCAGTGGATTACATGGTGTCAGCAATTCTATGTTACCTAGTTCCCACTGGAGAGTGAGGATTCTCTCCACAAGCAAAGGCATATCAGAATCTGGCCCCTGACCTAAAGCACCTGCTGAGGGGCTGACATCTCTGTCCCACTGTGTGTGTGTGTGTGTGCACGCACACGCGTGCGTGCATGTGCGCATGTACCTGGGCATTTATTCTTAAGGTAGTTAAGCACAGTCAGTTGAGAGGATTAGTTTGACCACTCAAAATCACAAGTGTATTGGTGGGCAGAGACGGCTCCATCCAAGTGTGAGCAGAGACGGCTCCATCCCTAGAACCAGTGGCTCCCCGAGAGTCCTCCATTCTGGCTCAGGAAGAGAAACCTTTATTCAATTAGAGCCTGTTTCTTATACCATGAGGTTATGGGAACTTCAGATCGGGAGCCAAAGAGTCTACCACTGCAGGTGGGCAGCTGCTCTGAGAAAGTTCCTGCTCAGGTGGCAACATTAAACAACACCATGTGAGACCCAGCAGGTCTCGAGAAGAACTGCTTTAATGGGGAGGACTTGTTGACTTTGGGACCTCAGATGTGGGCACCACCCTGGCTTTCATGGATTTGTCAATCCACTTGAGGAAGGCCGTGACCTTTGTATAGATCCCATACTTCCCCTTCCTGGCACACCCTTCTCCCCAGCTGACAATGCCAGTCACAAAGTGGGTGTCTTTGAACCGGGTGACATGGGGGCCACCACTGTCCCCCTGGCATGCATCCTCCAGTTTGGCATCGTAGCCAGCACAGAACATATTCTGTGTGATGGTGAAGCTGCTGGAGAGCTTGCAGGTGTTGCGATCCACATAGGGTACCTCCAGCATCTTCAAGATGTTTGACTGACGGCCCTTCTCGTGCGTGCGTCCAAACCCACTCACGATGCCTGACTTCTGCGTCATCAGTGTGGCCTCGGCCCAGTCCTTCTGAGGCAGGCAGGCAGGAGCCACGTTCATGCGGAATGTGATGGGAGTCTTCAGCTTGAGCACGGCGATGTCAAAGTCATAGGTCTCCCTCACAAACTTGTTGTGCTTTATGACCACATCCACCTCGTGTGACATCTCATTGCCTTCCTCTTGCTCTGTGTTCCGATCCCCTGGGGAGAAAGAGTGGGGGAGAGAGGGGGAGAGAGAGAGGGAAAGGCAGAGAGAGCAGATGGCTGTTAGTTCTCTGAGGGCCAGGTGTTTGTATATCAGCTGCTTTTAAAGAAGCACACCTTTAGTCCCATCAAGAAGGAGGCAGAGGCAGAAGGATCTCTGTGAGTTCGAGGCCAGCATCATCCACAAAGGAAGTTCCAGACCAGCCAGGTCTACATAACCAAATCTTGTCTCAACAAGATAAGGAAGGAAGGAAAGAAGGGAGGGAGGAAGGGTGGGAGGGAGAAAAGAAGGAAAGGAAGGAGGGAATGAGCTAGCTGCTCTTAAGTCACCTCAACACAGGCTAGAATCATCAGAGAAGAGAGAACCTCTACTGAGAAAGAGCTTCCATAAGATCAGGCTGTGCACAAGCCTGTAGAGCATTTTCCTAATTAGTGATTGATGGGGGAGGGCCAGCCTATTGTGGGTGGGGCTAACCCTGGGCTGGTGGTCCTGGGTTCTATAAGAAAGTGGGCTGAGCAAACCATGGGGAATAAGTCTGTAAGCAGCTTCCCTCCATGGTCTTGCACCAGCTCCTGTCTCTGGGATCCTTCCCTGCTTGAGTCCCTGTCCTGACTTCCTTCAGTGGTGAATAGTAATGTGGAAGTGTAAACCAAATCAACCCTTCCCCCAAACCCACAAAATAAGTTTTTTCCTAATTAAAAAACAAAAGGAAAAAAAAACCAAAACAAACAACCCCCCCCAAAAAAAACAGACCCAAGTCAAGGAGTATATGCTTGTATTCCCAGCATTCAGAAGGATGAGGCAGATGCTTGCAAATTCAAAAACAGCCTGTTCTCTGTAGAGAGATTGAAGGTCTTTTAAGGACCTCTGCCTTCCTTCCAGAGTTTCACTTTGTATATTTTAAAAGGCGTTTTAAAAAGTTTATGTGGATGAATGTTTGCCTGCATGTATACATATGTATACTGTGAGCATGCCTAGTGCCTGTGGAGACCAGGGCATCAGATCCCTTTTGAAATGGAGTTACAGACAGTTGTGAGCCACCATTTGGGCTCTGGGAACCATACCCAGGTCCTCTGTAAGAACAGTAAGTACTATTAACCACTTGGCCATCTTTCCAGCTCCCAGCTCCAGTTCATATTTTTGTGTTGAAGGTTTAGGACTCTAGTTCTTTCCAATTCCTTATGCTTTGGCACATGTTCCCTGAGTTCTTCCTGCAAGCTGGGTCTGTCAATCTTCTCAGGGCCAAAGGTCTCCTATTCCAGACCTGGGCTGCGCACCCAGGCCCAAGCAAGTCTGAGCTGAGATGACTGTGAAAGGAGAAGGTAGTAACATCTCCATCACAGAAGAAGTTTATTTATTTCTATACACATGGGAAGTCAAGGCTTTGGATGCACTGCATGAAACGGGATACTGGAACAACCTCAGCTACCTAGACTTGCTAAATCTGTGGCAGAGATGTCAGACATTTTCAAATTGCAGTTGAGGCTTGCACTGAATTTTCACTGGATAGCTCATGGGTCTTGTAGAAACATCAGAATGAACTAAATGACACATGAATGAAGGTGTGAGACTCCGAGAGAATTGTGGAAGGCTTTTGAGGAAGGGACACTAAGAGAGAAGTTGCCATGGATAGCACTGAAGAGGGAAGTCTCTGTGTGGAATGGCCTGGCTCCGGGGAAGTCTGTAGATGCCCACCCACTTCTCTCTGACCCCCTTCCTATGAGAGGAACTTTCAGTTTCCAAGCAGGCCTGTATTTGAGCAAGTGTTGATAACACATCCCATGTGTTCCAGAGGTCCCAGGGGAAAGAAATAATAGCATTCCTAGGGGTTGAGATGGTGGTGTGCCCAGGGCTGGAGTGTCACTTACCTACCCTCACCTTGAATCGTTTGGCTTGGTACAGACAGTGGGCCGCCGTGAGGATGTAGAACTCATTCAGGATGGTGCCCCCACAGAACCCCTCATTGTTGTCATTGATAAGCAGAGCCTGTGACCAGAGCAGAGTGTCTGCAAACCGCCTATGGTCGACACGAGGGCCGTGCCAAGCTGACTAGCCATGTGGGCAGAGAACCCATGTATTCCACCCACAGCAAGGCTCTGCTCTCTACCCCCACCAGCCAGCCCCACAACAGGTGCCTGATATAGGTGCCAGGAATTAGACTCTGGTCCTCTGGGGAAGGAGTGCTCACTCTTAACCACTGAGCCATCTTTCCACTTCCTATTTATTTTTCTTACATAAACCCAAACCTTGCTTGAGTGACAAGGAAGAGGAAGCCAGTCCAAGGCCCAACTCCACAAGTTTTTCTTAAGAAGTAACCACATCTTGGCCTAGGAGAAAATCTCTCTTACCCAGACTCCCCCAGGGTTCCAGTCTCCCTGCCAATAAGTGATCTCACAGTCTACACACAGCAGCTTCTCTGGGTCCAGAAAGTTCTCAGTATGTGTGTCCAAAGAGTCACACACAAGCTGGGGCTAATTCTCCTGCCTCTGGTCAGCCACTCTTGCCATTGCCCTGTAGGTGGAGGATGTCTAGGTGATCTCTGGGCATTGCTGGTGTCTCTAGGACAGTGGTTCTCAATCTTCCTAGCTGTGACACTTTAACACAGTTCCTTATGTGGTGGAGACCTCCCCAAACATAAAATTATCTCATTACTACTCCATCGCTGCAATGTTGCTCCTGTTACAATGCATCATGTAAATATCTGATAACACAACTCCAGAAAAGGTTGCGACCCTCAGGTTGAGAACCACTGCTCCAGGGCATTTAGGTTTTGGAAGCTGTGAGTCTCTTGTGCCAGTGGAGAGGATGGAAGCGATTCAGAGCACCCTGCCCAGCTGGGGTCAGAGAGCAGATGAGCATTTCCCAACAGTGTTCAGGCATTTACATCAGGGAGTGTTCATTGTGGGAGGTTCAAGTCTCACTGAAGGGCTTGGTATTTTTTCCTAAGTCTGGCAGCCCTAGACCATGTCAATAACCAAAGAGTGGTTGAAAACAAACATTTTGAACATAAATAGATGGGTCTTTCTTTAGGGTATTTCATCCCTCTTAGCATTTAGATGCTTTTGTTTTTGTTTTTAAAAAATAAATTCTCACACTGGAAATGGAATGATGACCACTGGGAAGGACCTTGCAGGTCTGAGTTGCTGACCCTTAGTGGATTGTTCCACTGGCCTGTAGCACAAGAGGATTGTTCTACTTGCAACCGGCTCTAGCTTAGATCAGTTACCTGCCAGGGACACTCTCCATCTTTGCATGCTCGGCCGCCCACAATCCTAACAAGGTCTGAGCTGTCCTTTTCTGGTTGTGTCTGGTTGAGGTTGAGCAGATCAGAAGGATTCTCCGTAGGGGACAGCACATCTAAGTCCAGTATGAAGTCTTCAGGGACAGGCTCACTGTGATTGGTGTTCTGGCCCAGAGACCTCTTCCTCCGTCCTATGGTGGTTTTCCCACAGGGGAAGGGTACTAAAAGAACAGGAACAACAGGAACCTCAGCAATGTCAGAAGCTTCCCAGGCCTAGTGAGGCTCCCTGGAAGGCCAGGGTGTTATGGGTAAGCCTGACTGAGGGTTAAGTGGCAGATTAGTAAAACACATCTTGCAGGGAGGTGGTGGCTCATCCCTTTAATCTCAGCCCTTGGTAGGCAGAGGCAGGGTATCTCTGTGAGTTTGAGGCCAGTGTGGTCTACAGAACGAGTTCCAGGATGGCCAGGGGTACACAGAAAAACAAAACACAATTTTTGGCATAACTATAAAGATGCTTCCAGAGAAGATTAACTAAGGTGGGGGAGACATGTCCCAAGTGTAGGCAGCACTATCCCATAGTCTGGGGACCCAAACAAAATGAGAAAGAGAGGGGGACAAATCTTGTTGGCACAGGCATTTTCCCTCTCCATTACTGACAGCCATTAGGTGAGTCAGCTGTGCTTCGCCCACCACGATGGACCGAAACCTCTGAAAGCAGGCGCTAAAGCAAATCCTTCATCCTTTAAACTGTGTCAGGTGTTTTGTCACGTGACTGGAATTCCGGCTAATAAAAAAATTTGGTATCAAGTTACTATGGCCACTTGGTTCTGTGGTCCTAAAGGCTTGGGGCTAATTTGTAGGAAGAATTTGGAGGCATTAAGAGATACAAGCTGGAGAAAAGCTTAGAGTTTTGTTCACAGAGCTAAGTGGGTGGCTCCAGTGGCCTCTCAGAAGACAAGGGTGCTGAGAGGATTATGGGTGGCAAAGATTATAATCATGAAGTTTTAGAAAGGAATAGGAACTCTTTCGGAAACTGAAGACCATTGACTGTTAAAAACCTTGTTTACATTTTGCCCCTGCCCTGATAATGTGGGAGTCATATTTATAAAGATGATAGCCAAATTAAATTTCTTGGGAGCCCAGCATTCAGGCTGTAGAATGGTTATTGCTGGCTGCCTTTAACCAAGTTTAAAATGAGATCCAGAAACATACATAATGCAGAGTTAAAAGCCTTCAGGGTTTTCAAGGAAAAGTGCAGAGCCTGATGGTGAAAAAGGGTTACTGTAGACTGAGGCTGAACATAGGGGTTGTTCTGTGCCAGTGATAGTTTAAGTGGTTGCAATGTAGCCTTTATGCATGTTCCCATGAGATATGGTTGTGTCCTTAGCCTGTGAGAAGGATTGGAGATTCTGTTGCCTGGAGACATGATGTCCATTGTCCTGTAGTTTGTTATCTCTGGGCTGAAATATGTAGCTACAACCTTTGGGAGCATGCTAGGCAAGCTCTCTATTACCAAGCCACACCTCAGCCTTTTGTTATGTTTTCAGATATTAAGCCTTGCTTTGAATTGATTTGTGATTATCCCTGGAGTTAAAATAGTTTGTACACATATCAAGAAATAGCTCCAAGCTAAAATTTTCTGAACTAATTAAAACTTAAAAAAAAATGTCTGTGTGAAAATCTTGTGCTTTGGTTATTGGGTGATTTCATGTTACACAATTAGGTTCATACTTGAAGGATGTATTTGGAGCCACTCTTTTCTGATTACTTAATCTCTGAAATAAATTGTTTTCAGTGTATAGCAGATGAGAGGGAAAGAGGAAGAAACAACTCCATGCTGAGTCCCATCCCATCTCATCTGTATGTTTGGTTGTCTGGGATGTATGTGGCCCGAGACTCTTCACTCTAACCCACCTGGGGGATGCTGGGAGGTAGGGACTATCTGTGGACCAACAGGCTGGCTTTTCAGAGCTACCATCCCTAGCTCATCTTACGTCTGTATGGGCCAGATGTATAGTGGAGTATTAAAAGAGCACTTGCACCTGGCATTTAACTCTGAAGTGATGGCCACTTAGGCTTTGAAATAATCTCTTGTAAATAATTGGTGATTGATATCTGAGATTTATAGGGTTGCTCTTTCTTGGGAATTTAAGAGCCTTGGCATAACCTCAGTCATAAGACATTCCTAGCAAACCTGGGATTCTACCAATGGCCGTGTTTGCTTAGGTCATGGTTCCTTAAGACAACTCCTAGTTCAGATAAGATGTGTTGGTATGCAGGAATTGACTTGCTGAAAGGCCTTTTGTGTATCAATAAAAAGGAGCTTCTGAAGGGCCACTAGGCGGCCAGTCCACCAGAGGTCGATTCTCCTTGCTGCTGAGAAGCTCATATAGCCTTCAGCATCTCTCTTTCTTTGACTGGCCCTTATAACTAAGAACACCAGTTGAGCCCTTCTCATAGATCCGACAAAAGGTTCATTTCCTGCCTCTCCCCCCCTTCCTCAGCCCACCCGCACTGACTTCTGAAAGTCTTGTTAGTAGTGGCTCTGCTGATCATAAGACTTGACACATCTAGCTCTCACCGGGTTAAAAAAACAAAACAAAATAAAAACCAATCAACACAGGGCTGTGAAAATGATATCAATCCTACTCTGTTGGTTCCTCTTCCTGCCTATGCTCCTTCTTGACCCAGGAGGATCCTGCCCTTGTCCTGCCATGTGACAACTGTGGCTTTCAGGCCCTCAGGCCAGAGGAGCATGAGCAACCTTGCACAGAAGTCACTGCCAGGGCTGTGGGTGAGCCAAGCACAGTGATGCCTGAGATTACATCCTTTGCCAGGAACAAGGTAACAGTGCCAGCCACTTCAGCTGCTGAGGCGGAGCTCTTTGTCCCCAGATCTAATGCATCTTCTTTCAAACCTAAAGCTTTTCTGATAGAGCTGTCCAGAGCCCAAACTCTCATTCTCTATCTCCTGGCATCGCTGGCCTCTGCAAGTCCCACCAGAACATGCCACGTTACTGCCCACAGTAGTGTCACACTGTCTCCACGGTCCAATGACCCCTACCTGTGGAGATGCAGGATTTGCCATCGTCACCCAGGAAGTAACCACTGGCACAGGAACACACCACTGTGTTCTGCTCTTCACTGCAGAACTGGTCACAGTCTCCATTGTCTAGGCTGCAGAGTTTCCGAACAACTGCAAAGCAGAAGACAGATGAACCCTTCTATAGTCACATGACAAGTACAGACATGCCAGCTATATCTGCCCAATCTCACCCATGCCCAGGCTGGGGTATGCAAACGACAGAGTCCCAAGAAAGACACACATGGGTGGTTTCCATGATAACAGGACAGGCAGCCAAACAAGATGCCAGCCTCAAGTAAGACTTTCTTCCTACTACTGCCTCTCCAGACCATGGAAGGGACAGCTGACATATGCACAGGTTACAGGGGAAACACCTGGCATCCTCACAGGCCATGAGAGGGACATTCAATACCCTCACAAAACTCTCCAACTAGAACCTTTGTGAGGAAGGGCAGGTGCACAGTCTCTATTGAGGGCTGTGCACATTCTGCTCATCCAGGGTGCTGCCCTTGGCATGGGGGGAGAGTTGCATCATGGCTGAACCTCTTCCTTCTCATGCTCATAACAATAAATGGTATTTGAGCCCAGTCCTCACCCCAGTGATGCACCAGGCACTGTGCCGTGGACATGTCATGTTTTGGATCTGGGTTCCTGTGAGACCTGGAAGGAAGTGTGTGTCAGAAAGCCAGGAGCCAAGTCCAGAGTAGATGGAAGTGGGGGGAGGGGCTATCACTTAAGTCCCACCACTCTTTCTCCACACTATCAAATCATGGAAGTGAAGCTTCAGGCTACGAGAAATTGCTGCTTAACTCCTTTGGTAACTTCTGACCTGCCCATGGTATCTAAAGGCTGACTGAGTTCATATACTTCCATCCATAGCATCCTGGACCACAGGTACCCAACTGTTTCCAGCACAGGAGGATCCACCTCACACTCATAGCCATGTCTGTAGCAATTTGCTTGGGCAAAAAAGCAATTATGGAGTAAAATCTACCTCAATGGAATCTTAGCTCAGGGATTGTGCCCCTCACTAGATATGTTAGCCTGTTGTATACTGTAGCTATCTGGGCTTCTGTGGAATGGTTCATAATCAGCAGCTCCACTGGGGAGAGTCCTGGGGGCATCCAGAGGAAACCCACACTCTATGAGGAAAGTTACTTAACCCTGGACATGGTGACATACACCTGTAATCCCAGCACTTGGGAGGCTGAGGCAGGGGGACTGCCGGGAGCTCAAATCTGGAGTGGGCTTGGTTACAGAGTGAGACCATAGCTTTTAAAAAAAAAAAGCAATAAATAAAGAAGTAAAAGACATGCAGATCTTTCTTGTTAGGAAACACTGGGCTGAAAGTAACCTAAATTGCCATAGAATCAACCAAGTGCATGACATATCTAAAGCGAGGCAATCTAGAACATTCCTTGTTGATGTTTGTGGTGACAAATGTAAATAGATGAGGTGACTCAGTCCACTGTGCTGGAGCAGAGGTAGGAACAGCAGCACGAACAGTCTACCTGATTCTCATCTGTTCTGCCAAGCCACCTGCCTCATGGTGACACAGCACCTTTGACCCACAGGGATGCATCGTCTCTCATGCTGCACCCCACAGAGCAGCTAGAGGACAGACATGTCCAATGGTTCAATGTGTCAATACTTAGCTTGTCTTGTTAGGTATTTCAGCATCTTTGCTCTTCTCTACTCGTGGTATGACCACAAAGTCCATCAAGCAGAGGGACTTACAGAATTCACAGTTTTTGCCTTCGAATCCTTCCAAGCAGGTGCATGTGTACTCCCCAAGGCCATCACGACACAGGCCTTGATTCTGGCAAGGAGTGTTTTCACACTGGTCACCATCTGCAATAAGAGGATTTGGAAACCACGGCTGAAGGCACTTCGTCATAGGCACCACTGACCCTGTGTGGTCCTTGCATCCACTTTGCAGATAGCTTGAACTTCCTTCTTCTTGAGAATAATTAATCATACCTAGATTTGTTTAGTTCCCACTTTGGTGGCTATGTATGTACAATACCCTATCCCTTGCATCATTGGCTGGATCCCTGATTTCTTCTGGCATGTATTACAATGTGTTTGTGGCCAGGGAGAGGTGCTTTGTCTCCCTTGCAAAGGAGGGGGACAATGGACATTGTTGCACTTGTTTCTGGACTGGATGCTGATCAGAGAAGGCGGGACTATTTTTCCCAAGGCCTCTGGGTGTGGGGTGAGAACCAGGGGATGGCCCAGCTCTGGTTCAGGCTCCACCATTTTTGGTATGACACTCACCTCACAGGGATGGGGGGGTCCTGACTGCCATTTGAAATAACTTCCAGGTAGCCATGACTGGTATGGTCTCTGATGCTATGAATAGTCATCAGGGTGGCCACCTTTTAGAAAGTCCAGTATTTCAAGCTCCACCATTTGCTTCAGCTTGCTATACGTGATAAAGATGTCATGGAATTTATAACCTCAGATAAGGAAGAACTGGCTTAAGTCTGTGTCTGAGCCACACATGATGGAAAATACATATAGCTCTGGTTACTCAAGAGGCTGTTGAGTAATGAGGGTGGCTTGAACCTGGGAATTTGTGGCCCCTGTGGGCAACAAGATCCCATTTAAAAACATGTGTATTTTTAGTAAATAATAAAACTAGAATCAATATAAAATACCTTAAATAAGTATCATGGGTACCCAGAAGGGAAAAGTGTAGATAAATAAGACTGAACAAGAATGTAATTAAAAATGTTTCCCCAGACCCATCCCTTCTCTTAATTTAAATGTTAAGGAGTTTATGAGGATTAAAATAGGAAACATCTTACCTATGTATTTGTTCCAGAATTCATTCTAAAAGAAAAGAAAAATTTAAAAAAACACACATTAAAAAAAAAAAAACAGACATTTCACACTAATAGTAACTGACTCTATTAGCCTGTCCAGAAGAATGTTCCAGAACTTTTCCATCTGAAAGGGAGAGCTGCCCAAATACTTCATCCCTGAGAGGGCCTGTCTCCCATCTGCTTCAACGCGTGGCCCTTGCTGAATATTGAAACTACATTTCATGGTAACAATAATTGGGCTGAAAGAAATAGACTGCCAGGGTAGGTTGTTCAGTTAACAGACCCCCATGCTCAAAATTAAGAAAAAGATCACAAGCTGCCAGTCACACTTATGTGGATGGGAAAAGTATAAATTGCTAATTATCTTAAAACAGATCAAGGTTCATGTTACACTAACAGGTGGTCACAGTACACACAGTTGGTCATAATCCCACCCCCCATTCAGATCTGTCTGGGAGCTCCCATAACGACCTTAATTGGACATGGAACTTTGTGGCTGTAAATTAGGGTGAAGACCCAGGTGAGGTCACCCAGAATTATCTCATGCTCTTAGCCAATGAGAGTGTCCATTTCAAAGTAAAGAAAGGCTACCTAAAGCTAGCAGTGGAGGGATGTCATGAGAGGACAAGCAGAGGTTGGGGTAACATCTGGAGTGACAGCAAAGAGTTCCTTCTGGCACTTCCAAAGGACCTGGCCTTGGTCCTGCTTTTGCACTCATTGCCTCCAAAATTCCAAGTGGATAAATCCTTGTTACTGCAAGGCATTCTGCTAATAGGTCTCTGTTATGATAGTCACAGCAATGAATGTGCTGTCTCTAAAACATTTCAGTTTAGACTGGAGACACATCCCAGAGTACAGCACTTGTCTAGTTTATAGGAAGCCCTTGATTCAATCTCATGGGAGAAGAGGAGGAAGGCAGAGATCTTCTTGGTGCAGAATATATTTTAAAACATCAAATAGAAATTGGACATGATGGTACATGCCTGTGACCCCAGCACTTTGGAGTTGAGACAGGAGGAAGATTGAAGATCGAGGAGGAAGAGAAGGAGAAGGAGAGCCCAGTTTCTCCTAATTTAAAAATCCACTTTTTGTATGTACAATTCTTTGAACTTTGTGTGTACACCTGTGTGACCACCTCATATAATCAAAATACACACAGCCCAGTCTTCACCCAACTCCTCAATCACAGCCCCCACCCAGCCCTGAAACCTGTCAAGTCCCGGTATCCACCACAAACCTGCTCTTCGACAAAGCAATGATTTTTAAAGATTGTCTGATAAATGAAATCATACAGGAAACAAGCCTGTGAAGTTCTCTTCAGCATCATGCCTCCAGAACGTGTCCAGCTACCTGTGTGCCCGAGTCCTGCTTGTTGTTGGCTCAAACTGTGCTTACCTTTATCCAACAGTGGATGATGCCCATGCTATTTCCAGCTTGGGGTAATTATATTTGGATCTGTTATAACCATTTATGACTGGGCAGGCGGTGGTGGTGCATGTCTTTAATCCCAGCACTCAGGAGGCAGAGGCAAGTGTATTTCCATGAGTACAAGACTGGCCTGGTTGATAGAGTGAGTTCTAGGACAGCCAAGGCTACACAAAGAAAAACTGTCTCAGGAAAAAAAATTTTAATGCCTTATGCAAGGCAGTTTTTCAATGAAAATAAGTTTTTGTTTTTCTAGGGAAGTGCCTAGGGATGGTTTCCCCACAGAAGTGGCTTTATATGGCTCTCTGAGAAACTCACACTACTGCAGAGTACATGTGAGGTGCACTTCCCCTCAGGTATGAAGTTGGATTCTCTGGTGGCCCCTCAGCCCTCTTCCCCAGCTTTGCTCTCTCTCTATAGTCAGCCACCAGTCACAGATATCCTGATACCCACCAGCAATATAGCAGGCCTTGCTGTGCCTTTACCTCGAATATCCGTGATAGCTAGGGGTGTGGGGTATCTTCTCGGGGGCTTGTCAGAATATTCTGTCTTTGGTGATGTAAAGATGTGGCTGTTCCAGTCATTCGTTCATTGAACTTTCTTACCTGTTCATTTCTTCTCTTGGGCTATGAGTTCTTTAGAGTTTCTGGATCCCTTATTGGAGGTGTGAATTGCAAACACTTTCTTGGTCAGTGGCTTGTATATTCATTCTCGTAACTGTTTCGTCTCCTCACCCCCACCCGGCGGGGGGGGGTTCAATCTGACAAAGTCTGGTTGATTAATTTTTCTCTTGTGAATTATTTTTGGACGCAGTACTTAAGAACTCTGGCTAGCTCCATGTCCTACATTTCTACAAAAGGTTTTTCTTGGTTTGCCTTGAGATCTCTGGTTCAGTTTGTATTAGGATTTGTTTAGTGTAAAGTTGTTTTACCCTCCTGCTGACAGGTCGAACCTCAATGTTAGTATGTATAAAGAATGGAATCTATCTCCTGGTCAGGGGCCTGGCTAGGGGACTACACACAGGAAGATGGGTTCACTTTAAGATAATATGTTTTTCTTCCACACTCCTTCCCTTTTGCACACTCCATAGGAGCCACCACGAGGGTCAATTGGGTCTGCCCACCCTTCTAAGTCTTGCCATTATGAAGGCATAACTACATTTTTCTTCTTTTGTGTTTAGATGCTGGCTGGTGTCTAACCTAAAGCGCCTCTATCCAGTGAATGGCTGCTTACAGCCAATGGTTGGCCTCAATGCCATCTTATTCAAGTGGCATGGCTTCTGTTCCTTCTTTGCAGTCTCCTCTTCCCCATAACCAGACCAGGCTGGGTGATTTTAGTGGGATCATAATAGGCTGTGAGGGATTCAGGGTAGTGAGCTAAGTGAACCCTGAACTCAGAATTCACGTTCATAAGTCTAGTCAATGTCATTAACAACCAAAATCTTACAGTAAAATTCCAGAACAATCCTCATATATGAGTTTTGCTGTGTTAGGCAAATGCAATTACATGGGCATTTGTAAAAAACTAAGGATGATTTTAGCATGGTGAATTGCTTCCTCAGGAAATAGTTCATGATCAAATCCAAGTCATTCTTGAAGAAAAATTGAGGATGTAGCACTTCCAGAGCCTGGCCATGAAGCTCTGTAGATCATGACACTGACCCTTCCCACTTCCCCAGGGTCCTGATCTCAGGATGTCTCCTAGGGCTGTTTTCTATTTTATGAGTATAAATGAACCCTCTTGCCACTTCTTGAGAGGGCCTTGCCTTGTAACTTGGCCTTTCTGATGGTTTGAATATGACCTGTCCTTCTGAGGGTCATGCCCTGAACACTTGGTGTCCAGGTGGTGGTGTTATTTTTGGGGAGTTCTGCAAACTTTAGGTGGGGCTTATCTGGGGGAATAGATGATTGGGTGGGGTTGTCCTTGGGGGAATCTTGGCTCCAGCTCCTTCCTGTCAGCCCCTTTGCCTGTCTGTCATGAGGAGAGCATGTCTCTTCTAAAGCCTGCTAAGGTGATCTGCTTAAGATCATGAGATGACCACAGACCCTAAGAACCATTTGATAGTGAGAACCCTAATATTTTATACCCCTAACTGTTTTCTCAGGTATTTAGTCATAGTATCTAAAAGTGACTGGTCCCATTCCGATCCTCAGGTCAGATGGTCCTGGCTGCAGGTGCTGAATTCCTAAACAGGGCCAGTGATATGGACATGGCAGTCACGCAGGTCTTGCTCTGTGACCTTCAGTGGTGGCAGTTTCCACTTGGGTCTAAAAACTGCTGGAAAGACTGTTCCTCCCTAAGCTTTTCCCTGGCCACCTTTTGGGGACATCTTTTCTCTTTAGCTCATTCTTGTTACTTGGGGCTCAGATTTCCACTGGGTCCTTGAAGGTCCTCATCTTCTGGGGAAGAAGTAGGCTCACTCCTGATGCTCCATAGATGGTGGTGGTGGGCGGTGCTGTGGGCCCCCTGTCACATGTCTGCATGCTCTGAGCACTCTTCTTAGTCACTGATCTCTTTACGCACGGGACAGGGAGGATGGTGGTAACTGTTACACATTCATTCGGGAAGCACTGATAAGGATCATGATATACACACATACACACACATATACATACATACATACATACATATTTTTTCCTTAGGTTAACTTGATCATACTTGCAAGTTCTCATTACCCTTCTGTAATGCAGAAGAGATCAAAATGAATTTCCTATAGGCAAAAGGCTAAGATAATATGCCTGGCTATCTAAGCCCTTGGGTGCTTTCCATGACTACACTTCACAGGCTTGTAGGTAAAGGTCCAAATCTGAGCCAGCCTGGGACCCTGCAGCAGCACAGGAGCCCCAAATAGAAAGGAGGGTGGGATGGCCTAACCATCCTCACATGGACCTGGCCTGACTCACCGCCTTCTTATTGTCCTCAAAGACTTCACGGACCTCTTCAAAAGAACAATTTTCTTCCATACACTCTCTTTCCAGATTTCCTTTCTTCAACTCTTCAAAAATTGAGTTTGCTCTCCGAACCCTCGTCAGGACATTGTTGGCATGTTCCCGGTTAATAAATACTGGAAGACAGAGGAGGACACCAGTGAAAGGCCCTCGCCAGTTACCAGGTCTCCTCTTACCCAGGGCCTTTGCACACGCTTTCTTCCCATCTGGAACATTCTTCTCTGGAATGATGATTATTACCCTTCATTGACAACTTAGACTGAGACACACCTCAGCATGTTTCCTAAAAGAACTAACTGAGAGGTAAAGATGCTCTGCGTGTGGGGGTATCACCACACGGCCTGGGAGTCTAGAGAGTATAGAAGAGGAGAAAGGAAGGTCCAGCAGATCCTCTGCTTCCTGGATGCCATGGTGGGAACTGCTCCACTCTGTCACACCCTCCCTGCCATGACAGACTGAGACCTCTGAAACCACAAGCCAAAAGAAACCCTTCTTCACTGAAGCTGCCTGTGCCAGGAATGTGGTCACAGCCATGCAAGCAAGTGTGGTTGGTATACCCAGCTACACACATGGGTCAGGAGGTCTACCATCCTGACCGCCTCCACATCTCTTGGACCCCCTTGCCTTGTGCGGTTTCTTGTTATAGTTCACAGCTTCTCTCTGATGTATTGCTGCTGTCACCTTAATGGAAATATGTCCTGTAAACAGATGTGACCTGTCTGCTCATGGCTGTTCCTAGACCTGGAAACAGCCAGTACTTACTAAGTCCCTGTCCAGCAAATGAAGGCAGCTGGTCTGGTCCAGGCCCTGTCCTTTTGACTGTCTTAGCCTCCATGAGTGGCTTTGCTGGGACACTATGCTTACCCCCTAGACAGTCATGTAGACACATCCTGCTGGCAGCCACAGATTCTGATTTGAGTAAAGTCAAGATTGGCAGCATGGAACTAAAATGTTCCAACTTTGTGAACACTTGCCCATGGGAACCTTTGGCAAAGTCTCAAATGTTGTGACACCAGCATCCTACTGCTCAGTGCTGGCTGTGTTTTGTCGCTTGTGGCCTTTGATTTTTCCAGCTCCTACACATTGCTATCCTCAAACATGGGGGGGGGGTTGTCTCTGTGGTGCTGGCCTTGGTGGTGACTTGCAGGCATTGACCCATCGACTGGGCGTCACGTCTTCCTCAATAAGGATCAAATGCCTGGGAAGTACCCCTGTGTTGCCAAGGTTGCTTCTTGTACTGGTGCAAGAGCAGCTCCGTGTGACCAGAGCCTGCTCTGGATTAACCAAAATGAGCCCTTCTTTTGAGCAGGCCTGTAGGCTTTAGGCTGTTTACTGCCTGTTTGTGCAGCCATGTCTTGTGCAGTCTGTGGCCCAGCAGAGCTTTCCAAGCTTGGGAGTCCTGGCTCCTGCCTCTTCCATGCCTGGGGTGGCTTTATCCCCTCTGCTTATCTTTCTCCTTATCTCTGTCATCCTCCCTCTCCCTATCACTGTCCCCCTCTCTTTGTCTTTGTTTTGCCTCCCTTCTCCGGGCCCCTTCACTGGTAACCCCTTGTGCCCTGCGTGAGTAGTCACAGCTGGGCCGGTGTGCCAACCATCCTGGCCTTCCAGCTACCCACCCTCTTGCCTCCTGGGCCACTCTGCAGTGTAAAGGGCTAGAGCACTTACCAGTTCTTCCAGGTAACAGGAGGCTGGCCAGCACAACATAGAGCAGGCCGAGTTGCAGCAGGATCCCCATGGTGTGGTCAAGGACAGCAGCTGCTGTGACAGGCATGGGACAAGGGTCACTTACCCTGGGCCCCAGGTGGCCATGGTCCCTCTGCTTATCTAGCCTCCTGATTGGAGCCTGGGCCAGCAATGAGGTCAGAAGACTGGGAACTGTGGTCACCAACCCCACCCTTTTCTGGGCTGGCTATCCTTATCCCAAACTGCCTGGGAGGTCCTGCTTTGTGCTAAGAGCAGCAATACCACTCGATGGACATTTTCTGGTTTTTAATACTCATCCCACCCCCTGCTGGTACTTATACATCTGGTGAAAGTGTCATTTTCTCATCATCTCTTTTTCAGAAACAGACATTGAGATGGAGATGAGGCAAAGCCTGGGTGCCAGGGACCATGTGGGGTTTGCGCCCAAGACCCCAGTCCTCTGGTTGGCCCCAGCTAACTCTTGGCACAAGTGTAATTGTGAGGCTCGTGTGTCCCTTGGACAATGGCTATGCAATCTAGTCATGGGAATAGGCTGGGCTACTGGGGGACAGGAACCCTCAACTGTTGGTGTCTTGACACAAGTTCACTTCTCTGATAGTGACATCCAGGAGAGTCCACATGGCCGCATGACACACATCAGGGTTGGCAGAGGGTGTGTTGGCCCACAAGGCCTGCTATTTCCAACCTTGTTGTAGGCCTGAACAGTGGAGAATTGTGAAGGGAGGTTTGGTGTTTGATGGTCATGGCCACTTCTGCAGAGCACACACATGGTCCACATCTTGGGCTGCTTTGACAAAGGGGTGGCCATTTTCCTCCAGTCCTGAAAGAGGGGCAAAGTCGTTCCAGGGTTGTAAATGTGGAAGCAGCCCCTCTCCCGTGCTGTGGCCATGTGACTCTGCTGGGAGTGTGCATGCATGTAATTGGGGCCAGGTGGTGGGTCTTCCTCTGAGCCCAGAACTCTTTCTTGTATAGACGCAGAGGCTCTGAATTCATGGCCCGTAACCAAGAGACACCCCTGAAAGTATTTACTTCAGAGACCCCGGAGAACAGCAGCAGCAACAACAACAGAACTCTAAAATTTGGCCTCTGAGGGAACCGTGCTCAGCCTGTCCCCACTCTCTCCAAGTAGACAAGATGGCTGGAGCTCATGGTGACCCAGTCCTCCTTAGAAACCTCATCTGGTGGGGATGTTTTTGAGCCTGGGGAGTATGCACACTGTGTCTGTATATTAGTGGACGGAAATGGGACTCAGTATGTCCACTGTGCTGGCTACAGCCTGTGCTGCCTATGGTGGTTGATTAGGCAATGGCTTATAACTGTGGCTGCCTGCACGTAGCCAGAGAGTACTGGAATGGTGTTTGGCTTATCCATGTTGTCAGTGCCGAAAGGGCCCTGGCATGCTGTGGGTGCCTGACAGAAACACCCAGTGATGTCAGATATTGAGGCTGGTCCGTCTCACCAGGAGGGAAGTCATTAGTCAGGCGGTGCCAGACTGTAACAAGACTTGGAAAAGATGTGTGATAGCTCTGGTGGCTGTCAACTGGTGTCTGACCCCTGCCCTGCCTGGTGTTGCCTATGTGGAGGTCACTGTGCCTGCACTGAATCTGTGATGGCATCAAGGGTGAGGTGGTGGGGTACTCACAGCAGACCAGTAGTCTGGGATCAGGGCCAAATGCTAATGCTGGCTTTGGGGGGATCCTTTCTTTGTACCCGACCCTCTCACTGGCCCAACTCCCAGAAAGGAAGTTCTGATTGGCAAATAAACACATCCCACACTGATCATGTCAGTCTTTGGGGAGCTAGACCCTCAGGTAAGGTCTCTCAAGGGCTCTTGGTGCCATCTCAGGACAGCTCTGTGAGCTGCATACCTGCTTTAGCTGCTGACGACTGGGGGGACTGAGCGCACACAAGAACTCAATCAAACCCTCTCAGCTCCCTCCCACTTGGCTCAGTCCCAGGAAGAACAGCCCCTCCGATGTGCATCTGACTTGGCGTAGGAGGCTCCACTTGGGAGTTAAGGTCAACCCAGGGGAACAGCAGGCATCCCCAAGATGTGCTGAGAAGGTCAGTCACTCACTGTCATGCCGGAAGCAGTGAATGGCAGCAGCATACACTACTTCAGAAACACTCCCTTGGGAAGCCTGGAAGGATGACCCCACGCGATCAGATGGTGCTTCTCATTTAATTGAAATAAAGATGGGGTACTCACACAAAAAGAAAGAAATGATGTGTACACACATGCGTGTACACACATGTGTGTGCACACATGTGTTCTATCTATATGCATGTGTGCACACTGCAGCATTGCAGGCAGAGAACATGCAGACAGAAGGCAGCTGCAGGGAGACAGTAGCAAGGGCTTGGCCTTGTCTCCCTTGGGACCACCCTGCCCCTCTGGGCTGCCCGCCTGTGGCTCTACTGCCCAGCCCCTCTGAGTGTCCGTCTCTAATTCAGACCCTTCCTTCTACTTCCCTCTCTGTCTCTCTCTCCCCCCCCCTGCTTCCCTCCTTTACCCCTCCCTTTGGCTTCCTTCACTCTCTCTTTCCCCTTTCCCACCCTGAGGATAACAGGAGATTCCATGGGCTTTACACAGCTCCCTCCTCAAGAAAGACTGGGCTGTCTAAGAAGTTAGAATAGTTCCACTCGGTGAACCCCAACCTGGAGCTTGGAGTCCATGAGCCTGATCAGCCAATCTGTGTACCTGGAGACCCTGGTGTACACCCCAATGTGGCCAACAGCTGCACAGCCCTCCCCCCAGCTGACCACACCTGTCAGGTACCATGTGCCACGGTAGTGTGTGGCGTGTGGGCCACCACTGTCGCCTTTGCAGGCATCCTTAGTGCCGTCCACATAGCCAGCGCAGAACATGTTATCTGTGATTTTGGGGGTCTTAGCACTGTGCTTGGCATGTTCCAGGCAGTCCTGGGTCATCATCCGGGGCACTTCGACGGCCATGAGCTCTAGGGCCGTGGCGCCACGGTCCAGAAGCTGGCCCCAGCCACTGACCCTTGAGAAGCGGATTCTGGACAGGGTGTTCTCAGAGAAGGCCCTTTCAGGCAGACACAGGGGTACCACATGGTCGGTGAAGGTCACTGGCCGGTGGAGACGAAGCAGGGCAATGTCATGGTCGATCTTGCCTGGGATGTACTTGTCAGGGATAATGACCTGTACCACCCGTCGTACCTGCTCAGGGCCGTCCTTCTCGCTGAAGTCATGCTCACCTGAGAGGACCACACCATCATGGTACACATCCTACCACATGAGGCTATATCCCCACACAGAATTCTTGCTTGTCTTGGCCCTCTGGCCTAGAACATATGGACATGGCTGAGGCCAGTTCAGCCTCTGGTATCTGGAGGATTTGTATCCTCCCCGGGTCCTGGGAAAAACCTGCACCAGGGCCCACTGCAGTTACGGAGGGAAGGTTGTGAATGGGCTGCACTTGGAGTCAGGGTCCTGAGGAGGAGTGAGGAGTCGGTGGGACCATTGCCACCCCTCTGTGAGGGACAGGATGGAAAGAACCCAAGTCACCCCTATTCCCCGTGGGGAGGGAAAGCTCAGAGGACAAAGTGGGTCAGCTCTAGTGTGGCCCTTCCTGGAGTTGTCATCTGGTCAGGGAGGCTGATAGGTCCTCATGTGAGAGTCCAGGCACAGGCCATACCTACCCATCACCACCGTTATGTTCCTCCAGCTCCGGATACCATCAAAACAGTGGGCTGCGGACACTATCCACGTGGTGTCCATCAGGATGGCCCCGCATAGCAATAACCCACTGCTTTTCAGCACAGCCTGGGTGGGGGCACATAGATACAGAGAGTCACACCATTTTCATGGTCTCCTTGTCCCCAGGAAGCAGCTGCAGCTGGCTTGGCAAGATTTCTGCCTGCAATATAGGGCCCTGGGGATTTAGAGTGGCTCTGGATTTGAGGGCTCTAGTAGAACACAGGGATGCTGGACAATGGGGTACATATGCGAGTCCTCAAGTGTTCCACTGAGGCAGCAGCAGACTGTGCGTGGTTTTCTTCATGGAATGGGTCTTGCATGGTTTTCTGCACAAGGGTATATGTGTTTGTATGGGGGGCAGGTACCTTGGGATGTGGGTCAGGTGGAGGCCGGCCCATGTTCCTTGTGTGAAAATATGACCCAACTCAAAACTTCCACACCCTGGGGTAGAAATCCTGAAGTCAGGGGAAGCAGAACTGAGAAGTAAGGTCTGCCCAGGACAGAGAGCCTTACCTGCCATGGGCACTCCCCTTTGGGGCACACTTTGCCACCCACAATCCGGCCTTGGGGGGTGCTGGAGTTTCTTTTCTCCAGAACAGGTATTTTCCCACATGGATACTGAACTGTATGAAACAGAAGTCAGGAAGAGCAGGGTGCTGAGGTTAAGGTGCTTGTGGGTAAGGGTTAAGAAGCAGCTGGCCCCTGGAGAGGCCTCAGGGGAGAGCAGATGGGTGCTTCCCTCTTGGGTGGGCAGGGAGGGCCTATTACAGCATCTGGGAGAGGAGACAGACACTGGTTTGAGGAAAATTGGGGCCTTGCTTTCTAGAGCTGAGGCCTGCTGGATCTTCCCAGGAAAGACATATTGCTCAGGTTTGCTACAAGGCAAGGGATGATCTGTGTGAAAATGAACCACCCTCACAGAACAATCTGCTATTTTGACCTCACTCATGCTTCTTCCCACACCGCAAAGTCCTTGGGTAACAAAGAAGATTTAGTTGTGGTTCACTGACCTCCAGTTTCACAAACTCCCTGAACCCATCCTCTTCTGAGGAAGCCTAGGCCCTTGGAAGTACAGCTTCAATAATCTCGTGGAGAACTGCACACCTTTAAAGGCATTTGGGACTGAGGCTGAGAGATGGCTCAGCAGTTAAGAGCATCGACTGCTCTTGCAGAGGTCCCAGTTTGGTTCCCAGCACCCACATCAGGCAGCTCACAACATCACTTCTGGGGGATCTGACCCCTTCCACCCTCTGCAGGCAGTGCACTTACATGTACATACTCCTGCTACTCTCATACATGCAATTTGTCATAGTAAGTCATCCTATGTCCTCAACTGTGCGGCAGTGGGCATTTGTGCCATGTGTGCCTATGTGAGTCCCAGGTGTGTCCTAGAGATGTCCAAATTGGGCATTAGAGGAGATGAAGGGCCTCATTTCACTCCTGGCCTGACTTCGATGGGCAGGGCACCTGAGACAGTGCAGGATGCTGGCTCAGAGTTCCAAGCTAACACCTCCCAGGGAGGATGTCCTTCCTTTCTCCATCTTCTACTCACAGCCATTCAGCATCTATCAGATGCTTGCTTAGCAGGGGTCTGGCCAATTACACATCTTTGGGCTGATAACTTGCCGCAGGCCAGCGAAGGTGACTGGCTCTCCAGAGTATAAGCGCGCCAGCCCTTGGGGTCCATACCTTTCGGTTTGCAGGACACCCCGTCTGGCTGCAGCACGTAGTCCTCGTGACAGTGGCAGGTGCGTTTGGTCCCTGGATGGTCAGTGCAGTACTGGTCACAGCCACCATTTTCATTTGCACAGACCAGCTGGTCATTTTTGTCTGAGGACAGAAGACAGTCAGTCTGAGAGGCTGGCAGGCCAGCCATGATGGTGTTTGTTCTTGTCCCCTTGGGAGGCTGCATACAGCTGCAGACTGTTGAGGCTGAACTCGGCGTCTGCTGCCCTGTGGACTGATCTGGAGGGAGGAGACCTGCAGGTGGGAGGCACATATCTGAGAAGTCTCAACAGTGGCAGCCTCAATGTCACTTCGTGGACTCTGGGCTAGGCTGGTGTGTGACAGCTTTTCCTTCCAAGAATCTAAGGAGAAGTTGGGAAGGTTTCTGGAGCTAGAGAAAATTTCCCAGGGGCAGTAAAAACTCTCAACGGAATGGGAAACTGGCCCATGGAACAGCCCAAGGGAGAAATTATTCTAAGGGCAACCTTTGAGACCACCTTTGGTTTGAGCATAAGCCATTGGCCCAGACAGAAGAGAGGCGTGGTCAGTTCAGCTGTGCCGGGCATGGACACCAGAGCTGGCTCAGCATGTGAGCTCAGGGCTCCAGTCTAGAGGTCTGTTCTGTGGTTCACAATCGTTGCTCAGTAGGGTGTACTGGCCTCTCAGGTCAGGGCCCTTGTGAGCTCCTTCCCTCTTTCCTTTTTACTCTCTTTGGCCTCATCCTGATGAGAACAGGAGGGAAAGACATCAAGAAGAACCCACCTGGGCAACATGAAGTCCTAAGAGACCTTTGTCCTGACTCAAGAGGTGACCTTGAGGAAATCCTCCAGCCAGAATACTGCTTTTTGTCTGGGGCTGTGGGTCATATATTCAGCTAGCTAAATGTTTGATTGATGGCAAGCTGTGGGCCCCAGGAGGGGCTGGAAACAGGTCTTTCACATCTAGTGACTGCACACCTAGGCTTGGGGTTAAGGACTTCTAGGTTGGTGATACTCCACAGTACTTCACATGCCATTTCAGAAGACCCAAGAGCGGCCTGTGGGAGTCCACAGAAGAGCACAACTGGAAACCTACTCCTGGCCTCTTTACAAGTTCCGGTGTAACAAAATAAACATGCATATATCCGCAGCCATGGACTCCAAACTTAGTGTTTCAAAACTGAAGAAATACTTCGCACCCTTAACCAGCAGGCAAAGGGTGAAATACTTCACAGCTTTAAACCATCAGGCAGAGGGTGAAATACTTCACACCTATAACCAGCAGGCAGAGGGTGAAGTACTTCACACCCTTAACCATCAGGCAGAGGGTGAAGTACTTCACAGCTTTAAACCATCAGGCAGAGGGTGAAATACTTCACAGCTTTAAACCATCAGGCAGAGGGTGAAATACTTCACACCTATAGCCAGCAGGCAGGGGGTGAAATACTTCACACCCTTAACCAGGAGGCAGGGGGTGAAATACTTCACACCCATAACCAGCAGGCAGAGAGGTGTCCTTTACCTGGCTGACTTGCCTGGAAGGGACAGAAGCTGGACAGTGACATAGGAACCCTCCTTCAGCTCTCCCCAGACCATCAGAATCCTTAGGGCAGGGGGCCAAAAAGGACACTGAGTCTTAGACTCCCAACCTTAGACTCATGGATCAGACTCTCAATTTGAAGAGAGTACTTACTGTGTCCTGGATGGGTTTCCTACAGGGGCCGAGGCTGGATTGGACACCCTCCCCTTCCTTGATGAGACACCCAGGCCCTCCCTCCCCACTCCATCTGTAAACCGAGGCAGGAAACAGGTCTCACTCTTCTCACAGTTCCGGCCCTCAAAGTCTAGGAGGCAGAAGCAGATGTATGTCTGGAGGTGGTCCTGGCAGGTGCCCCCATTCTGGCACGGGTTCGAGGCGCACTGGTCCCCGTCTGTGGGTGAGTTGGCATTAGTGTGCTGCAGAGAAGGTCCACAGGGGAGGGGCACACATGTCTCTTCACCTACTCACCAGTGTAGACAACCCAGAACTGCTTCTGAGGGGGAGAAGAAACCGTGTGAGGCATGTTCATGACAAGTAGTGGCAGTTAGTGTCTGTGGAGGGAGCTCAGGAGCTGTGCGTGGGCTCCTGGCCTCTGTGAGGGGCTTGGGAAGGCATTCCCTCTGAGGTTGATGTTTTCTATGCCCTTTTTAGAGACTTCTAAAGCCACGACACAGTTGCCTCTCTCAAGTCATCCTGCCTGAGTTCTGGTCCAGATCCTGCTCCTCTCCCTCCCCCCACCCCCGTGGCCTGGAGCCCTAAATGTGAGAAGCAGTCTTCCATGGGAGCCCTGGGCTGAATAAAAAGGAAGACGTGAGCTGAGCGCCAGCAGCCATCGGTCTCCACTTCCTGACAGGTTGCACCATGACCAGCTGCCTCGTGTCCCTGCTATCACATGCCTTTCCTGTCTACCATGATGGCCTTCCTCCTGAACTATGAACCAAAATAAGCCTGTCTTTCCTTCAGCTATTTCTGGTACCATGAGAAAAGTAACTTCTACAGGTTCCCTGTGTGAGGACAGTTGTGAAAGAGCTGTTCTGTGAATGGGGGGGGGGTCATCCTGTATCCTTCTATTCTGTGAGATATCCTGTGAGAATAAGATGTCCTGTGTGAGGTGTCCTGTGTCAGGTGTCCTGTGTGAGATGTCCTTTGTGAGGGGTCCTGTGTGAAGTGTCCTGTGTGAGGTGTCCTGTGTGAAGTGTTCTGTGAGAATGAGATGTCCTGTGTGAGGTGTCCTGTGTGAGGTGTCCTGTGTGAGAGATGTCCTGTGTGAGGTGTTCTGTGTGAGGTGTCCTGTGTGAGGTGTCCTGTGTGAGGTGTCCTGTGTGAGAGATGTCCTGTGTGAGGTGTCCTGTGTGAGGTGTCCTGTGTGAGGTGTCCTGTGTGAGGTGTCCTGTGTGAGGTGTCCTGTGTGAGGTGTCCTGTGTGAGGTGTCCTGTGTGAGGTGTCCTGTGTGAAGTGTTCTGTGAGAATGAGATGTCCTATGTCAGGTGTCCTGTGTGAGGTGTCCTGTGTGAGGTGTCCTGTGTGAGGTGTCCTGTGTGAGGTGTCCTGTGTGAGATGTCCTGTGAGAATGAGGTGCTCTGTGTGAGGTGTTCTGTGGGTGTAAATTCTCCTGTATACTCGAGTTTCCTGTGTGAGGCCTTTTGAGTGTGAAGCCTGCTGTGAGTGTACCAACTCCCTTGAGAGAGGCATTCTCTGAATGTGTGAGGCCTTCTGTGTGAGAACTCGTGTGAGAGAGATTTTCTGTGAGTGTGAAATATGATATGAGTCAGATATGGTGAGGGGGGAAAAAGCCCATGGAGAATGAAAAATAAACCCCTCACATAACTCCAGGAATATAATTGACTGGTTTTTTTTATTTTTCCAGAGATGATGACAAAATGAAACATGATGAACCCAGTCTCAAAGACTGTCCTATCCTGACACACCCTTCCTAGGAAAAAAGCTTCAAAGACAGATGTCTAACTAGAATGGAAAATGCTCAATAATGTTTAAATATGCTTCGTCTACAAAATGAAACTGCAGGGCTGGGCAGGATAGCTCATACTTGTAAATCCAGCAGTCAGGAGGCAGAGGCAGGAAGATATTGTTGAAGGCCAGCCTCAACAAATTCAAACAAACAAGCAAAAAAGAGAGTAACTCAGAATCAAAGTGCCAGGCATGGTGGAGAAAGCCATAGTGTTCTTCATGTTTCCAAAGGAGGTGGCTTTGGGGACAGCAGTGAGGGTTGCCTGTATGTGTACCCTACCCTCCTGGTAGGGTAATCGTCCCTTCTCAGGTAAACTTCATGGACAGCCCTAGATCCTTAGGGAATAAGGGATTTTCCTTTGGGAAAATAGTAGATACATCAAATGTACTTCAGGAGTTACTTTTTTTTTCTGTTGCAAAAATTCGCATATGGGCTTACAGTAGATGGCCAATTCAGGCACCCTGTACACTATTGCTAGGAGTCTTAGCTGGGGTTATCTGTGAGGAGAGGAGGGAGGGAAAACTGTGGTTGTTATATAAAATAAATGAAAAAGTTAATTAATAAAATGTCCAAAAAGTAAATAAATAAAGCACATTAAATATTTTTTAAAAATTGCATATAGTGTGGAAGCCTGTGTGTCTCTACAAGTTCTAAGTGACAACTACCACAGAAACGGGGAGACAGGTTCCGAATGTAGGTGTGACCCTCATGATCCCCAGCTCACTTCCTTCAAATCTCAGTGTGCTATACACGAATTGGCCCCTGTCCGGGGTGAGGGGCACTTACTGTCCTCTCAGTGTTCTTAAAGATTTCTCGGGCCTCCTCAAAAGAACACTGCTCCTCAAGGCACTCTCTCTCCAGGGAGCCCTGCCTCAGCTCCTCCAGGAATGAGTAGGCACGCCTTTGCCGGTGTAGGACACTGTGTGCTTCCTCCTGGGTTAGGAAAACTGAGAAATACAAGGCCCTGCCCTTGCAATACTGGCTACTTGGAAGCCACCCACACCGGATACTCCACGCCCACAACCGATCCTCCATGCCCACACTGGACCCTCCACAACCACAATGGACCTTCCATGTCCACACTGGATCCTCCCTCCCACACTGGATCCTCCATGCCCACACTGGATCCTCCACACCAACACTGGATCCTCCCTCCCACACTGGACCCTCCACACCCACACTGGATCCTCCCTCCCACAGTGGATCCTCCACAACCACAATGGACTTCCATGTCCACAATGGATCCTCCCTCCCACACTGGATCCTCCACATCCACACTGGATCCTCCATATCTACACTGGATCCTCCACACCCACACTGGATCCTCCTTCCAAAGAATTCCTGTCCACCTCAAGGAATGGAAGGTGCATAGGTTGGTTCCTCTAATGGTTTACCTTCTCCTGAGGCCTGAAGGTCTAAGACATGATACAGCTCCAGGCTCAGCTGGATTTAAATTGGGTGTGTTTTTCATTGATGGTTGGTGACAGATAACAGCACAGTCTTACATAGACATATATGGTGATACATTCATTAGATAAAATGAAAGTTTGTGGTTTGACCTGCTCATTATCTCTTAGGGATTTATAATGAGAAAATAGTTGGAGGGCATACAAAAAACCTCACAAAGTGATGTATTGGTAGTAACGGTTGAAGGCTGTCAAACGGTGGTCTCCTATGATGTCAGTGAACACAAGGCTTAAGATGTGACATCAAGCAAAAAGGAGACAATAAATCACACATTGTGTATACAGAAAATGTATACACAAACATACATTTAAATTCTTCATCTATTCCCACATCTGTGTCCCCTGTGCTGTGTCCTGGAGTCAATTCAGATCTCAAACCACACAGCTCCTAGGGTTTCAAATCGTATGAGAACATTTCATCAGCCCTGGACACCACAGTCACACCTGCCTCAACTGGGATTCCTAGTCCTGTGATTTGCTACATTGGAGATTTCCCCTTAGGTTCCAGAACCAATCCAGCCTTCCACACACAGCCTTGCCTGTCAGTGACCCTGACAGGAACTAGGTGACCAGTGTTCCCCACTTAGTTTCAGAAAAGCAAAGGTTTGATGAGGCAGCCACAATAGTTTGGATATGCTGAATTTGAGGGGTCTTTGGGACATCCCAATAGACATAGGGTCTGAATCCTAGGTATGAGTGTGGGGATGGGGATAAGACCTTTAAACTAGCTAAAATTAGTCTGAGGTGGAAACCAAGAATGAAGACAAGGCCTGGAGAGTCCCATTAGACAACTAACTATGCTACATAAACTGTGTGCCTAGGGTGTCGGTGAGAGGAGTAGCCATGGGAAGGGATGGGAGGAGAGAAGATGAGGAGGAAGGGGCAGCTAGGGGAGAGCCAAAAGCAGGCAGTGCGTTCAAGAAGAGGGCTTGAGGAGATGCGGAGACAGGTCTTCCCTATGCAGAGGCGGAATGTGGAAACCCATATGAGCCTTGCTGGGAGGAATTGGCTTTAGGTGGGGATGAAAAGGTGGCTGTGGTCACTAGGAAGATGCTCGTGTGCCCAAAAGGAAGGACAAGGATGGAAGTCAGAGGAATCATCTTGGGAAGAGACAGCGAGAAGAAAGAGGACGGGCCAAGGACTGCTGTATCTTTTTCAAGTTGGAGAATCTTTCACAACTGGTGTTCCTAGAGAATCAGTCTGGTTTGGAAGGGAAAGACGGGGACGCTGTTAAACAGGACCAGTCAAGGACCTTCACCAGGCAGAGAAAGGCCCATCTGTCACCAGCCATTGGGACACACACAGCTTGATCAGGGCTGAGTGATGAGCCCTTAGGAGAAGGCAAGTTTGCATCAATAAACCTCCTAGGGTTTCAAAGCAAACCAGACCTCAAGATCCCCCCACATGGTTACAGAGTATCTGAGAAAGCTAGAAAAGGGCAGCTATAAAGCCATTGCTGTCCAGTTAGCACTCAGTTCCATAGGAGAATGATCCACTACAATCCCTTCTTGCCAAGGGTTTGGAAGGGGACAGTACTAACTGGACCACCGATGTCACTATCGTGGGGATATTCGTGGCAGCTTCTCTTCTGGCATGTGAGGCTCTGTCAATATCCATGTGTTTCCTCAAGCTTTCTCCCCAGAGATCTCAGAGGGCTCTCTCTCTCTCTCTCTCTCTCTCTCTCTCTCTCTCTCTCTCTCTCTCTCTCTGTGTGTGTGTGTGTGTGTGTGTGTGTGTGTGTGTGTGTGTGTGTGTGTGTGTGTGTGGTGTGTAGATGAGAGGCTGTGGTTGTGATCATGGAGCAGAGACAGCGAGAAAGCCCTGTAGCTCAGCGTTCTGTGGCTGTCCTGACACATCAGACCTCTTGCCCCAGAGTGGCCTCCAGGGTCCAGTTTCACAAGCCAGTGTCCACAGGGCTCCCTACTTCCAAAGTCTTTGGAAAACAATAGCCAAAGGTCCTGCCCCCATGAAGAACAGCCTGTCTCCCTGTGGCAAACATCCAGACACTCTGCTTTTGGCAGGGGCATACACCCAATGGAGCTGTGAGGCGGTTCCCGTTGGTGTCCCAGCTGCTGCAGCAAACAGCTTGGCTTCTCAACTCACCCAGTCCACAGAGAAACCCTCCCTGGATGGATGGGACCCACGTACCTACAGCTCCTAGGGGTCCCTGAAGCTGGAGCAGAAAGCAGAAAAGCACCAGCCCGAGAGACTGAGGAACCATGATGCCACTGTGGCTTCTTGCTGGGGCTTGCCCAGAAGCTGCTGGGAGGACAAAGGGCAGGGGGGAGGGGAAAGGGGTGGAGAAAGCTAGAATAGGCTAGAAGCGCCTTGAGGCTGGTTGGAGACTGGCATTCATGTCTCTGGCACTTCTATGTCCAGCAAAAGGTATGGCAGGCTAAGTGGGCTCTGATTGGAGGTGGGAACAGATGTCACCCACAGTCACAGTGGATGATACTATAAAGGACAGAAGGCTGGTTTGGTTCTAAGACCTGGAAAAGACCTGCAGGGGAGACCTGGGCTGTGTGGCCCTTGCTGGCTCTCAGGAGCTCTTCTGCCTCCTTCCCACACTGAAAGCAGCCCTTAGCAGGTGGTCCATATCCTATTCTTCCATGTCCTCTGGCCCAAGCCCAGGTGGGACTTTTGGACACGAGATTTTCTGTGTAAAAACGGGGTCCATCCCCAAAATCATGACATTCATTGTTATGCAGCCTCCTGGACCATACTGTGGGTTTGTGGTGGACCCTCTGGGGCAAGTATCCTTTTCAGGGACAGGTACAAGGCTGATCATTCTTTTGGGAGCTGGACCTCATCTATGGGTACTGACAGTACCCACCCCTCCCTACCTCCTTCTCCACAGTCCACCTCAGGGGCACCTCTGACTCCTGGGGTTCCTTCAGACTCAGCAATGCTGCTTCTTCTGGGCTAGAGGTCAAACCTCACCCAGCAAAACCCAACCTCCTCATCACAGGACAACTGCAGGGACACGAGAGGAGGCTGCTGCAATTCATCCCAGCTCTCCTACCCCCCGTTTGAGCTCCAGGCCATGCCTATTCATCTTTCTGTGGTTGAGGCCCAACCATCGGCATGTCAGAGGACAGAAACTGAACCAGGGTGTTTGGCCCCCCTGGCTGAAGTTTCTTCAGAAGATGGCGACTTCCCTGTGGCACATGCCTGGGCTGGCTGCTGGGTGTCAGGTGTCAGGGCTTCTACCTGGACCTGCAGAGGCCTTATCTACTTGGGCTTCCTTTCGAACCTGTCCCATGGTTACTATTAGCACTGTGCCTAGTCCTGACACTAAGTTTGGAGGGGTAGGAATGGGGGCCAATGCCTGTCTTTCTTTTGGACTTGTCTCCGCCTACTCTCTCAGGGAAGACAAGCAGGCTTCTCTTGAGATCCCAGAGTCCTCTGTGCATCCCTGTGTGTGCTCAGGCACCATCTTCCCCTGCTTGGGACAGGAAACACCAAGTCTTATTCCCAGCCATGCTCATCTTTTCTTTGGGCAGCTTCCCAAAGCTCTCCATTTCAGCCTGGCACAGAGACTCTGTATTAGATATAAAACTGTTGGCCAGTTACTAGTGTTTCTTATTGGCTAGCTCTGTCTTAAATATTAACCCATTTCTATTAATGTAATTGTTTCCACGTGGTCTTATCTTACCAGAGAGAGGGTCCAGACTTTCTTCCCTAAAGTCTCTATATCTTGAATCTCCTACTACATCTCCCAGAATCCTCCTTGTCTCCTAGTCCCACCTATCTTGCTTTCCTATTTGCCAACAGTGCTTTATTCATTAACCAATAAGAGAAGCATATTTACAGAACGACCTCTCCCATCACAGAGTTATCTGGGGGATGCACACACACCACACTCATACTTTACACCATCTTTACACTTACGTATCATTCTTATGCATGCTATCTTACACACCCACACCTATGTGAGACCTACACAGATACAGGATCCTAAGAACATGTCCGTGGGTTCTGATGTCCTGGGCAGGTTGTGGACCAGTAGAGAAGATGTCAGAGTCTTAGGATTGGTCCTAACAACAGAGTTTAAAGATGCCCATGGGTTTTGATGCCCTGGGAAGACTGTGGACCAGTGGTGATGATGTTAATAATTTGAAATTTAAGAACCAGAGAGCTGAGCTGAATCTTGGATTATAACTGTAATCCTTTTATTTTCTCTGGATCTGTGTCTTGAGGACTCCATTATTGATAATGAGTAATTGCTCCTGGATTTTCCAGTTATGGGCAGTTACTTTCAATCCACTTGACTCATGTCCTTTTCTTTTGTGATATTCCATAGTGTTCTAGTAAATGATGCTAACAGTGAGGCATCCCCACCTTTGTCCTCTGTGCCGCAAAGACCATTGCTTAACCTCTCTTGGGGATTCTTAGAGCATCTAGAAACTTAAAAGATTTTGCTTTGAAGATTGATGGACATGCTTTAACAGGTAAAAAACTGTTTTTCAAACTCTTGGTGCAGTGACAATAATAAGTAAATGATCAATAAAAATTTGTGCATTTATGAAACTGCTGACTTACGTGATTGCTTTTATAATGTGGTATATTACAGCGGCATTTTTCTAATATTGCACCATACTTTAATGACATCAACAAACTTACTTGACTGGAATGAGTTTCTTTTCTTTTTTATTTCCAACATAGGCCATTGTTCTTGGTTGCCCACCATGACTAGCTGATTGCTGAAGATACACCATACTTTGTCTGCAGCATATAGGAAGATCAAGCTGGAACTGACCTGGAAACTTCCTCCCTGATGGCTAGTTTCCATAGTTCTGAAAGTACCCATTGGGTTGTCATCAATGTTCCACCCATCAGTGAATCTTGCATGCCAGAACAGCGACTACCAGTGAAATAGTGGCATGACTGTTATGGGGAGTAACCAACTCTTCTGATTTGGATTTGAGGCTGGCTCCACCTAAGGGGATTCATTTCTGATACTATAACTCTGGCCAAAAAAAAAAAAAAAAAAAACAAATAAAATCCCATGGCTTTGGAGGTTATTGATCCTATGGGATATGTGTGTGTGTGTGTGTGTGTGTGTGTGTGTATGTGTGTGTGTATGTGTGCTACCACTATTGTTTTGTTAAACAGACATGTTGTCACACTGTCTCCTACATAGTTTCTTAGCTTTTCTATAAATTGTGGTTTTTCTGTTTTTCATTAGTCGAGGTTTTGATTTTTATTTGTTTTTATTTTCTTCCCTCGAGGCAGCAATTTCTTCTTTATTCTTTGAGTGAAATCTATCAGGGAACAAGAGGGATGCCAACTAGATGATAGCACTACCGTAACTGATGAAGGAGATACTTTGGAAGCAGATATTGAACAATTAAAGAATTGCTGAAGATGATGAGCACAATTGCTATCCGCCACAGCAAAACCCTTTTCTTGTGATCCCTTTGGTAGGGCCCCTGTGCTTGAAGGATAGAGGAGGAGGTCAAAGATTTAATAACCAAGGTAGAAGCACTAGGAAAGGAAAAAACAGCTTTTCTTGTGATTGAGACAATGGATCCTCAGGATAACAGGGTTAGGGAACAAAACCCACTAAATTTCAAGGATTTAAAACAACTTAAGGAGGCTGTCACTGCTTATGGGCCCCAGGCTCCTTTCACTCAGGCAATTTTTGAGTCTTTCACAGTGTTTTGCACCCCAAGTGATTGGATGCAGCTCTGTAGAGCCACGCTGAGTGGGGTCAGGGGCTAACCATTACCTTTTTTTCAGAAGGTTCTCAATTGACCACTCACAGGTGTAGCCCTTTTACTGACCACTAATTATAGTTTGGTTAAAGCAGCTATACCTTTACACTTTAGTCCAAAGGATAAGAATTTCACCTTCATTTCAGGCACTTGTGTTCTGGCTCCCTTCTTTTTCATTGTAACTAATGCTACTAATTTTGGAGGAAGTCTCAATTGTTCTCAGCAGGTCTGCAGACTGGTTAGCTACTGGACGTATGAAACAACAGCTGTCATGGGCCACATACCCCAGATGGTACCTATGCCGGAGACCTCTACAGATGACCAACTTGTGCAGCAGAGAGGAAAGGAGATTTCAGGATCACAGCTGCCAGTGCTGCCCCCGCCACTGCAGCAACAGTTTCAAGGATAGCCCTCTCCCAATCTGTAAATACTGCAAGCACAGTGGATCAGCTATCAGGTGAAGTGACTGAAGCCTTAGCCACCCAAAACACACTTGATAATCTCGTACAAACTAGCCTCCTACAGGAACAATTGGATTTACTGTGGGAAGCACACATGGCTTCCTGTTCTCCCTCTTTCACACATATGTATGTTACACCTGTTAAAGTGGAGAATGCATCAGTTGTAGTTATTTTTCTTCAGGGATCCTGGAGTGATAAGTTTTTAAATTATACACATGCTTTAGCCATGCAGATCATTAACATCAGTGAAACCCAAGTACCACCTGCCAGTGCAGAAGACCTTTCACAAGGACTTCAACTTGTGGGCAGATTAACTAGAGAATGGGCAAGCTGTCTCTCACTGGGGCTCATAGCCCTTGCCCTTGGTGCTATCTGCCTGATCTACCAACACCACCACAGCATTAGACAGGCCCAGGGCAGCTTTCAAACGAGACAGATTCTACTGTATTCAGCTCAAGAAAAGGCCTCTGCCCAAGTATGGCTGAACTTACAGATGAACTAATCACCAGAGACAGGTAAGGCAGAAGGGGGCAAATATCCAACTTAAGTCGGGAAGGTTACAGGCCTGAGTGACCTCTCCAATAATGGGTAAGCAATTATGCTGACATGCTCAGACACCTAAGACAGGTGTTAGTTTATATTAAAAGAAAGGGGGGTCTGTAGGGCCCTGCATGCCCCCCCAAGGCACCTTGAGCAAGCCTGAAGCTGTTGGCTGGAACATTTTGCCCCAGAGTAGTTCCTGGTACTCTTCTTGATTTGCTAACACACATCTGCTGGGGAGGAACTGAGCCCGAGGACTTGATTGTTTTCCACTGTGCTGTGAGTCAGTGTGTAAGCCCACTCTATCCCCTCAATAAATGGCATTCTGCATTCCAGCTAGCTGCATGAATGACCCACTGCCTTGTCTTTTATTTCATCCTCTAGGCCTTTGCCTGATTAGTGGAAGAGATTGTAGCTCGAGTGCTACAGAGAGGGTCTTACTGTGTATGTAGCTCTAACTAGCCTGGAACTCTCTGTGTAGACCAGGCTGGCCTCAAACCCAGGGACTGGCCTGCCTCTGTAGTGTTTCAATTAAAGGTGCCTATC